CTACCTGATGACTCCAAGCCATTCCACGTCGTATGTGACGCGAGCAATTTCGCTATAGAATGTGCCCTCATGCAATTTGATGACTAGGGTCGAGAGCGCGTCGTGAGTTTTGAATCACGACAGATGAAACCTACAAAGAGAAATTATCCGGTACACGAAAAGGAACTTTTGGCTATGCGTTACGCGCTAATCAAGTTTGAAATATATTTGCTCGGCGAATAGATGTTTTCTATCTACACAAATCACGAATCATTGCGTACCGCCGTCAAGAGCGCTAACTTTCCCCAGCGTATGGCACGTCGGTTGTCATTCTTCGCCGAGTATAGTTTTGTGGTGCATTACAAGTCCTCAAAAATAAAAATCTCGCTGACGCGCTTTCTCGTCGTCCTGATTACGATCCTCGGCGCGACATAGGTCATTAAACAGAGAATGTTGATGACGACGAAGATATCTGTGCGTGTTGTGTTTAGATGGGACTCAATGCAATGATTTTAACACCTATGCTGTCTATCCGAACTCAGATCGCTAGATCCTATGCAAATAATTCCTTTTTTCTATGCGGGAATCATCGATTATCTCATGGGACCTAGTGAGAATTCACTCGCGAAGTTGACGAAACTAACACGCGATAACATCAAGCGTTACGCGCTTGACGGACAGTCGCACACTTACAAGATGGACGTCATTTATTTGCCGCGTGTCGTCATCTCTGCTTGTAACGGGGCTAGATCTCCGTTACTTACACACACTCTAGGTCTTACGAGGAAGCGTAAGGGAGCGCGCAATAAGTAGCGCGCTTAAGGTTTATTTCAGCTCTGATTTTTTTATATATTTTTTATACTCAGTACTATAGTCCCTAAACGCATGGGAACCACTCAACAACAAATATCTTCTCCTTTTGGCTGTTGATGAGACTGATTCTTACTTACCTTCGAATAGAGATACGAATGGCTACACCCGCTATATCGGGTGTAGCATATAAACTACTTATGTAATATGGATTTAAGTATGGCTAGTTCTACCTCTTTACACTGTTAATTCGTATGCGCTCACGCTACTTAGCTACCTCAAAAAAAATTTAATGGAATATGTAACGGGATAAGGCCCCGGTACCGTCTTACACTAAAAGGGCGTTGAGGAAGCGCTCTTAATCAAGTCGTAAACATAACTCTTGTTTGATTTTCTTGTTTTGTCTTAATTCGCAGTAAGTGCAGATATGTTCTTTAGCTACTCAATATGGAAGTCGACTCATGATTGACTAATTATTGGGTCTGGCCCCCACTAATAAAAAATAATAAAACGACGCGCAGTATCTGCTAATCAGATACTGGCCCTAGTCTACTTATGTAATTATGTATAACTCTAAAAATTACTTATGTAATAGGTTGCCCCATTACATCACCCCCTCTTTAAGTTGTGCTTACTACAACTTAAATAGACAACATAAAATGATTATTTTCCCCAAAATTTAGCGACACAACCTCGAGTCTGCTCATGACACACAACTGAGCAGCATGACCCTGTCCGCGCGCAAGGTTTCTCCTGACGACAACAACCGTTCGATCCACAGACAGAAAGTGCTGCGTGTCACCGAAGAGGACTTAAACCGTAGACGCTATACAGCTTTATCGCCTTAATCATTAAGAATTTTCTGAAGTCATAATGAAGCTCTTCACTCGCTATCATTCAGTTAATGCAGTAATTTACTACTGGTTTCTTAAGCGTGATGTCGGCGGCATTTCACGTATTTGCAAACAAGTGCCATATCCATATTTCCCCGAGCCTCAAAGTAAATCTCGTATGGAACAGGAACTCATCGTCTTAGTTCTGTTGCTCGCGAGCATCACAGCTCGCGAGATCCGGGGTGTAATCGGCAGCATCGATCAGGATCGCCGTCTTTCTACGATTTATATAATCCTCGACCACGTCTAGAACATCATGAGCCAGCATACTTCAAAAATTGTATAAATCGTTCGTCGACGAATATCCCAACCAGCGAATCCTGTAATGTTTTCCACATAGTTTTTCGTGGGCGTCGAGTCATTGGTCGACGCCTGGTGCTTGTGATTTTCGTTATCGACAATACGATTAACAATCTAACGTCGCGCACCCGATACATTCATCAAGGGAGGAGGAGCATCACGACGGAAGATTTCTATCGATGAACGCGATTTCGCACAATCGGACGCCTGTACAGTCGAACGACGAGATGCTCTTCTTCGCGCTGAAGTCGAAAAGTCGAAAAACGCCCTAAATGATGCTCGCAATGGCTGAGAGAGTTCGCGAAGGTGTGGCTGCTGCGACATAGGCTGCAGAGTAGGCTCGACGGAAGCAGCAAAGATTGGTTAAGCGCCTACGCCGACTTGTGACGACAGCGTTTGGAAGACCACAGCAGAACGAGTGCACGCGTTCGGGTAGGACTCGGTCGTAGTCAACGTCAGCGTCGTCGTCAAGGGATGTCGGATTTTGAGCCGGCACAGAAGAGCGAGGAAGATTTGAAGGTAGATCCGCCGGTAGGTAAGACTTGAGGCGCCCGACATATGACGTCGGGTGCAAACGCATAGATGTAGCGTGTAAGCGTCACCATGCACCGTAACAACCCGAAATAAGCCAATATATCTTGGTGCGAACTTTTTAGCGCTCAAGTTTGTCACTGAGGTGCTCGATAATTCACTTGTTGATAATTAAACTCTGTCACCTACTCCTAATGTTAACATATTCTTTCGACCTGTTCTGTCTGCGTTTACCTTTTGCTTGTCGACTGCCTCTTGTAACGCATCATGCACAAAAAGCGTGAAATCTTGTCGTAATAGCAGAAATGCGGTTACTGCAGCCGAACTTACAGGCGAAATATGCTCGTAAGGGGCAAAATTAGCAACGGGAGACGCGACGGAATGAATCGCGTTAGGAGTTGATATGCCGTCGCCCACAAAATACCAGCATTGGTTGCATCGACAGCAATCTTAACCTTTTCTTAATTATGAATCGATAGTGTCGGCACAATTATATCGGTAGATACCCCCACCAAGCTTTGATACAAAATGCTCTGAAGCTGAGAGAGCAGGAAGCGCCGGAACGCGAGGATATTTTGCGTTTCTCACGAAAAGGGCGCTAACTTGGTTGACGCATGTACAGCATTGTTGATTACAAACTCTGCAAGTGGAAAAAATGAACTCCATGACGAAAACGTGTTGCATAACTGTGCGACATCTTTGAGCATTCTGTTCACGCGCTCCGTTTGCCCATCCGTCTATGGATGGGCCGCCGTAGACGTAAGCAACCGCGTGCCTAATAGCTGGAATAATTTGGCCCAGAAAGCCGACGTAAAACGCGGGTCACGCACGATCCGAAACAATAAAATCTGGTAAGCCCGGATGCTTTAAAATAAGATCAATATAGATCATTGCTGTCGTCTCCGCTGTAATGTGGGCGGAGACCGGAGCAAAAATGCACCATTTTGCTTCTATTTTGCTGAATCAGACCTATTCCCCCGTGCGTTTCTGTTCATCCAGTGTAAGTCCAAAGATAAAATCCACGCCGACCGCACGCCAGGATTCCGTAGCAATCGGAAGCGGACGCAATGGGACTTTTAAAGACGGCGCGGGCTGCACACGCTGGCAGGTTTCACAGGAGCGCACCCATCTCTGGATGTACCTATATATTCGTGGCCATAAAACACGCGCGAAATAGCTGCAAACGTCTTTTCGCGACTTAGGTGGCCGCCAGTTGGACTGTCGTCGAACTCGTAAACCAATCGGGCTCTAAGGTCGTCAGATAAGTCTGATTAGGCGGTGCAACCACGCAAGTTGATTGCTTTTAAAGCATTTCCCATGTGGGATATGCGTTATCTACAGATACATTGCTCATTAGAGCCCATTCTCTAGCTCTTCCTCCAAGCTTAGAAATGGCCAGGCCAACTCGTTGCTTCACTGACACGAGCATGGCGGCATTCATTGCATTCAACCTCTCGGATCAGAGGAGACGATTTCCCCCTCCTTGCCCTTAAAGGTTTGAATGTTTAAAACGATTGGGCGAGCCTTTGGCTCTGCATCGGGTACAGGCACTGGGATGTATTGCGTTGGTGCAGCTGACGCTTTCCTATCGTGACCTGCCCGAGTCGCGTTGACTCATAACGCATGAAGACCTCAGGCGAGCATTGAGGACTTCCGGGACCTGGTCCAAAAGAACCTCAATCTGATCGGGTCCAACAAACGCAGATAATTTACTAGCGCAAGTCGTTGCGTCTCAGAGAGGTGAATTCGACTCTCCATCCTCACAGAGGGTCAATCTTAGAGACTCAGGTGTAGGATTGACTACAAGTGCTACCAAGTGTAGCGGAGCTACACAGCTCTTAAGTCAGAGAAATACTTTTAGGCTAAAAGCCTGTTAGTTTTTAAGAAATAACTAAAAGTTGACGGCTCAATTGTCTTATCCAGCTCCAAAATCTCTAAGACGTCTTTCACCGTTTTCCCGTCATTATTCCACTTTTTGAGCTGCGCCACCTGCAGGGCTGCAACGAGATCAGCGAAGGGTTCAGTGCTCGTATCAGCAAAAAAAACTCTGGCCCAAGCTCTGTCGTCCGTATAAATTTTTCGAAATGCCGCCAGCATTGCATCAGATGCCGCTGCGGGATTGTTTGGGTGTTTAAGCTTGCCAAAAGCGGACAACGGCAAAAAGAGTGGGTCTAGAAGAGGATTTTGATTGTCCTTTGTCTTATGAAGCTCCAAAATCTTCTCTAACGATGAAGCGGTTTATCGTCTTTACTCGTGTGCATTGGCGGACGTCCTCCAGCGCACGCTATGACTTAATTAACTTATAGGGAATCCTGTATGTGATACACGTGGTGTATTTCGACCAAATATTGTGTTGTAGTACAAATTTGAGTACTTTACACATTTGACTGGTGGGTGGCCATCATAAAGTTTGCATCTTCGTCTTCATTTTCGTCTGCATCTCGTCCTTCCAGTGGCATTTTGTTTTTCTGTCTCTTTCTCTTTGTTATGGCGATTAAAAAAGGCGGTGGTAAGAAACTGTCATCGGGCAAGAAGCAGAAGCACGGTTTCGTGCGCGCCAGCAGCTCACGTGGCGGTAATCCATTTGATACACGCAGCAATGCCACTAAACAAAAGCACGTCGTCATTGGACGTCGTGTTAAAGGCACAGGCCGAAACGTATTGGCCGCACGTGCTGAAGCCGAACGCAAGCGTCACAAGACGCTCGGCGTCGAGTTTAAAGCCCGTAACAAGAGCAACGTGTTTAAGGACAAACGTCTCGGTGAACAGGACCCAACACTGTCTATGGAGGATAAGATGATGGCTCGATTTCAGACGGAACGCAAGCGTAAGATGCGTAACGCGTCGACATTTGCACTTCACGACTCTGACTCGGAACAAGAAGAAAATGAGAACGCGCTGTTCTTGACGCACAAAGGAACGAAAATTACCGACGATGATTACGATATACTCAATGGCGACAGGTTGTCGGACGAGGAGGAGGAGGATGAGGAAGGAAGGAAGATGGACAGGGATATTGTCAATAAACTCCACTTTGGTGGTGGCAAAGGAGACGCCGATGCACCAGAAACTCAAGAAGGAGGTGGGAAGAGGAAGACACACAAAGAAGTGATGCAGGAAGTTATGATGAAGGCAAAACTGTACAAGGCGGAGCGGCAGAAAAACAAAAATTCACAAGAAGATGCGACGGACAAACTGGATCAAGGGTTTGCAGATCTGCGTGGTTTGCTCGAGTTCCGTCCTACGCGTGCCAATGGCAAGGATGTGATACCAGTGCAGATGGACGACTTTGACAAATTGACGCGGGAACTTGTCTATGAGGCCAAAGCCAAAGCGACGGAGCGACGAATGTCACCGGAGGAGGCTGCTGCAAAGGAACGTGACCGTCTTGCTCAGCTTGAAAAGAAGCGTGTGCTACGTATGCACGGCGCTGACACTGACGACATTGACAGCGACGACGCAGGAAAGCGCAAGAGCAAGAAGGACAAGAAAAAAGCTAGTAAAGGAAAAACGCCGCAGCTTATCATGATGCCACCTACTGATGATGATCTGACTGACGCATACGCGATTGATGATCGTTTTGCCGCCGATGCTGAAGAAGAAAAGGTGGAGGAGGACGCCGAGGGTGGAGACGATAATGTGGCATTGGATGAGAGCGAGGAGGAAGATGCTGAAGCAGATTCTGTAGAGGATTCGGACGTTGGGGATGTAGAAAAGGTGACAAAGGAAGAAGCATGGGAAGAGGAAGAAGAGGAAGAAAAAGAAGAGGTTAAAGCGAAAGAAGAGGAGGTAGAGACTGAAAGCGACGAAGAAATGGAAAAGCAAAAGCGGTTGCAGGATGCGGAGAAGGCTGCAGCTGAGCTTCCATTTGTGTTTGACTGCCCGGAGTCTTCTGAAGAGCTGGCCGCAATCTTCAAGAAGCACGCGCGAAAGTCTTCTGAAAAGCGTGGGCTTATCTTGGAGCGCATTGTGACATACTACAATCCACGATTGAGTGTGGAAAATAAAAGCAAGATGAAGCGTTTCTTCGCGGTGACAGTGCGCCAGTTCCTAATCTTTGCAGCGCGATATGCTGCACACAAGGATGACGTACGTTTGCCTTTAGCTTGTTGAGCTGTATTTTTAGCTAACTATGCGTATCTTTTTGTTGTGTTCGGTGCAGCTTGACTTGCTTGCAAACACCATGTACACGATAGCTCAGCAGATGGGCGACACGGCGGGCATGGTAGTGCGTGAACTGCTTGCCCAGCTTTTTAAGCGTCTGCACAAGCGTGCTACCATTTCTGCGTGGCCTACGCTTCCGGAGCTCCTTCTATTCAAGGCCTTGACGTGCATTTTCCCGACGTCCGACTTGCGGCACAATGTGATATCTCCAATGGAGACACTGCTCGGAGAAAGCTTAGCTCGTGGTGCGGTGAGTTCACCACAGGAGGCTACACAGGCACTATTCACTGCTTCATTATCGCTAGACATGACGCGTTTGAAGAAGCGCTTCATGCCGGAGGTTGTGACCTTCCTCACTCGCATTCTCCGTGCTTTTGTGACGTCGAGTTCCGATGAGTCAAAGGACGACGACGACGACAAAACTTCAGTCCATTGGCTACGTCGTGACCTGCTGGAGTGGGTGTCCACTCGCTCTGAAGAGAAGATATCTGCATTACCGCGACTCTCGCTGGCTGGTAGCTCGACATGTAGCGGTGCTCAAGTCTTGAGTTCCCTGTTGGTTCTACTGGATGTTTCATCGGCCCAGTATGCATCGCTGTCATCCTTCGACGAACTCTTTTACCCGCTCTACCTACTGCTACATGCTCTGGTGAAGCAATTGGACGACATTGAGATCGTTGAAGTCAATTCGGTCATTTCAAAGCTTCACACACGTCTCGAGGCTTGCTGGAAAGCACGTCGTCCCCTTCGCCTGCAGAGTTTTGCACCACCGGCTTTACCAACATTTGCACCACAGTTTGACGAGAACTACACCGTACGAAAGGACAAGACGGCACCAAAGGACACAGCGCAACTCAAGCAATTGCAACGCCAAGTCAAGCGTGCACGCAAGAGTGCAGCACGTGAGCTTCGTCGTGATGCCGAGTTTCTCCACCGTGAAAAGCAGAAGGAGGAAGACGCGAGACTGGCAGCCAAGGAAGAAAAACAAAAAGAAATTCGTCGTTGGGTCGAAGAACAAAATGCCACATTTAACCAGCAAGTACGTAAGGGTGGCAATATGCTCAAAGGTGGAGGATCAGCTCGTGGACCGGCCCCACGGGCACGTAAACCCAAAATGTAGACGTGCCATGACTTTGTAAGGATTGTGTTACTACTGAACTATGTTATTTCTTCTCAAATTTCTACTTAATGTCTTTTTTGCAAATAAAAAAATGTTTAAATGAAAAAGTGAGAGTTGTATACTCGGTTTCAGTATTAAACGCAAATAGAAAAAAGCAAAAATTGTCTTTAAGTCACAAAGTTCATTCTAAAATTGACCAAGATGACGTTAAATGTGCATTACAAAGGACGTATTCACCCTGTGCTTGTTTCTAATGAGACTTTACCAACGATTGATGAATTGCAACGAGCAATTGAACTTGAATTGGGTGTATACACCGATGCACAGCGATTGTTTCAAAAACATCGACGTGTTAATTGCAGTGACGTCTCAAGATTATTAAGTGATGTGTGCGACTGCACTGCGACTTTATTTTTAATCTCTGGTGCTTCCAAAGCGCAGATTGAAGAAATGAATGCCACACAAGATGCGGTGCAACGAGAATTGTCGATTCGGTGAGTCAGTTGCGGAAAAATGGATAAAAATTTGGAATTTTGACGACGTTTTTTTGCTGGGTTTTAGTGAGAATCGACGTGTAATGGATATCTCCAAGCGGAATCAAGGACTTCAAGCACGAGATGCAATATCGATGAGATATCGGTTTCATGCTATTGAGCCGTTGAGGAATTTTCAGGATAAGGAGAAAGCACAGGAGATTTTGGAGAAATTGGCCAATGATCGAGGAATTCTGGCTGTTTTGGCAAAACACAAGTACAGTTGCAGTGTTTAAGATATGGAAATGCAGGTTTGTTGTTGATGTTTTCTTGTTATGAATGTTGATGTGGTGGTACTTTTTAGATGGAGTGTTGGCGTCTTGGCGGAGATGTCGCCTGATGGGAAAGTAGGAGTGGACCCCGTTTGTGTGCTTGGGTTGAATCAGAACAAGGGACAAAAAATCTTGCTGCGATTGCGCACAGATGATTTACTAGGGTTTCGTAAGTACTTGAGGTAAGTGCTATGGAACTGAGTCTTTTTTGAAGTGCAGTGGACGTACAAGCACATTCTGACACTGAACTGGCTTTCTTGTACAGTATCAAGAAAGTTTTGTTCCACGAGCTCTCGCACAATGTAAGTTTTGTCGTTGTGGAATCTGCTTGAAGCTGCATTTTGACCTATGTGTGATTTCGTTGCTCATGTAGGTGCATTCGGAGCACGACCATAAATTCTATCAGCTTATGCGGCAAGTTGAAAAGGAGTGCAACGAGTTGGACTGGACGATTTCTGGTGGTGCTGCTGTAGGCGGCTCTCGAATGATTCTTTCCGACGAAGATAAGTCCATAGATAGTTCTTCAAGTGGACGTCGATTGGGTGGTGAGTCTGCAGGAGCTAGTCGGTTACTGCACACCTCAGCAACTGTCCAGGAAGAGCTAGTGTCTACCTCAAAGCCGAAAGTACCTCTTACAGAGCAAAATCAGTTGACTGGCGATGTCAAAATTGGAGACACCGAATCAACAATAGTTGATGCTGTTTCGTTGCAGCAAACTCATACCACGCCGACGGTAAGGGACTAAATGATGTTGTCGATAGATAAACTAATTTGCCACGCCTAACTTTGTTAAATCGTGGATTTTTGGTGATAGGTTGCAGTGCATGAAAAGACTATCGATGAAGAAGTTGCAACGCTAGCCATGAGTATGTTTCAGACCATTAGGATGACTCCTGTTTGCCTATTGACATTTGTATGGCCATGTGGTAGGCGATCGCGAAAGACGCATTTACGACGCAGTGCGGCATCTTCAAGCTCACCACAGTGCTGAGACCATTTCGAACTCGATCTCTTGGCTTTACAAGATCGTGACCAACATTATCGCTCACCCGTTAGACGTCAAGTTTCGTTCAATTCGAAAGGCGAATCAGCTTTTCAACGGACATATTGCAAGGTTTCCCGAGTGTCTCGAATTCTTACGAGCTCTAGGTTTTGAAGACCAATCGGATAAGTTTGTGCTAGTGCGTGAAGACCCTGCATTGCTCTGGATCGGACGTTCCACGCTAGAAAAATTGCTATCTGCAGCATAATTTTAACTTCGGATCCGAGAATGTTTCCCATGGATTACATTCCATTTGCAAAGTGTTCACATTGATCGAAACAGACGCGTTTAATGGTGGGGGCCCGACAAAATGTCGTTTTCTCTTGTGTGTATTGACCACGTACGTGACGCAACTTATTGGTGTGACATTATTTGCAATTCTATTGAGCGGGTACGACGGAATGCACAAGCTGATGTTTGGTCGTCAATTTAGTAGCAGTGTGTCAGCTATTACGTTGAACACATGACACTAACGAAGCTCTTTGGTCTACATCAAGTTGTTCATAACCATCAAATTGACGCGACGAGTTTTTCAGAATGCTTCTACAGCATACTGTATCACCCTCAAAACGCAATGTTGATTGTGATTGTGGGGCCGCTGTCGTGTTCATTGATCGAGTCACAGTTTGTGATCCAACTGCCCTACACTCATCGTTGCTCTATTTCTTCTTTCCGCCCTTCTTCGAGGTCGAATGCTTCTTACCGAGTAAATTGCCATGACGAGCCTTTGAGCGCGGTCGTACCGGCAACTTTCGCTTAGCGTTGACCAGTGCTGCTTCTGCCTTGAGATCCACACGCGGCAAGTCCGTCCGTACTTTGATCGTAGTGTTCTTTTCCATCATTTTCTCGTGCTCTTTCTGTAAAGGTCAGGTTATCGTTAGCTCTCCATTAGATTAAAAGTAACTTGGAAAGCTTACAAAGTTAGTGCGGAATGTGACCATCCGCTCCAGCTTCTCGCGATTGAAGAATTTGCCCTTGGTGTCTACCAAAAAAATCCGCGCGTGTTGGCCAGCTTCAGAATAATGTTGTTTTTGGTGTTGGGGTGTGCCGACACATATGAGATTGGTACATCGATAGGGTTTCCTAAATCCTTTACAAAGCGCATAACAAAGCAATAGTTAGTGCCAGCACCAACAACGTCAAACAGCACTGCTGTCAATACACAAAATCACATACTCCGAAGAACTTGTGGGTCGTAAAACGCAACTTGCCACCGCCGGCGATGACTGATATGCGCGCCACAGTCCGCTGCATCAACAATTGCCACACTAGTGAGCACTACATCACGAGTAAAAACTAAAAGAAACAAAAGCTTAGCTTACTCTTGCATGAAAGCCAATAAGTCCAGCCAACAGAATGCTCATGCCGAAACCAACAGAAGAACCAAAGTCGTCCGAAATGAAGGAGAAGAACGTCGGTTCGCCCAACACCGGGTGCACTGCAGCAACCCTCAACCATTAGTCACACTAAACAGTCTACATCTTCAAAAACTCCTCCACTACTTACTCTCTACAAGACTTTGTTCATAGCCTTTGAGCCACGACCAGAATGCAATCTACACCATAGTAACCGACACTCAGGTCAGTCTCGGCTGCCTAAAGCTTCCTAAAGCTCCGTAATTCACCCATTCTTTACATGAGCAAGAGATCCAGCTGACATGTATCCGAAATAGCCCTGTACAGCACCATAAAAGCAGCAAAAAGACTGTTAGCACTTTTCTTCGTCCTCTCGCTTTTGTTCAGGAGATCTGCCTGCACCTTGCGTGGGTATTCGTAGAGCAGGTCACCGCCCTGTTGCTCCACCTGATCTTTCTGATTGGCCAGCACCTTGTCCCATAGCTTTGTATTGGTCAGTTCCTCCTCTTCACTCTGTTTTTGATGCGACGTCCTATTGACACATTCCAGACTTTAATTTGAGTCTAATTTCTCTATTTTATGCAGCATTGTACACGAAAAAGCATGTACTTGGAGCTGAAGAAGCGAAGACCTTGCATTTGGCCATGGTGAGGGCGTCGGATCAGCAATTGAAGCTGCACGGACGGACAACGCAGCACTTTGAGCAGCATTATGCGCATCAAATGAGCTCCACAAGATGGAGTTTTTTGTTGTCAGTCACACCAATATTTAGTGGTTACATTCAAAAGAAGTGGGACAATTGATCTTGGACATGTGAACAGTCATTTGTTGATTGATAAGTGTAGCCATTTCAAGTTTAATAGCTAAACAGCTTTGTCACCGGCACTTCACGTGCAGAGCTACGTAACAATTGCAACGGGTTCGTCTTGTTTGATATCTCTTTACAACTCGCATATGTTTCATTGCCAACGTTTTGTCAATCATCGAAATCAATATAACTTCAACCTCAAAACGCAACATCCTTCGCCCCAAGTCCTGTAGACAGGTTTCTTGTTAAGCTTCATATTAAAGCACATGTGTTGTTCAGGCACCTTATGCCATAGCCAATGACTAAAACAAGTCACAACATTGTGCTAGTAAGAGCTGCAGTAATCACTGTGCACTCTCTTCAGTCTTTTCTACATATTACATAATGGAAGCAAAGCTGCTGCTTCACGTCATCCTGGAGTGTAGTCTTTTCATCTCCATCTCAGAAAATATCTGGAGGTGGAGGTGGCAGAAAAGAACCTTGACCTCGAGGATCATTCTGCTGCACCATAAATTGCAGTCGATAGTTAGTCATTCGAAGCTGCTTGATCTGAGTCTGGAGCTCTTCGATCACAAGCTCTTGTGTCTCGCTCTGATGTCTGTATGTATTCACCTCACCCAGTGTCGCCTTCAGTAGACGGTTCTGATGCTCAGAGGCCTCCAGACGTGTCTGTATTTCTCTCATTTCCTGCTGCCAACGCTGCATCTGCCGCTCTTGCTCGAGCACACGACGTTTGTTTTCTTCCCGGAGTCGCCATACTTCATGTTGGAGTTGTGTCGTCTGCTCCACGTGTTGGCTTGTAAACGTTTGATTAGGCGAACTAGAGCGTGATTCTTGCAGCTTAAGCGCATTCAGACGCTCGAGTGTTGCGTCAAAGTCCATGAAATACCCGCCAAGCGTCGTTGTTAATACTGTACCCACTTGTCTTTTTTGGCTGTTGTTACACTTTTTGTACTTAAAAGTCTGACTACAAGTTGACTTTCGTACTTTATCAAGTCGTAAGACCACATAAATGTTGTTGAACCGTGATGTAGCCATTCTTGATACCATCGTTTTGTTGTAGTCGAATTAGTTATCATGTTACTTACTCAGCAGCGTATCAAGTGAAAATGGATCACTGAACTTGTAAATGGCACAGTATAGTCAGTAGCTTACGATCATCAGGCGATCTCACTTTGCAAATTGAGGCGTAAGCAATGTTTACTACTTGCACTATTTTGCTACAGTTGAGGACCGTAATACGCCTCGCGACGGTCGAAGTGGGACTGAAGCGGTATTAGTGTTGGTGCTAGGAGCACAATCCAGCCTGTACGAATGCATCCGGTCATGTAGTACACCGTCTCAATCTTCCAACGTTCCAACTCGGTCGCTTCGTTTTCAAGCAGATATTCCATAGAGTTCACGAGAATCAGTAGCGGATCGAAGCCCCGTTTTGCTACAACTTTCAAGTTCAGGTGTCGCGCGTGGACGTCGATGTATGCACACACTGTGACGAGATCTTGACACTACCTGGAGTCGTGGCATTGATTTCAACGGAGAGTAGCTGCCCTTCTTCGCTACTGCTACGGCGCTCGCGCTTCTGTAGAGTCTGCAGTTGCCGTTTCGTATACACCACGAGGAACGCGATTGCCAACACTGTCAGTGAGATACCGGTGACGACCATCACCATCCGACTTGTAGTCATCTTGGTCTCACCCGCAAAAATGGAGGTAATATCTGTCGCTTGTTCACCAATGTACGCCCATAGAACAGCATGTGGGATGCTTCCTATCGCCGATGACACGATAAAGCGTGTGACGGATACTTGAGTGATGGCTAAACTATAGGCCTTGACAAGGTTTGGAATACTGGACAGTTGATACAACACTATTGGCTTCCAGCTCGGACTATTGAGTACTTCGGAAAAAGCTCGGAAGGTCGGGAATTTGGTACGTAGGTAGCCACCAATCATTTCCTTGCCCATGTAACGTCCCAAAAGAAACGCCAGTGTAGACCCACCGGTCTTTCCCACAATGATTGCCACTACTGCATGAGGTACACCAAATAGCGATCCTGCCATCATTTCTAGTGCTGTAGCAGGTAAACAGAGTGGCACGGCCACCCAAAATACAAGAATAAAGCCCAACGTGCCTAGAATCAAATGTCCTTCCACCCATTTTGTAATAGTCACTAGATACTCGTAGACTGGAAGCACGGATAGCAATGAGACTGTAATTATCAGTAACAAAGCGAAAACACCAAAACGTAACCATAATCGACACTTGCTTCGATGCGACCACGCGACGTCATCTCTTTTCATTATTTAATGGTTCAGGTGTACTATTTTTTGGGCCTTTTGTGACATCTGTACCAAAATAAAGGTATATGGATACAGTATCCATATTTGACCCACTTCAACTTGTAAAGTGTAGCCATCTATCATTGTTGCGGCTGTAATGGGCATCGTCTTCTTCCCTTCTTCAGCTACAATGTCTTTACTGATGCGAGATTGTATTTGGATGTAAACACTAATTTGCTGACTTGACGACCCTCTCGTTTCCTATGGCAACGGACTTGACACCTTTAGTCGTTAAAGTTGGCGTCATGTTGCATTCAGTAAAAGTCTTTTTCACTGTTGTTTTGAATTTAGTGGCGAGTAGTTCATGCCTAGAAATGAAAAAAGAAAAGGAAAGCAGGGACAGAATGAGTCGCTCGAGGTGGAACATCTTAGGACGTTCGAATGAAAAAGAGACTCAATAAGTAAATAAGTTTCGATTCCTTATGTATAAAGCATGTGCTACATTATTGCACTAGTGCTTCGATCAAGAGACAGGGTGGCAAAATGAACTTTTTGAGCCAAGAGAAGCAGTGTCAATTGATCAACCCAAACGAACTGGGGGAGAGGAATACCCGCGTACATGCATTTACTTATTTGCTATAATCATACCTATCTCTAATTAATTAAACGAGCTTAATCTATTGTCCACTCTCTCTATCTTAGTACCTTTAGTAATACATATTATCCTTTATATAATTTTTAATTAGTTTTTATCCATTTATATAATAATCGCCTATAAAAAAGTATCTAATCACCACGTCATCCGTCCCTATGTTGGACATCAAGTGGACTCCTGTGCGTTTCTTGGCTTATGGTGTCGGTCACGTTCTCAATGATATGTGTGCATCCACATGGTTCTCCTATCTACTCGTTTTTCTACGTCATGCAGTCGTCATGTCCCCCGTAGACTCGGCAATCGTCATGTTTTGTGGCCAAATTGCCGATGGACTTGCCACGCCCTTAGTTGGCGTCTTTTCCGACCGTTCATCGGGTCTTTCCTGTCTTGGATTAGGACGTCGTAAAACGTGGCTCGCTATTGGCTCTTTGCTCGTGATGTTGTGCTTCTTTTTCGTCTTTGCCACGTGTTTACCCCAATGGTTTTCCGACTCTCCCAGTCGTTTCATCATGCTTGTTTATTATAGTACAGCTGCTAGTATTTTTAATATTGGATGGGCAACTGTCCAAGTCTCACATATGGCAATGGTACCGGAATTATCCGAAGATGATAATATCCGGTGTATTCTCAACAGTACCCGGTACGCTTTTACGATTTTATCTAATGTCTTGATTTTTTGTGTCTTTTTAATCTTGCTACGAGATGTGGCACCTTTTGGAGTTCCTGATGCCGAGAAATTTACGTTACTGGCTTATACTTCACTTGTGGTCGGTGGAATTTGTACACTTATTTTCTTATCGGGAACTCCAGAGAAAGTGATACCACTACAAATACAGAAGAAAACTCCTGGTCATGTTTTGGCACAAAGTCCAGTGATGGCGGATTTGAAAGGACAAGGACTCAGTGGATTCCCATCTGAAGAAGATTTGAATGTTTCCACCGTGGAAGTGACAGAAGCTTTGACTGAGCACATGACGTGGAAATGTTGGTTCAAATTGGGCATGTTTTATGAGGTGGGGGTGGTCTATATGTGCACAAGACTAGTGGTAAACATCACGCAAGTGTTCATTTCGTTCTACCTTATCGTGACGCTCGACATGTCGGCGATCTCGATCGCTATTGTGCCATTGCTAGTGTATCTCTCTGGTTTCTTGGCAACATTCTTCTTGCGCTACTTGAATGAATCTCTGGGACGCACAGGGTCATTTGCTCTTGGAGCCGGCATGATTGTGCTTGCGCTGACACTTTCTTACTTTTTATCGGCGAAAACGGCTACATGGATTTATCCGTTCTCAATCATCTTGGGTATGGGCAACTCGATTATTATGGTCACATCAGTATGTCTAACGGGAGATCTGGTCGGAAATAATGTTGAAAGTGGTGCCTTTGTCTACGGCGCAATGAGCTTCACGGACAAAATTTCAAATGGAATTGCCATTTTATTGATCCAGAATACGCGGCAGCAGCTGCAAGAGATGCCAAACGAAGACGGCATGTATTTGCGGCAAGTGTACTGCATCCTACCGTCTCTTGCTGCACTTGTTGGTCTATGCACAGTGCTGTTCATGACGCACTGCAGTAAATCTGGTGACAGAAGGCGACACAAAGAGGCAAGTGCGTTCAGCAGCAAATTAGAAGAAACCGAAATGCTGCCTGTGAACGACGTGAAACGAGAAGGGTATGGCTCGGTCTAGTCTTTGCAGGTTTACAATTTCTTGCGTGACGCAAAATGAGCATAGGACAAAAGAGTTGTGAGATCGAGCATGGGCTCGAACATGGCAATCGTGTAGATGCTGCAATTGTTCACTGTCTACTCCGTTATGTGATTGGTGTTACGGACTCATGAGCTGCAACAATGTGCAAGATATCGTCTGCAGAGTACGTCTTCTGGTCTAGTTTTTACTCTCCACTAACCGTCTCTGCCAAGCGTCTGCGTTCCTCGAGCTTGTCACGATTGAATCGTGTTACAAATGAATCTTTCTTCCATTTATTCAGCATACGAGTGTCTTTAGCTCGTTGAATCAAACGTTGTTGTGCTTGTTTTTCAGCTTTAAGTGCCCAATCCGTCGTAGCGGCTTCGGAAAAGAATTGATCCCACTCCTCCAGTGCCACACGCTGGAAGAAGCGTGCTACATTAGCCACTGAGTCTTCTCGTTCATCGTCTTGATTAAACTCGATAGCATTGGCAAACATGAGCAACAGATCCGCGCGATATTCAACGGGATCGTTGTATTCGTTTTTATTAAGCTTCGTGCCCATTGTAGAGAGATCCATTGGATGGGAGATGACGTCAAAATACGTTGGAATATTGAGCAGTACAGGGTCGACGGGCTCAAGGAATGGCCATGCAAGGGAATGACGAGATAACTCGGCGTGCAGACGGACGCACTTGGCATGGAGATCTGGTCGCATTGGGCTTGTTTGAATGGTGTTTAAATGGTGTTTGAAACAAGTAGATCAAATATGAGAGTGAGAGAGTAATAATGGAGCAGAGGTACTAACAAACTCATGATTCAGCACAGCATGATCGATCCGAAAGATATGATACATCCACCCGTTCACAATCACGCAGTCGTACAACATCAATGGATTGCAATTCACAAACAGTGAGCCAAACGGGATGATGCACGTCAAAAACGCCAACGTCCTACTTGAAAAAATCAACGTGACTGGACGAAGCTATTATCACAGCGTCGGAGCGTGTAGCACAAGCGCCTTGATCCTTAAACAGCAATTGCTTCCAGCCGCTTGTCAATTGGTAAGTATTTCCAGGTGTTTGTACTTCCAAATCCAAACAGATCCTCGGGACGTCTTGGATGTTCAGTGTTGAAACTGGTCACTGGTCGGTCATCAGCTTGTACCAATTCCATAACTCTTTCACATCCAACACATTATATACAACTTCGAGCACGAGAAACCAATGGAATTCAAGTCAAATTGCAAAAGCCTGCGATTACTGCATACCAAGCAGCCTAGTCCAGCAATCTGCATGCAGCTGAAAGCATCTCATTTACCAGTCAGCATATCATGGCATTCGTTGTAGAGCCCCCGTTCAAGTCCGTGTTGTATATTCGTGAAAAGAGTCTGCTGGAATGTTTGACCTGAAAATGCACTCCACGTTCACTGTCAACAATTGTCCACAATGTCTGTCTCCTTCACGCTTCATATTATGGCCTTGGTTCCCATCGGGAGGATCGGCGATGCTTTTCGGGAGTCGGAGCTGGCTTATAACGAATGTTCACGCCCCGAGACTCATCCTCTCGTCCGTCGTCTCGTGAGTGGGACCGATGCCGATCCTGCGAAGGCGAGCGCCGATAATGTGGATCTCGGGAATGCGATTGTCGGCAATCAGGCGAGGGCGAATGGCGGTGGTAGTCTTTCATATGCTCTTTCGGGTTGTCCTTTGAGAAGTACTTCTTAGGGTAGTCTGTCACGTATTCCTTTGAGTATTCCTTCGCATACTCCTTCGGATAGTCCTTCGCGTACTCATAGTCCTTCGCAAGCCCTTTCGAATAACCCTTCGTATACTCCTTCCGATAATCGTTTGCATATTCCTTTGGGTGGCTCTCTAAGTACTCTGTCGGGTATTCCTTCAAGCGAGCACGATGACGTGACGTTGAATGCAAAGTGTGTCGGTGTGGAGACTCCAAATGGCTGAGGTTTGCCGATCGTTGGTGGTAATCCTTGGCCGGCGGCGAAGCAGACGCTGACCGGGAACTAAACGATCTCGAACTGCTACGTGATCGGGAGCGTTGTCTGCGTGAGTGCTCTCTCTGAGGTTCCATCTTTCTTGTTTCATGACGACGATCACCATAGACGTGATCGTTGCGGTGATGCGAGCGACTACGTGGCGATAGCGATCGGGATGGCGACCGCGAAAGAGAAACAGAATACGACCGTGAGCGAGAGCGAGACGATGAGCGAGAGTAAGAACGACGTCGAGACTGACGTCGTTCACATCGTGACGACCGTGAGCGAGAGCGCGACCGTGATCGTGACCGCGACTGCTTGCCTTTGTAATAGCGCTCTTTCTCTTGGGTATGACCACGCGAGCTCCCTGACTGATATTGTTCGTGATTCCTTCTCGGTAAGTTTTGAGGTTTCGCGGGTAACTGCACCCCATATCCACGATCTTCTGTCGGGGCGCTGTAGTGTGAGCCAAGCGTAGAAGCGTTGGTCTCTCGTGGGGATCGGTGATAATTGGTGTAGCCACGATCTTCTCTACTTTCCGTTCTAACATCGTAGCGGCGATCAGAATATGGTGGAGATTTTCGAGATCGTTGATAATTGCTGTAGCCACGATCTTCTCTAGTTTCCCTTGGGCCGTCATAGCGTTGATCATGCACTGGGTCTCGAACGGACTGTTTGATTCTCGGAGAGCCGTATCCGCGATCTTCCCTTGTTTCTAACATATGTTGCCGGACCGATGAATAGACCGTTTTCTCTCGCGGAGACTTCTGGGGCCACTGGTGTCCCATCAAGTTATCTTCTCTCGCCTCCACTGGGGCGCCATAGCGTTGGTCAGGCTCTGAACCGTATTGGAGCGCAGGAATAGTGCCGTGCGGAGGTGGTGGCGCCGGGTGGGACATCGGTACGCCATTAGCCTGGTACCCTACAGGCGGATGAGGAATTTCACGTTGCGCGGGATACCGCACTGTAAGTGGAGGGGGAGGAGGCGGACGGTGTCCAAACGCACCAGAACGCTGTGCTGAAGAGAGAATCCGTGGAGGGGGAGGTGGTCGCGGGATTGCTTCGCCGTGAGGTCCTGAGGCTGTCGGAGGCACTACGTGCGAAGGCTGAGTAGGAGGCATTAATCCTGATCCTACCGCAGGAGGTCGTACTTCCACAAGCGAAGTTTGAGGTTGAGAAGCAGAAATGGTGGCTCCTTTACCTGCAGAATACCCATTTCGCCTCTTTTCAACATCCTCATTGTCAGAAACTTCCATGGAGCTTTCCGATTTTAGTGGCCGGAGTGAGCCAGACTTGGCTCCATTCTGCGCCTCGGAGGCTCCATCTCCGCTTGTAATTCCGTTCACAGCTTCGCTAGAGGCCTGGATAGAGGCAGCCAGGGCCATTCGTTCTTCATTTTTAATCTCCAAAGACTGACGCACCTGAAAGTCTTTCTCCCGGCGCTTCCGCAATGCATCAGACCGCATTTTCTGCTCGGACTGACGACGCTTCATAAAGCTTTGAATGGGCGGAGGGGCTAGAAAAAAGCTAGAACGTGCGCGCGACTTCTTCTCTATACGATAGACTGCACTCTGTATCCGCACCTGTTCGTCAAATAATAGCCCATCGCAGTCGAAAAACGTTTTGTATCGCTTAGCAATTTTCAGCAGCGCGTCCGACGCTTCATCGCTATGCTTCAGTTCCTCTGCTTTATCGACCCATGCCAGCGCCCGCTCGCGCTCGGATTCAATGGCGCACCAATCGATCAAAGATACAGCCGCCATCGCCTGTTTTTCCTTTTTATCAGCGCTTGATTCCTCGTCGCCGCTGTCACTGTTGTCCAAAACCAAAGAGCTTCCTCCAACCGCTCCGAGTTGCTTACGAATTTTTGCGTAATCCGGAAAGTCTTCATACTTGAGCGACTGCAGATAGTCCATCATCTCCAGTAATTGCATGGCACCTGGTAGGCCCTCCACCAACAAACTTGGATTTATTTCCGTGTAGTGTTCTTTGAGCCTCAAAACAGTTTGGCGGTTTTTCAGCTGTGCATCAGCAGCCCAGGGCAACTCACCGCGCATGAAGTCCATTACAAGATAAAACCACGACCATAGGTCATCCTTTGGACCTAACTCCTGTCGACGGTGCGAGCTCAACGACGCATACATGGAAGTGCCTCGAAACTCAGCAACTGAACGCGCCGGCAGCACCTGTCGATCTTCTCCAATGTGCTGTCTCGACAGTCCAAAGTCAATAATATAGTATCGCTGCTGCCTCAGCGGATTACGATCCGGAAGAGCATTCAAAGCAAAGTTTGACGCCTTGATATCGCGATGCACGTATCCATGTCGATGGAACGCTTCAATGCAATCGAGCATTTCCAATCCAACCGAAACAGACTTGGCCAGTGGCACTCCATGGATTGAATCAGGTGACATTCTCAGCATCGACATGCTGTCTCCTAGTAGCTCCATTACCAATACTGTGCTGTCCCCATGTTTGCCATGATAGTAGTATCTGCACACGTACGAACAATCCTGAAGGCTTTTGAGGATTAAACTCTCCCACTCGAGCACTGGCTTGAGAGAACTTGGTGCTTCTACCTTCACTGCAACTTTATCTCGACTCTCGATCGAGTACGCAGAGTAAATCTGACTAAATGTACCCTAATACAATATAAAAAAGAAACAATTTGGAAGAAAAAGTATTTAATAAAAGAATAAAAAAGCATGAATAAAAAACGAGATAAAAATAGCCAAACACAAAATTCGGTTACCTCTCCAATCTTTTCTCCAATTTTCCACTTTTCGGCAATTACTTCCCCTGCCTATTATTAAATTTTAAATAAAAGAGTATATATAATTATTTAGTAGAAATAACTAAACAAGAAATTTCACAAGAAAAAAATAAAAAAATATAAAAAATAACAATATCCCCTTTACCAGTAATATATTCTTGTTCAGAGGCTCCATCGGCGACGAAGCGGCTCGCATCATTGTTTTCTACTGTATTTTGAAGGGCTATGGGATACCAAGCACGACTACAGAAATCTTCTTGCTGTCTTAAAACTCGTGATAGCTTTACAAGCGCTTATTGTGCGCTTATACTGTAGCAAAGAGAAGCAGCGGCTCCAGCCAGCCGAGGGAATTTCGTCAATGTCAAAATGGCACTTAAACGAAAAACGCTGGGTTTTTTTAGCGGTAAAAACGGTTTTAACAGGCGTTTGATACATGTTGTATTGTGCAAAAAAACAAACAGTATATGCGCACGTTTTGTCAACCAATCCGCTACCGATATACAACATCGCTTATGAATGTATAAGTCCGAACTGGTGTCATCTTGGTACATACTGGAGGGCTAAGTACGTGATGTTGTCGACATTGTCAAAATCTTTATCGCTTGCTCTTATCGAAAATGGGTTATGATGGTAGGTTGTTTAGTAGACCATGTGCGTAGAAGGACGCAGATTTGAAGGTGATTAAGACATTAGGTCTTTTGACACTTGGAGCTGAGCGAGTTGGTTGCGATTATAGAAATACTGTTAGAAGGTGGTGAGAGACTAAGCAACTGCTCAGAAGTAAAGCTGGTGTATTAGCTACAAGCCATCAGTTTGATGGTGTCAAAAGCGCAGGCTTGGCTGAGAAACAGACTTAGTTACGAGCCGGAAAGCTGCAATTTAACGATATTGAATCATGCAGAGACCGTGGGCATTTTGTAGGTGCCTTCCACGAAAGCGACAATTACTAGATCAGGCAATAATCCCTCAATGTCGCCTTTGCGTGAGGGGACGGACAGCGGCTCCAAAAGTAAAATAAACTGGCTTCAAATGAGGAGCAGCTCTCGAACAGATTCGTTCTACTGTAGGCGTTTTAAAGAATATATCTAGTATTGTAGTAACCGAGTTCCCGTTTATGCAGTCTCCAATGCTAAAAGCAACATCTAGAGGAGGTGACAAGCTCCAGGAGGTGTTTAAGCAACTTAATGAGCACAATATATATGACAAATGTTAGAATTTATTTTTGCTAAAATACATGGAAGTAAAAAATAAATGTGTAGATTTTATCATCTTTCGATTCGTACTTAATGATCGAGTGTCGGTCTCCCTTATTGACATTCACTCCTGCTTGGGATTTCGCGCCAAAAGTCCCAATAATGGCGCGTTCTCGTGCCATCGACATTTTGTTCGAGTTCGATGCGCCGCAGACATACCGCGACCTTAGCGCACCATTGTCTCCTCTTGCACCAGGTGAACACGACGTCTGGTTTGATCAGATCCATCCGCAACATAGCAAACCCAGTGCCGTTTTAGCACGAGAAGCGGTCGGTGTCGTGCGTAAGTTGCAGGAAAAAGAGAAGCAACTGAAGGATGTTCAGAGTCAACACAAGATGAAACGATGGAGTGGAGGCAAAGAGAATCATGTGCGTGTAAGGACTGGAGAATACGAGCAGACGAGACAGAAGCAACTAAAGTTGCGGGAGAGAAAGAAACACACAAGTCTTGAGGAAATGCGAGCAACAGACGAGCCATTCCAGATCCATATGGAAATTAAGAAGAAGGAAATTGTCTTGGAAAGACACAGGAAACCGCTTGGGGATGCACGGAACCGGCTGAATGTTTCAGGAAGAGAAAGAACGTTGCCGCATAGTGAAAAGAAGACAATGAGAGACTGGCAGGAGCTGCTCAAGAGACATAATAATAAGTTCAAGACTGTTCATACGTACGAGCCACCGCAACACTCTGTGCGAGAGGTGAAACAGGTAGGAAAAAAAGAGAGAGAGAGAGGGGGGTGGATGAGTGGGTACGTTTTTATTATTAGTGAAAGGATAGGAATAACCTTTTTGTTTACTGTAGTGGGAACGCGAGACGAAGAAAACTTATTATGCCTTGTCAGTAGAGGAGCGAGCGCAGGCGAATGAGGAGATTACAGTCTGGAAGCAACGAAAAGTGGCCAGAAGCCATTAGGAGATGGATGAAAATGGAACGTTTTGGATCTATGGACACGAGTTTATCCACGCGTATCTCTCTTGTTGTATGTATGTTAGCAGACAGAGTATGGCTCAATTGCTACAGAGTAATTGGTTCGAGCTTTTGTTTGTCGAGACGTCAAAAAGTGCTAGGATGAAGATGGTTGAGTAGACAGTCGTCGTTAAGGTGATAATGGTTGGATTTCTTGATGGACGGACACACTTGTACACGCCGTCAAAGATAGGGGAGACTGATAACTTTATTATCTCAACTTTTAGAAATGAGTACAATTGCTTCGTAGCAAAACCCATGGGTCGGTCAAACCCAGAACTAACCCATCAACCCACTTTCAGTGTATCATACTAAAAGGGTCAACCCACTTGTCATACTCGAATTTGCTCCCTCTCGTAAAGAATGACTCGTACGTATTTTATTGGTGGTAACTGGAAATGCAACGGTACCGTTCAGTCCATTACAGACCTCTGTTCTTTGCTTAATAAGGTGGATATCACGTCAAACAAATTGGAAATTGTCGTATCACCTTCTACACTTCATATTTCTCTAGTCAAGTCTTTATTACAGGACAAGATTATGATCAGTGCTCAAAATGTGAGTCTTACGGGTACAGGTGCTTATACGGGTGAGATTGCAGCCGAGCAGTTTCTTGATATGGGGATCAAATGGACTATCACAGGACACTCGGAACGTCGTGCTTATTACGGTGAAACAGACGAGATTGTAGCCAAGAAGACAAAACGGGCCCTGGACGTGGGTCTCCATGTCATTTTCTGTATTGGTGAGTCTCTTGAAGAACGACAGGCCAACAAGACTTTGGACGTACTGATTCGTCAGACGCAGGCCTTGACTGACATTGTGTCGGAAGAAGACTGGGCACGTGTCGTTGTTGCTTATGAGCCCGTGTGGGCCATTGGCACGGGTGTCGTGGCTACACCCGCTCAGGCTCAAGAGTCTCACAAGGAGTTGCGTGCTTGGATCGCCGGCAAAGTGTCTTCCAAAGTGGCAGAGAATGTTCGCATTATCTATGGCGGATCAGTCAAGGGTGACAATTGTGAGGAACTCATTGCCCTTACCGATGTTGACGGCTTTCTTGTTGGTGGAGCCGCACTGAAGCCGGAGTTTGAGAAGATTATCAAGAGCGCTTTCTGAGTAAGTGGCATAGTATACTTCCTGGGCTGATACTTATCGGCTAGTCTGCTTGCTAGACACGGACAGAACTTCGTTAATACAGACGATTACAAAACTGACTGTACAGGTCAAATTTTGTCCATGTTCCACCAGTATTTGTCAAGGTAGGAAACAAGCCCAAACTATAACCACGACATGCTTCACGTGCGTATCAGTCTAGCATTCATCAAATGATGGATTAGTCATTGGCATAGCTGATGCTGATTCCACCAGGTCTCCATGCCGGCTGCTGCACTTTATCGTCCACCATCAACGTGGCATCCACCAATGAGGAAAAACTCTGATACGACATTGAATGGATGGACAGGAGGCGCTGGGCGCTGCAGTACCAGTGAACACGTTGTCGCCATAGATGAGCGCAGTTGGGGTACAGCTTCCACATCTTATAGGCTTTTCAAAATGTCCGTAGCGAAGCGAGAACCAAGTACTGGAAGACGGAACAGCCTTTTCCACGCAGCACCTTCAATAAATATAATGGCTCGGATAAAGCCAAGCACTGCTGGAATTGTACGGTCTTCTTGTAAGGATCATACTAAGAGTAGCCGATGATGGTAAAGGTTTGCTGTGATTGCTCGACGGTCACCCAGAAACCTCTCATAGGCGCAGCAAATTGGTCGATCATGTTCACGTTTCTTGTCAATACCTTTTGCTGCCAGGATTTTATCGTTGGCTTTGATGACCCTGGCTTTCGTGTTTGCCGATCGTCGATGTCAATGAAGTTCGCTTTGCTAGCTGAGAGCTTCTCTAGTAACAATGCGTCCAGCGTCACGAGTGTCTAAACACATGCATTTTGTTTGTCGTCAGACACAAAGCGACAAACTCGTGACACGGGTCCATGGTCTTGACAGATCTCTTTCAGCACGCAAGTCAAAAAATGTGCAAGACATTCGTCATGAGTGGATCAGCATGAGCACACACACACCGACTTACATCAAGGCTTTGCCTTCACTTACAAGTTCCAAAGCATTGACGGCAGACCTTCTGCCCCTCGACGAAGAATCAACGATAGTGCTTGGCCTTGTGGATCAATCAACAGCGAAATACCGGAGTGCCTTGCCATTTGGATGGAAAGAGGATCTGACGGCAGACCCAGCACTCCTAGTCGTAAACTGTTTCAACAGTGCGAGGAATTTCATAAGCGCCAGACCACGAGTCAACGGGATCGTATACGAAGGTTTAGCTGGACTGATATCGCTGGTCGTAATGAGAAAAGGGACGTGAATGGACCATTATCGAGAATCGGCACGCGAATTACTCATCGTCGACCTTACGCATAAGCTGCATCCTCATGCAAGTTGCTGTCAAAAAGTTGTGTCTTGATAAGGCGACAGCTACAAAGTCAACCCGTTCAGATATCCACATGGTATACCCCGCTCAGTCAAGTCGTGTCATCCTTTCAAAATGTCCACACCTTGTCGCAGAACGGCCCAAAGGCCTTCAGTCACCAGCGAAATCCCATTCAAAGATCGGTCTCCAGTGTATCAGCCTCACTTTTACTTGCAAAAGCGGAGTATCGTCCGTGTTCGCGATTCTCTCCGGCCACAGAAGACTGCCATCATGCACTGCAGGTGTCGTTTGGAATTCGCTTATCATAGACTGCGAATAAAGGTCATGTAGGTTGTGACTACTTTCTTACTTGGCTTGTCGTTTCTTGAACAAATATCCACTAGCACGTGATCACCTTTTTCTTTCTTCGCTCTTCCGAAAAGATGGTATGCAACAGCATGCAAACAGCTAAACGCCGAAGATCGCCTTGGTCATTAGAGCATTAGCTTGTAACTGTCTCTTCCAGTATCGTCTTCGTCTCTAAAGAGCCGCAGCTCCTCTATCACTTCGTTCACTGGTGCCACCTCTTGGTTGGCGTAATAATAACTGCACACCATAACAAGTAGAATGAGCTAGCCTGGTCATAAGTCAGTCATACATGCGTACAAGTCATAGCTCACGTGGTATCGGAGGCACAATTTTTCAGCTATGCTCGCTTCTCTTGGAAATACACGATAATGTGCTGATTTTCTTTTCCAAAAAAACTGATGAACACGTTTGTGATGAGGTTGTCGTCGAATATCCGTGAGATTTGCAAGTAGCACGCTTTCATCACCGACGAGCAAGATTGAGCTAATACTCGATCTCAGACATCTTCAATGCTAGAAGGAAAGCGTCCTCTTCGGACATGATGTCACCATGTGCTGCTCCGTTACTGCTTCGACGTCCATTTCGTGAAGTCGTCGCTGTCTTTTTGCGCTTTTTGGCTGGGCCAGCTGCCTTGACCTCGGTGCGTTTTGGGCGCTTGGCTGACTTGACACCTTCTGGAGTTGCAGGAGCGGCAGCATTCGCAGTGACAAGCTGTTTCTGAACGCGTGCAGCACTTGTAGATTTTACTTGTTTTTTCACTTCTAGCTTCATGGATGTCTCCATTCCACTACTCGAAGAAATCGCGGTAGTAATCCATCCTCGAAGGTTTTACCCCTGGCGGGTTTTTAGAAGATGGCTCTTTCTCAGGCGCTACTGCAGTAGATGCTGCTGCATCAATCTCATGTGGAGCTGACTTTGCTGCAGAATTTTCACAGTCAATGTTTGTTGGTGGGACCCCCGCCTGATCTCCACTTTCACTGCTATTATGAGGCGAAAATTGCAGCCGGCGAGGTGTTTGCGGCCATTGGCGCTGCGCATCTTCGTCTACAGAAACCACGCCTGTGTCGCTTGTTTGTGCCTTCTCCTTTGGTTCTTCCTCCTTCTTCTGCCTCATCTGGAAAGGCCCCTTAGTGTGAGGGGTAGCTGGGGTCTGTTTTGGTTGTGTTGGCGTTGGCAACACTCCACCAATTGATTCAGATGGGGACTGTTTAGCGCGTGAAGAGCGACGTTTGCCATCGCTTTCAGACAGTCGAATCGCTTCCTTCAGCGCGTCCTCCTCGGACATCCCCATTTGGTACACCTGTACATCCGTTGTCTTATTGATTGCTTTAAGAAGCATAGAGCTCTCCCTTTTCGATCTCGAGCTTTTTGCTTTCTTTGCGAGCGCTTTGTTCGGCTGTTTCGACTTCATTTCTATCTTCTTCGGTACCGTAGCAGACGACTCGGCATCTGTAGCCACGTGCTCTTTGTTTACTGTCGCCAAAGTGGATGCAACAACGAGGGGTGCGCTGGGCTCTGGTTCGCCGCTGCCTTTAGATTGCATCTCACTCTTTTCGTTTGCTTCAATACTTGTATCACGGTTAGCTTCAGCAACAACGGGTACTGCTACCGTGTCGGGCATAGTTCCGGTGGGCCCTGCGCGCTTTTTACATGTTTCTAATTTCGCTGTAGGTTTTGTTTTTGTTCTGACAATCGTCTTCGTCTTCGTCTTTGTTGCTTTCGCTTTTCGTTTTACTGTGGCGCTAGCTTTTGCGCTCAGACCTTTCTGCTGTAGCTTCTCCTCTACTACCGGAGTTGGAAACGAGCCTGGTGTATCTGTACCGGTCTCTGGTACAGATGCAGTCGAGGCATCAGCGGCTTTTGACATCTGAAGAGCTAGCAAGTAAGCGTCCTCCTCCGACAAATCTAATTGGTACTCCTTCATCAACCGAGCTTCTTCCGGGTTTGCATTAGTTGTACTTGCCTTCGCCTCTCCTTCCTCATCATCATCTGAGACACTAATGCGATCGTCATCTGAGCTGTCTTCCATCACAAGAGAAAGATCGGACTCTTCTTCCTCGTCTTCCTCGTCGAATTCGGCTTCCTCTTCCTCTTCACCACTATTATCCAATTCCACTTGTCCATCTTCCTGTATGAAAGATTTTCGTTGCGATTTTGCGCGTGGCTTCGCCTTGGCTTTGCCTTTGTCAGTAATCGGTGGCTTCTTCCTGTACTTGCTCAAAGCTGTGTGCATCCCCTTAGCTTTGGCAAAACTTCCAAGCGTCCTTGCTTTTCGTCCTGCATTTATCATTCCTTTCGTTCTGCCTCCAGTCTGCTTGCTCGGTCCCTTCTTCGGCACGTGATGACCACCTACTGTTGCAAATATCTTCTTGGGTCGACCAATCTTCTTCGTTGGTGGCAAGAAAAAATTTGTGATCAACGTGTCGAGCACCTCCTGCAGTTCAAGCAAAATCACAAGTCCAGCATGGCCCCCAGCAGCGAGGAAGCACGGATAATCGCCTTCAGTACAGGAAGATAGACGGAGGCGGTGTAAAGCAGCATCTCGCTCACAGAATTCCCTCGTATTTTGGCTTCCAGAATCCGCATTTCCCAATATAGAGTGCTTCTCGAACGATACTGTTAACGACTTGAACGACTTATCAATGCTAGAGTCCTTTTCGCCGGAGAGGCGGCATATTTCCAAGCAATTCTGAGGTGCACGATATAGCTTTTTGGCTGGAGCTGCTCGAATGCTGCCAGATGTGCAAGATGAGACAAGTAATGGCACAGCACCACGCCGAGCGAACTGCAGGTCCCACACAGGTGAGTCTATTTGCGGGTGGAAATGCAGCTTTTGGTAGCTGCCACTCTATAAACACCACATCAAACAAATGTGTTAGCAAGATCATCATTACAAAGACACATCATTGCCATCGTAATGAAATTCGTACCAATATGTCGTACATAAAGATGGAGCCTTGGTCACCAGAGATCTGGATTGAAGTTTGATCCATCCACTGAAGCGCAAGGCCCCATGTCGAGCGTATTCGGTGTGACCGAAGGCAGACGCGAGGCTCACGTACATCCCATACCTTGAACACGGAGTCCTGTTGTCATACAAAAGAGTAAGGATCCAGATCGCTTTGAACACAAGATAGACCTTACATTGCCAGTGGTGGCGAAGATGTGTTCGTCAAACGGAGACCAAGCAACGGCGCGGATTGCAACCCATCCACAACCCCAGTCAAAAGCCTCTTGCTTTCCAATCGTGTCGGCTGGACAGCACACGTACATTCCGAGGTTATCAATCATTCTGCCTTTTTCTAGAGATTGTTTTTACAATTATCATCCTTACCGTCCTGGAAACGCCGTTGTGGCTCTATAGGCGCTGGTTGTACATGCCTGATTTTTAAGCTTCGACTTTCTTTAACAGCTGTTTCAATATTCCACAGCGATACAGAACCTACACCAATGAGTAGCAATGACAATACTGAGTCAAGCTGTACACTCCTACGAAAAGGGACCAAATTGCGCCCTACCGTCAGAAGCACCCGTTAGAAGCATATTCCAATTGTGTGGAGACCACTGCACGCTCAACTGCATGATACGTGGTAACTTGCCCACCACAATGATAATGTCCTTTTCCACAACATAATCTGTTTCTTTGACCAGCTTAGGCTGTAACCTTTCCTCCAAAATTGCAGGAATCTCATATACTTTCAGGCTTCCATCTCCAAAACACACTGCCAAAATACCGAGACAATCTTCCCGACGACACACCTTGGGAAATGTTTTCACCAAGGGGCACCATTGCAAGTTCCATGCAACGCCACTATTGTGATCAATTGCATACACAATCCGTGGCTTCACAAGTTGCTGGTTTGCAGTCTTTCCTCTCATACATTGTCCTCCTCCAGCAGTAATGGGTCGTTGCACCGGCACCGCCCAGATCTGGATCAAATTACGCCCACTCTCCGGTACATCGTAATAATGGTCTGGTGGTGTCGATTTTACCACTTTTCCTTCTTCCACTTGGCAGGGCGGATGTGTCGCCAATGCTAGGAATTTCCACTCTAATTTAATGACTTCCTCTGTGTCCACTCTACCATTTAAAGCTTCTGTCGCCTCTCCATCTGCGTCTTGTGATGTCTCTGTTTTGATGTTTTCTTTGCATCTCAGAGCCTTCGTAGCACGCGATTTACCAGCTGCAGAGACCACTCGAGCCTTCTTCTGTTTAGATTGAGTACTATCAGCAGTTACAGGCGCTTGATTGACTCTTGTCTGGGACGGCAGCCAGTCCATAGCCCACACAGGTCCACCGACGTTCAGTACCATCTGCTCACCGTTATTAAGACATTCACTGGCAAAAGGATGTATCACAGTAATGCCCGTCGTCTTCTGCATTGACTCAGATTCATTTTGAGCAGTTTGTAAGCCTGTACGAGCCTCTAGAAGCTGTGAAACAATTGGAGCTTCGTTGGGATGGGTGTTTGCAGTCTTAAGACCGGTCTGGTGCAATTCCTGGGTCGATGGAGATGGCGAACATTGGGCAAGAGATGCAGATACATGTGATTCATCAGTTCCAGCCACTTTTAGGTGGATAGACTGGAAATGCGCGCCGTAAGACACTGCACTGCGCCATGCATTGAGCTCCATATATGCCAGCTATCCACTCGCTTGACAACGTAGGAAATGAAGTGGGACACATCAAAAGTACAAATTGAGTGAAAAGTATGCCCTAAGTATGAATAATCGGCAGTTTTGGACATCCTATTTGTCCTATCCTATCCTAAACTACGTCCGCTCGTAATCGAAAGCGTCCACTAGCGTCCACTACCAAGATATATTCCGTCCACTCTACCATGAAGGTCCGTAATGTGCCTGTGGTCTCCTACGACTCGCTAGTTGGTAGAATGGACCTTTCAGATGTCATTGAAGAGGCCTTTGGCTACGAAGGGATAGGAATTCTTGCAGTGAGTGACGTCCCAGAACTTAGCAAGAAACGGAAGAATCTCTTACCCTTGGCCTTTGCATTTGCCAATCTCCCGGATGATGTGAAGGCAAAATGTGAATTACCTCAAGCTTTTTACAGCTTTGGGTGGAGTCACGGTAAGGAGAGATTGCAGGGTAGACCAGACCTTGCGAAAGGGTCGTATTATAATAATCCAGAGACCAATAACTTGGCTAATGGAGACCAGGAGCTTATTAACAGGTTCCCGTCTTTCTTCCATCCTAATATCTGGCCTACAGAGTTACCAGAGTTAGAGGAGGCATTCATGCAGTTGGGACAATTGATTGTGTACACGGGGATGTTGGTGGCATATCAGTGTGACAAACTCGTCGAGAGCAAGTGTCCTGGGTATGAGAAAGGTAAACTGCACCGCATCATTAGCACGAGCAAGTGCTCCAAAGCTAGGTGAGTGAGTGAGTGTAATGTTTGTCGAGCACAGGGCTTTGACGTGGTAATGCTGATTTTTGGGACAGATTGCTGCACTACTACGCGCTGTCAGAGGAGCAAATTGCAGCACAGAGTGAAGCCTTGACGCTCGAGGACTCGTTCGCTTGGTGTGGCTGGCACAACGACCATGGAGCACTCACGGGACTGGTGCAAGCCTTGTTCACCGATAGCACGGGCGTCATGGTGCCGAACCCAGATCCTGCAGCCGGACTCTACGTGAAAACCCGTCGGAATGAAATCCTCAAGGTCAACATACCACCTGGCCACTTGATCTACCAGATCGGTGAGACATCGCAGATCCTCTCCGGAGGCACGTTACAAGCCACCCCACACGCTGTGCGAGGACCTCAGGTCACGGGCGTGAACCGCGAAACACTGGCTGTGTTCATGCAGCCTTTGCCTGACGAAAGGATGGCTGTGCCGAGCTTCGTGGACCCTTTTAAGGCTGGAAAGACCGAGCATTTACCGACGGACGTTCCATCTCTGCTCTCACGCTGGAACAATGAAATGGACTATGAAGACTTTACACAGGCCACTTTCAAGGCCTACTACTGTCGCTGCCACGTGCTGCCAAATGAACAATATTGATGTGATTAATCATGAAACTTGCGTTGCAGTTCTTTATCAATGCAGTGAATACTCCATCACAAACGCAGTACGAGGCTCCAAGTGACGGTAGTAATCCTCGACCCGATCTTTTTCCACAAAACCCAAAGCTTTGTAGAACGCTAGTGCTCCATCGTTCTCAGTATGGACATGGAGACGTACAGCGTCAATCTCTCCAGTGTCTTCCTCTGCTTTCTTGGCTTGTTGAATAACTTTTAACACTAACTTCTTCCCAATTCCTTGGCGTCGAAATTGAGTGGGGACCGCCAGTGTACGAAGTTGCACCGTTCGGTGTCCACTGCGTTCCAATTCGAGATCAGCAATTACAGCGCCACATACAGCACCCCCATCACTAATCATGGCAGCCCACGACAGACAGTGTGTGTCCTTTGCCGCACGACGATAACAGAAGACAGGGGGTTGAACCGGTAAAATTCCCAAGTTAAGCTTCTGTACAGCACGCACAAGGGCCGCATCATCCGTTAAACAACGTAGCTCCATTGGTTCAGAGTGGTAGAGTATCGATTGGTGATAAGAGACGATGACAACGACCTTCTCTTGCAGCGGGCCTGCAGCACTATGCTTTGTTCAAGATGGCAAGTGGTTTCAAGGGTTTTTTATCTGTGCATCGAGTCGCACACAGCTCGGTCTAATGGGCGAAGAACTTCCTGTGGATGACTGGTACGTGACAGATAATCTAGAATTCAAGTATGGGGGGGGGGTCTTTAGCTCAAAAATTGTTCTGCTGTCTGTAGTGTAGCGTGTTCAGATGGAGGTTATCAGGAATATTGTCTTACAGTGATGCACTTTGCACTGGACAAAGAGGTCAAACTGGTTGTGAAGAAGACTGGAGGGAATCTCTGTCAATTAAACAGTGACACAGTTCAATTCTACCCTTCGATGCTGTTGGTGAGTGCTTCAGGTTGAAATGAATTAATTTGCTTTTCTGACATGTTTGCAAGACTGATGACAAGGCTGTCGAAGCTATTGAGACGTACTTCCCTAGTATCGCAGAACGTGTCAACCATGATACGGTGTGTAGCTCTTCATAAATGCTTGCAACTTACAAGATTTGTACCACTTGTATATTCATGATCCCTGTTTAGACCTTGATGCAGGAATGCACGGTTTGTTTTGGTGAAATGGAGATCACTGGGCTCGCTTTTCCTTCGTAAAGAATACAACTATCCGATCACTTGGTTTGCAATAGCATATACTTCCAATGTGGTAATTTGGCTGCTACTCGCTGTGTTGTCGGGGCTCGTGTGGAACAACAACCTCGCGAGCGGCAAATTTATACTTCAGTACAATGTCTAGAACCCGGCAAGCCAGTCAACGTCGCCCTTATACACATTTCCAATGTTCAGGTTTTCTTGGCTTCCGCTAGCTGCAACCTGCTTGAATTCTGATGCAGCCTCCGGCTCAAGTGGTGCCTGTTTAGTATAGACATAAATAAAGGTCAGTCAGCAACTCTCCTCCATCCAAACAAGCTGAGGTAAACATGACGGACCGAGAACGAGCCCATCTTTGTGGCCTCCCACGAGGTTCCAGCAAAGAACGCGTGCTTTTTGATCGGCTCGCAGGCACTAGCGCGGACTTCCGAGTATCCGAGACGATGTGTAAGGTCAGGGCTCAAAAGATTCTCGATAATATCCTTCAGCTCGGCACTTGTATGCTCAGGCCACGACAAGTTAACCGGGCGAAACGATGCAATGTCATTTAGAATCTCCAAATCATTCTCGTTTTCTCGGTTAAAAGGAGTCGCGCCAGTTAGCATTTCGTACATGAGTACACCAAGCGCCCAGTAATCCGCAGCAATGTTGTGGCCTACAAAAACGTACATTAGAATAGCGTGCGTTCCAGAGATTATACGAGTGGCACATACCTTCGCCAGTAATTTGCTCCGGGGCTAGATACTCTGGAGTACCACAGACAGTGTAGGTTCGGCCACGGCCAACATACTTGGAAAGTCTACGCAAAGCAGGCAACAAACAAAACCATCAGTCGATATAATCAGGCAAACGAAAAAGATAACGACCATACCTCAAGTTGATCATGCGAAGGTTTCCACTGCGATCAACCATGAGGTTCGTCGGGTCAACCGTTCGCGAGACAATGCCCTCCTACACGGAAAGATAATTGTTAGTCTTCATTAGAAAACAGCCCAAAGACGCAATAAAGCTTACCACATGCATGAACTCGAGCGCCATCACCACTTGCGCAGCATAGTAGCGAACGAAAGACTCTCCGTGTGGCTCGCCATCCAAAAAACTCTCGAGGGTGCCCACGATTTGTGTGTCATACAGCATGTGGATATCCGAGCCATTGGAGTTCATTCCAAACAACTGTGGCACCAATGCATTCTTTTCGTAGAGAGAGACGTAGATGTCACGCTCACCACTGACATGCTTCTGCATACCAGCGTCAACAATTGCTTGCTTGCTCACCGACCGCAAAGTCAAATATTGTCGAGACGACGACCCCTTGATCTCCACCAGACGGACAGTGTTAATCAAGTCGGACATTACGCTTCCAACAACCTCTAGGTCATCAATTGACTTAGGCATGTTTGTCTTCGTCTCGTTGTCATATTGGACGAATGTGCTTGTCTGCAACAACACCAATGCATATCACTATTCAGTTAATGCGTGACTGAAACAAGTCATAGTTCAAACGAAAGTTACCGTTGCCTTCTTTTGCGCCTCGGCAATCCGCGCCTTTCGTGCCCGACGCAGTTTGTCCTTCTCTAAAATCGAAGACAGCTTGCCAACAGCCAATTCCAGTGCATCCTTTCTGATGAAGAGGCACTCGGTGCGCTCAATTGCTCGAATGGAACGTTGGCTATATGCATAAAAAATACTGTCAGCTTCACCAAACAGCATCAAAACCTCATTAAAGCGTCATACCTGATCGACCGTCTTCGAACTAGTGCGATTTCGCCAAAATAGTCAAACGTCTTAAGTTCGACGGGTGCCACGTTATCCATTTTGGAGGTTGATTCAATGCGACCACTAGTAATTAGAAAGAATCCAGGCTCTGCCATTCCCTCGTGAAAGACAACTTGATTTGGTTCGAAAACAACAGTGCGCATCTCTTCTGCAACGAGGTTCGTCTGTGCAACAGTCAGTGGGCGTAGTAAGCTAATCTGACGAAGCCGTCGAACGACATCGCGCAATGGTCGTCCCCGCATCAAAATCGAACGGAAAGCAATTCGATCGAGCGCCCATAGAGTACCCTTTGTCCTCGTAACGACCGTGTTTACGCGAGGTTTCGGGTAAAAAAGCGCCAGCTCACCGAAAGTTGGGTGAGAGTTGTCAGTAGCTCTGTACACTTCAACAACCTCGCCATACGCTTCCGGAGAGGAATCGTTCTGAAGTGATAGCTCCGAAACTTCACCGTTAATGTGGCGAGCCTCAAATTCACCAGATTCCACCTGACACCATACATCAGAGGTAAATCAATTAGCTACAAATGGTGAAGCGAATCAACCCAAGCGGTTACATACCAGGTAGAACGTGTTGCCCGGAACTCCTTGGCGCATGACAGTGTCACCAGCATTGAACTCTATTTTTTTCAACACTGAAATGACTTCGTGGATCTGAAGGATGCAACAGGTAGATGAGTCAACTAGTTCGGATCGATAACAAGTAGCACCAATTGCAGGTTGGAACTCACCTTTTTGGCGCTCAAGTGATTGAACAGAAAACTACCCTGGACAGCCTTCTTGATCCACTCCTCTTCTTCCTCTGACTTTCTCTCACTTTCAATCAAACTCGGAAGCTTCCCGAACTCGTCATCGTCATCCAAAAATGCCTCTGCAAGCGATAAACGAATCGCGTCTGTTCCCACGATTGTATTCCTGCGTGTGTGGATTTTGGAGATACCGCGTACTGGCCTTTGCATTGACTGTAGATCCAGAACCTCTCCACCAACGTAAATACTCCCGCGAGGACCATCGCGTTCCTTGGCTGGGGTAACACCATCCAGGAATATGCAGATCGCAGTAATGTCATCCGTTCGTACTTCAAACTGAAGCCAGCGGTTGTATGCCTCCTCGACAAGCGCATGACACGCCTCGGACGGGTTATCATACTTCTTCACAATATCAACGACATTCTGGCTTGTGAGGAATTCGAACACACCGTCACTCGCCACGACAATAAACTTATCGTGGGGGTTCAGACTCTTGCATAAAATTTCCGGCTCAGCTGTCACGCCAAGATCTTTCGACACCAAGTCTCCCATACTGCGTGTGAAAGCAGTTCCCTACACAACGATACAAAAAGTCAGAGCTGACACAGTCACAAACCACGATCAGAACGTGCTGCTTACGGGATACTGTCCGTAGGGATGCCAAATGCGCGGTGGGTCTCCGTTCTCGTCGATCTCATCACCAAGCGATAAGCCCCAGTTCTCATGGATAGGCTCCAAACCTTCTACTTGATCTACTGTCAAGATACGCGCGCCGCATTTCTTCACACGAACTCGCTCATCCTGACAAAAAAACAAAGCTATTAGTCGAAAAAGCAAAAGAAAAGACGTTCCAAGCCTTGTCAAACCTGGCGGAAGGGCGTCTGGTCGATCGACAGTGGCTTGGCGACCAAATTAGTCTCGCCTTCACGCGTAGACGCCTTAAGGTTCTCCTGCGCAATAATCGCTCTAGAATCACCGACGTTCGAGACATGGATTTCGTTGCCACAAAAGAGCACGGAAATAGACGTCGTGCCGCTCATTGAGTCATCAAAACTCGCCTCGTGCATGGCTCTATTTGTCAACATATGGGCCCTCGTAAGAGCCGGTAGGATGCCGACGTTTTCTTCAAAGTTCTTGATAATGTTCTCGGGCAACTGTTCGGCTGCAAACTGCGAACAAATATCTCCATACTGTCCGTGACCGTCAAAAACGGCAAAAAAAGCTTTTTGATCATCTCCTGCAAAGTGTGTCTCGCAGTAATAACTGTCTTGGTTGGCTTTCTTCCTCGCTATGTAAGCAACAAGCAGACAGAAAGATGTTAGCGTCAATAATATAATCATAATAATGATTCGACCTTCTTCGACTCTTTCTTTCTCGCACCTTCTGGATAATACCCACGTTTCGAGTAGTACGAGTAGCGCAAATTGTAGTCACCAATCTTAACATGGTGTGTATTCTCCATGTGGCTGTCACTGGGACAGTGAGGCGGTACAAAAGCATCTACTTGCGGCTCGGAAGGTGATGAGGACGACGCTGGGTCCTCGTCCTTGTTCACACGCGTCTCCGTGTCGTCCGAAGCTGCGAGCTTATGTGGACTGGACGGAAGAGCAGCGTACGGTGCAGTGTGGACCTCATTCTTCTCGTCTGAACGCCGTGTTACGACGGCTGAAGTCTCGGTCGAGCAACAGTTTCCCATTTTAATAGTGCGGAATGAAGGTTTCCCTTTGAAGTACCGCTTTCCGCACTGGTTGCCGTCTAATTCACTTGCTCAGTGCGGAAGAGATGCTACTGACTTCTACACACACTCTCGATATCGCCCTGTTGTTGCTAGGCGGACGGTTTTTGGAGGAGAATAAAACGGGCAGACAAACGGTTTTGGGTACTACTTTTGGGGTGTATCAGGAAATACTCATGTTCAACAAGAGCGTATAAGTACATGCCATAAATTAGTGTACAGTCATGAGGTGCTCTAGATTCATGTACTATCGATCAGAGACCGCAAAGGATAGATATGTTCCTCTATAGGGTCGTGAAAGTGTCATGCTTTTAACGAATATTATAGATCGCGCACGTTTTTTTTTGGCTTAAAACATAAGGAGATGAAAGTGCCTGTACAATTCAGTGTATTCATGTGTAGATAGTAGCGACATCAACGGATCCCCAATAGATGTTTCACAAACGTATAACATTCATTCTAACTTATTTTTAGACCATGCCATTAATCCGCGACATTGCAGTCAATATTGAGCTCTTTGTCCGGTACGTTCTTGTTTAAATTAGGCTCCCCGTTCTGTCCATGTCATGAATGGGCGTCTCGAAATGTATATAGCACCATTCTCTTTCCAATACATCAGTCTTTTTCACACATGACGTCAGTAAACGGGGCAGCTAAGAAAAAATCGAACGTGTCGGAAAACGAGCCACCCTCTGCACACTATTTAAATACCCTTGCAACTTTATGGTGGGTGGTGCGGATAGGGAAAGCTATTCGACCAGTCATGTCTCGCCAATTGACGTCCATCGCATACACCATCGTCACAAATCACAATAATTAGTCCCATCTGTGATTTAGTCTGTGTTTGCTACCTTTTTTCCATAAAAGTTCAACCAACTCATGGATCGAGCTTGGAGCTGGACGCGCATTGATGGCCGCAATGTATTGGCCATGCCCACACAGACAGAGATCCGACTATACGACAGTGACGACTTTATCCTCTTATCCCGCCTCGCACCTTCAGGACATCGGTCGCCCGTGTGTTTTGTCCGCTGGAGCGCTTTCCACGGCAAATTAGCGTCCCTCTCGGCCGAGCAGATCCTTATCCATGCGCCGCAGCGGGATCTACAGCAGCGTAGCAACGTGCAGTTTGTACCTATCTGCTGCTATCGGTTGGATGTGGTTCACACGAACATTCGTGGGCTCTCGTTTTCACGTAGCGCCAAGGAATTGCTCTTCTGTGGACGAGATGCGGGGCTAGGGAAGCTGGATGTAAGGGCTCAAGGCTCGTGCAATGATCAAGATCTTGTACTATGGGAACAGGTGCAAGAAGGCTGTGATGTTGCGAAATACTCGCCCAGTGCCTTTGTGTTCGCGACATTGAGGATAAAAGAAATGCACGTGAAGGTCTGGAGGATGAGGAGAAGACTTGGAGATGCAGATGAAAACCAGACACTGGATCGAGTCGAGTCACTGGGACATACAGAGCCAGTGGTGTATTTCTCGTGGAGACCGTCCACGACGCAGTGGCATTCGGCTCTAGAGTCCGACGGGACGAGAAAAGCTCAATGGTTTGAGCCAAGAAGGATCCTCTTGACGTGCACAGTAACTAGGAAGGTCAGAATATGGACTGAGAGTGTGGATGTGTGTTTTGAACCTGTGCTGATGATTGAACCGACGTATTTGAGTAATAATGTACGCTGGGTCATATCCAAGAACAGAAATATCAGTGATGAGAATTTCCAGGTAAATGACCCGCAAACCGACCATGTAGATTGGATATCTGGTGTGGATCATAAGGGAGTGTTGAGATTGTGGAAATTGGTCGGGGTAATGTCGAATTCACCGACAGTAGAGGAAACATCGCTTCAGATTAAAGTTAATGGGCAAGATGACCGACATGATGTGAATTTAAACGTGAGGCTGGGGGAGGTGTGTGTCATGGCCTACTTTTCACAAAATTACTTTGGGATGCCGTCTAAGCTTGACATTGTCCTTCAGCGCGTGGACCATATTATGATGTCTTTTCACGTCAGAGTAGGCGAGGGGAAACGGCCATCGCAGATTTTGAAAAAGTCATGGTATAGAAGTCACCTTGGTTCGATTTCAGCATTGTCCGCACATCCATCGTTACCGCTGATTGCTAGCGTTGATTCGCATTCGTTTGAACGCGATAGCACCGCGAGAAATGACATTCTTGTGTACTGGATCTCATTTTCCGCATTTTCTGTCGAATCACGGCTTATTCCGTCGGGTGTGCTGCCCTGCGAAAAGAGTAGCGGAAAGGTATTGTGTATTCAGTGGGTGCCAACGCTACACTTCGATGCTACTCCTCTACTTCTCGTTGCTTTTGAGTCAGGAGTAATCGATGTGTACGGGCGGTCTGCGCGAGCCGACGTTGCAGTTGTGTCTTCTCCAAGGGTGCAATTGCCTCGGCAACAGGGAATGCTTGCTCGCTCTCCGAGTTTGTCTCCGTGGACATTTTATGATTACGTGACAGACGAGTCGGGTTTTGAATACGAGGTGGCATGTAAAAAGCCAACTAAGTCAGAGCTTGACATTCAGTTTGAGGAGAGAAAGGGAAAGCTGCTTGTTTTACGAAATCGCTCTAGCAACAAGTATCTCCGTGAAGTGATCGAAGGAGATGAGCTTGTGGGCATTAACAACAAGAGTGTTGTGGGGAAGGAAGTGAAGGATATCTTGGAGCTGATAGACCTGTTGTCGCCGGATGATTCACTGCTTATGCGTTTTCGAGCGTCATGCGTGCAAAATAACGAGGGAACAATGGGACCATTAGCGTATGAGACCATTCCTCAATCTACAACGTGTGCTCCTTTTAAATTGACGTCCAAAAGCAGCGGTGATCTGTATGCGTCAAAGCACACGGTTGAAGACTATGCATCTGATCTTCGACGAAATTTTTGTTCATCGATGGAGAACCCGCAAAACAACGTAGTTGATGCAGGAGCGGTGTCAATGTATGGTGGCTGGAGACAAATTCTTCATGTGAAAGCAGTATCCAAACTGTCACTACTTTGTATTTGTCCATCTTATGCGGACGATGGTGAATATATGCCTGATTCCGTGTTGATATTTGGCATAGTATCATTACCCGGGAAGCTTTGCGTGTGGAAAGGTGTACGTGATGGCGCATATCGGTCGTTTAATTTGGTTCCTTTACAAATTCAAGAGCAAGTAATCGAGAGAAAAACGAACATCACGTCGATCGCCAGTGAAAGAGACTACCGTCAGCGAGCATTTTCGGGCAAGAGAACTCAAAGGCACAACAGTTTGAACTCGTTGCTTTTTATCGGCGATGCAGCTGGAAATGTTGAACACTGGCGATGCCAGGTCGTTGCCAACAGTGTTCACTTCACCATGATGAGTTCCAATCCTGTTTGCGTATATAATTCTACGCCGTCAGCGAAGGGGCACTATTTGCGCGGGTCATTTTGTCGACGTGGGTATGTTTCTGCCGATCAAGTGGAGAATTCAAGACAAAGCGGAGATGCAGACACGGGTGTAGCTGGCAGTATTAGTCACATTGAAGTGGATGATCCAAATCGCCTGGCTGTGCTGCATGCAGATCGACCCGATGTACTTTATGTATTTGAGGCAGAGTCTGGACTCGGAATTCTGCGCCCGGAAGAATCTATTTCGTCAAATGGTCGAGGGAACATTTTGGGTTTCAGCTGGTGTAATTCGCATGTCGAGTTCAATGTCGATGCACTTGCAGTTAGATACGAGTCCGCAACAGTTATTTATCAGTATGATACGACCCTACATTGCTGGTCGCAAATCGGGAATGACATCGTGAGCCCACTTCCTCTGTTTGATTGTACACGAGATTCGTCTGCTTTGCTGATTGGAGGTGGCCGTCTAATGGACTCGCGACCAAATCAATCTTCATCTCAACCAGTTTCAAATGAAATGCCTGTGGTAATGGGCAAGTGGGATGAGCCAGGAAGCCTTCTACAGCAAGCTATGGATTGGAAAGCAGTTGAGTCTCCGCAAAAGCTACCTGTGTGGCATCCATATGTGCTTCTTACAACAATGTTCGGCATGTATGCTCGCGTTGGAAAGAAAGACACTTTACTTGCGAGAGACAGTGCAACTTGCGAGTTTTCCAGATCCTTCAAAGATGCTACCCAAATGCTGAAGCTGCTTGCGAAAGTAGTTGAGGATGAGCATTCTGCTCGAGCTAGCGCCACCAGTGGGGTTCTGTCTTACGCTGGCTCCGTGCGAGCTCAAGGAGCAGCGACCAAACACGACGAATTGGGCCGTGCTCGCATGGTAAAGTCTATTGGCCGATACTCGACATCCATCCATCGAAGTGATAAAATTGATAGAGCTGAAAATCTGTTTGCAGATCCCGCGAGTAGAGGCCTTCAATGTAGACAGAAGTTTGATGAAGCGGAATTTTGTCCTGACGAGGATGACCATCGTACTTTAGGATCTGGTGAAGCAGCAGCGATTCTGGCAGCAGTTGATTCTATTCTTCTCGGCAGAGCACACCCATTGCAAGCGAACGCACTCATGCTGTTTGCTTCGTTTAGCGAAGAGCACCTTTTAGAGATGAAAGCGCTCTTAAGCTTTGTAGATGCCATTCAGTCACTGGGTTTTGATTTGGACGCTTCAGCTGCAGACCTGGGAGCGAAGCGCTTCTTCTCGATGCATTTATTTGCAAAGTCGCTGAAAAGCGTAGTGCTTGGTCACATTAATGGCAGCACAAGTAACCTACAACATGGTGATTGTAGTCCATTATCTTTCAAAGTAAAATGGGGAAGTTCGTACAGCGAGCGCGAAAGTTGTTTATGTCTACCAAGCTTGGAAGAGACGCCTTCGTCAGGTCTACTATGGGCTTTACACTCGGATGCACAACAGTTTTTGTGGGAGCATTGCATCGAACCTCGTATGCAATGGGACGACATCCGTCCTCTGTGGCTGGGGCTTTGGGTCAAGGATGTCAAAGACCTGCGAGGAATTGTGGAAAGGTAGGATTCAATAGTTGCTTGTTTTAGTAGTCATTTATTAATTGTGTTGTTTTTTTGTAGAGTTGCAAAAGTTTCCTACACGCGAACTAAAGATGCTATGGATGTGTGTTTGCTGTATGTGGCATTGGGAAAGAAAAAAGTGCTCAGTGCATTGGCAAAGATGACTCAGTCGGAATCAAACAAGGTACAGCCACCAAACACTGCCGTTGACTGTGATGAGCTCCTGTAAGTCTAATTGTGTGGAATACGTATGCGATAATAGACTCTAGCCCAATTCTTAGACAATGATTTCTCTGAAAAACGCTGGACCGATGCTGCAATAAAGAACGCGTATTCGCTGCTCAGCAAAAAAAAGTATGAACTGGCAGCTTCATTTTTTCTCTTGTGTGAGCCGCCACGGGTTCAAGATGCAATTCGTGTTCTGTCGGTTCGTCTAGAAGATCCAAGTTTGGCAATTGTTATTTCGAGGCTTGCGGAATACCAAGTAGACGACAAGCTTCAAGACGCATTCACATCGAGTCAAGCTGGAATAACACCAGCTGGGTCCATAACGAAGCAATTGCTGGAGCATGATGTAATTCCTCTTTTTCGTCGGAAGCGTGAAGTGTGGTTGGAGAGTTGTGCACTGTGGTGGCTAGAAGATTTTGAACAAGCATGTGCTATCCTGCTTCCTCACTTTCAAGACGTGGACGTTTGTGGGGATAACAAATCGACGCCACTGGCAAAAAACAACCTCGTTTCCAGCGTGATGCAAGCGACGCACTTTTACATCAATCTTACGTCTTTTCCTGTCTACTTTCAGCACCTGCATTCAAGTGTTAATTCCTCCTTGGTGAGCTGGGCCAGAACAAAATTGCACCAACGAGTGTATCCTGACACCCCGGTGTCACGAGGACCGATCTCTTTGAAAAGGAGGCGTCTACAGCTTGCTTCGACCGCAGATATTGAGCATGCCTTTTCGTTCGCGGCCTACGTGTGCAAACGAAGTGGTCTGAGTGATACAGCACTTGTGGATATGCTTCAAGCGCGACATCTGATAAATCTTCACGCGCGTTTTGAAATTTTAGCAGTCGAAGCTAGCAGTGACGCGCTTGGTGATGCACAAGACAAAGATTTGTTCAGGCAGCCAGAGAATAGTTCAACTTCTCCTCGTTTTCAGTCATCACCAACAAGCTGGAATCGGGTAAATATGCTGTCGTGCGTTACTTCTCCGACTGCAAATCGATCCCCAAGAAAAAAAGGTTGGAGCACATCGTGGAGGCGAATGAGCTTTATAGATGAGGTATGCCTTCCACACATGGATCCACAGGTGAAAGAAAAGAAGTCGATTCATCATCGCTCGCGAGCGAGCTCGTTTTCGTGGTCAAGACCGCTGCAATTTGAAAAGTCCATTCCGACAGCGCCGTGGCTAAAGGCACAGATTGCTGATATTGAGTGTAGGCGGTGGTCATCATCTGCATTTGTGGGTAAGATGATTGGTATTCGAGTGGCACGCGAGATGATCAGCCATTTCCGTGCGGAGCTGGATTTGTGGTTTCGGCATGGTGATGACAACACTTCTCCCAGCCATGCTGTGATCATGACAACAACTTCAGGACAACGACATCACCATCGAGTTAAGCTCCATAGGGAGTTTCTGGATGAGTTGTGCACCCCGCTTTGTGAGCAGTTCCAAGTGGACCGTAACTATGTCTACGAAGCTGCGCTGGCAGTGATGCATCCACACGCTTACCTGCACATAGTCGAAGTCTGTTTCATCTTGTCAGAGCTGGAAAGGGTACCGACATTGCACAGATGGGTTGAGTACGTGTCATCATCGATGCTACACTCTTGCTCTACATTCGCCTCATGTATCATCGCTGAGGACGTGTATCGTGACTGGGAAAGCCTCACTATTCAGCTGTGTTACATTCTTAATCTCGACGCCCAGGGACAAATTTCTATGCCGCTTCAAGTGATTGCATGTATCAGTGTTGCAGTGCGTACAGGGATCATTTTTTTGGGCTGGGCACGGAAACGGTCCGACATTGTTCGCCAAGCTGTCATCATGCCGTTTTATACATACGGCACCACCAATGGTGCGTCTACTGGTGGTGATTCAAGCCCTTCCTTGAGCTTGTTTGCCTTCGAAAAAAATTTACGGTTGCTGTGCAGGATGTTGGAAAACCCAGCTGTGAGTGGGCGGGAAACACGCACAACTCAAATATTTGTAGGAAATCTAGGATACACTTTCCTGGGCGCTGTTGCGGCACGCCAAGCATGTGACGATGACATATCACTTCTGTCGTGGGGTGGCGTCGACACATCAGCGAGCCAGAACCAATACAAGAGTCGCAAGATGTACACGCTCATTTTAATGGTGTCTGTACTTCGCACGCTGTATGCGCGAGCCAGTGTGTTTCTCAGCACGTACGAAAAATTTGATGGAGACGATGAAAAGGGCATTAGACCAACAGACATCGCAAGCTCGCTGTTTGTTCCTCAGAAACTATGGAAATCATGGGGCAAAGATCCCTTAGATGGACTTAAGCGGTGGTATGCGCTCATCGAGTCCCACTTGAGATGCGAGTTTGATTACTCAGTGAAAGAAGTTCCGTGTCTGTGCGGTCTTTACGGCCTCGATAGCACAGCGTTTGAAGAAGCTACAGATAGGAAATGTAATCAGCTGAATTGCCAAGGCGATCGCAATGATACTGGTAAAGAGTTTACGAATAGTAATGCTAAGGATGACAACTCAGTTGATACTGAGTGCGATACGAACATGCATGATACAGCTCCGGCTAAGTTTGTGGCCGAAGAAACGGCTGGTGATGACGGTTTAAGTAGTTTGGAGGGTTTTCTTTTACAGATCGGGATGGGTCTCGAGCTTCATTCGGTACTGGTGAACGCGAGTGACGATTACGTTCTATTGCTAATGCAGAATGCAGATTTCGGCGTGCACATAACCTTACGACGCTTTCGCTTGGACCCTCGGGTGTACGTTAAAAGCTTTGTGCTGCGAGATGCCTTCAGTTGGTTTGCTCGCCACCAGATCTTCAGCTGCAACACCGAAGCTGATACCAATGCACAAGCTCACGCATTCCTGAGTCGTTGTTGCAAGCAGCGTAAACTGCGATTGTTAGTGGCTCATCGCGGTGAAGACACTCAGATGTTTCCGTTAAATCGTAATCACTTTCATCCGCACCGAAAAAGCGCTGCTGATTCCAGTACGAGCTCGAGCCAGCTACCTCTGTCCCGATCAAGGTTGCCAAGCGCAGCCGGATCATTTGCAAGCGATGTGCCCTCGTCACGGTCGCGATTTTTCAGTGGTGCCTTTGCATCGGAGGGTAGCGACTCAGACAGTTTGCCAAAGGACCTGTACCTGCAGTCAATGATGTTTGTGGATCCTTGGGAAGTGGAGGCGGAGCATAACGTGCGTCGATACATGCATAATGGATATTCTCCACTGCATGTGGAGCTTGGGTGCGATCGCTTAAGCCCAATTTGCTTGGAAACCTGCGATGGGATTATCAACTCGGTTTTTGAAGACCCTGATCTGGTGACATTATGGAAAACCACAGGCGGGGAAGGCTGGCTAGTTACGGCCATTACCCAATACCACCTGGACGGTCTTCACTCGCATCGTACACTTCACCAGCATATCAAGCGTGGTCTCGCGGAGCAGGAGGAACCAATAATTCCGTTTCTTGTTGAGATCTACTCGCGTAGCCAGCGAAATGCGATGTTTGAGGAAGCGGGCTTACCCCATCGTTTTGTTGGAGTTATTACTGTGGAATTGATAGAAGCAAAGGATTTGATTCCATGCAGCTGGGTGGGTAAGTGGAGTGATGCGTACGTGTTTTTAGAGTTATCTCACTCTAAGGATAAACTTTGCGAGACGGCAGAAGAGTGGAGCCTGCAAACTTATCGAAGCACGGTTGGCAAAGGTGGCGTCAATCCTCGATGGAGCACAGCGGATAATAAATTCGTGTTTCGCTTTGCCATCCCTACCCATCGCAAGCATACAGCCAGTCTGATGAGAGGTGTTCATTTTGCCAACGGAGGCGATAATGTACACGGTGCTGATTTGAACGCCAGTCGCGTGGCTACGCAAGTGTGGAATGCTGATATTAATGACTGGAATCGCGATGCAGTAAATGCCCTGGAAAAATTGCTCCCATCGGTGTTTTCAGGTCCACCGACAATGCTGAGGTGTACCGTGTACCAAAAGAACAAGGTTTTGAGCCACGAGTTCATGGGGAGAGCGAAGGTAAGTGCTACCAACATTTGTTTTGCCGTTGAACAAAACAAAGGACTTATTGGTTCTACTTCTGTGCTTTTAGGTTCCTCTGGACGAATTAACCTCCGACAACCAGATGGACTGCTGGTTGCCGCTTAAGCATACAGCGAGCGGCTCTTTGCATGTAAAGGTGTCGCTGTCGTACCAGCTTATGTGTTCGAACATGCCTGATCAATCACAACGACGGCAAGGACCATTATCAAAAGATGTGTAGTACTATCCTAAGTTTATCATTGTCGGATGAGAAGAAGTGCTGAACCTGTCATCGATCACCACCAAAGTGTTGACAGCTCAAGAAAGTGGAGATGAAAACGAATTTGAGGCAACGATTCTGCTAAGCATATTATGAAAACAGTGCGGGCGTTGACCTGGCAAATCGTGAAGGGCTAATCTCTACCCTAAACGAAGGGTAGCTGTATTTGTTCAGCTAATTGGCGAAGGCTGGAGGCATTTTGTCAACTATTTTGTCTGTTAAAAGACGGTACAAGGAAATTACGAAGTCTGGCTGCATGGTACTCGCTCACCATGGTGTAGTAAGCCACCTGTCATGAGAGGCGATGAAGCACTTTTCAAGGCAATACTGTGCGACAGACCGCCGAGATATAGAAACAAGTTTGATTTGCCATCCTGTAGATTCAAGCTACCACGGACTCTATGGTGTGATGTTCGTATATAATGGCATAGTTTCGGAGACACTGTGGCATATAATCATCTGACGAAGGGTCCCTGCTCGCGCAACCATTACATATTGCCTTCCATACCAACTCTATATGGCTAAACCAAACCTAACAGGTAAAAGAAGGTCAAGCTAGCTGACACTGACAATGAAGCGCCAATTATTGCATCATGAAGCGTTTGAAAAAGGCACGGCCTGAAAATGTCCCGAAGGTGTTTGTACATGCAAGGCGCGTTTGTGTTTCCTTCAAGTTGATCCCGACATGAACTACCACTTTACCGGAGGGATACAAAAAAATTACGTCTGGATGGCTCAACCTACAAACACTATGTCTAACGCAAGTTGCGCTGCGAGCCGAAGCTTACTCGACTCGTCAACGTGGCGAAAGTGTCATTGTCAGGCTGCATGTGTGCCATCAGTACAGAAATGTGGATGGAAAATTCAAACAGCGCGCTACATTTTCTTGGAATATTTACTGCTATTCATCGATCATTTTTGTATAAGCGAGAGTGTACGACAACGTCTCCATCCTCTCTATTCATCTACACCGTATTCCAAAATAAGGAAGTGATGCAACATCAAGAAAAACTAGGGTATCCGCCAGCACTGTACGATGGCACAAATTTTGACTACTGGGCTGGCTGCATGTACCGCATCTCTCCATCTTGGGCGCCTCTCGTTACAATTGCAAAACCATCCGAGACTGATTTAAAGTCCGTCTTCGTATTAATACTGGTGTCCTTGAGAATTGTCTTGTGACAGGTCACGGACGGCATGACAGTGACTTCAACAGTTGTCACGGCTGCAAGTGCCCCCACACACTTGGGCAAATCATCCTGAGTGACACCAAAGAATTCGCGTACGGGTGTGCTGAAATTTGTAAACACGCCATTTTGCAACGAAGAGAGCAGCTGGCAAGAAATGAGAGCAGACGGTGCCTCTATTGTTGTCCCTTTCATCTTTGAAGTTTGATCACAAGCGACCAAGTCATTTACTAAAGTGGTGATTGCAGCGGCATCCTCAAACATGTCTTTTCCAGTGGCGTACGAAATTGCACCAGAAGCACTCTTCTCCGCGTTGCACTGCAGTGAAAACTTCTTTAGCATGTTTTGAAGAAAAGGCCCAAGCTCGTACTCCACAGCAAAAGTGTCCATGCTTCCAAAAGTTGTGCCTAGAGGCTTGAAAAACGCACCAAGATCCGCATGTTGTTCCACTGTTGTGTTGTCAATTTTCATAGGAATGATAGCGGTCGGTGAGATCGTGCGATTACCGTTAGTTTTGCAGGAACCAGTGAGTGCAACGGTCTGGTTGCAGCTCTGGAAGAACTGGTACACCATATCAAGTGTTGCGCTATATATAGCCACATCAACAACGTTAAAGCCAAATGTATCAATCAGCAACAAAGTTCAAGTCCACGTACTAGTGACTGAAGAAAATCGGATCAAAAGCAGCAGCCCGCGTCTCGTACACACCTCCCAAAACACTATGTACTATAAGTTGCACCGAATTTTGAACTTCCTCACGCAGCGTATCCACGCCACTGTTACTTGTATTCTTAGCATCACGGGCATGACGTATCAAATCAGCAAATGTCGTTGGTCCAAATTCCAACGTGGCGTCACCAATGTCCCAATCTCCTCGTGGAAGACAATTTTCACACTTGTTGCTAGTAGCACAAGCATGTGCTGCAATGCTAGTATTTGCACAATTTCCACTTGGAATTGCTTCACCATTGACAAGATAAGAAGTACCAGGAACAAGTTCATTGCCTTGACAGCCTCCAAATGCTTTCAAAATTAATGAACAGCCTTCAATTCCAATGCAAGATGTGCTCATTGATAGTCGTTTGGCCGAATCTTCAAACATGTCCCAAAATGGCAGCGTCACGTTCGTGTACGTCGGATCCAAAGACCGTAACATGTTTTCGTACCCGAGAAGGTATTTACGGTACCACGCAGGTGCACCACATGTTCCTACCACCTCTTGTAGACTCTCATGTTCCATGTAAATCTGTGTAAACATTAAGTGATAACCAGATGTCATGGCCTTCTTTACTGCCGTGAGATAACGTTCTGTCCGAAAAATAACGTGTCAAATGTGACGTCGGATAGAACAGAATTGGGACAAAGTGTACGTACGTTTCTCCTCGGTGCTATACGCCGTCCAGCTTTTCCTTACTCGAGTTGATTTCCACTCGGCTTTTATGATTGAATTCACCTAGCAGAACAATCATAACCAACAACAGAACACGCATGCGACTTGTCATTGCATTCGCTGAACTCTTCCTGCTGATGGAACGGGACGCTTTGTATAGGACATGGTCAGATTAGGGCCCAAGTATTTGATGTGATCCACATCATACTACAAAAAACCGATACTGTACCGATGTAACCGAAACAGTCGCATGCTACCGGTACATACCGGTCTTTATCATGATATGTCGTGATAAAATTGCTGGTGGCGAAGAGCGTTTGGGGGGTCGGTCGGTCGGTCGGTCGGTCGGTCGGTAAATAGATGACCACGTCTCAGTCTTTAACAAGCAACATGACGACGACATTTGAGAACCGTATGGCATTGGAAAAGGCAATTGATTCCTGTTCGACAAATGTGCGTCGGTTACGTCGTGAGAAGGACAATGTTGTCCAAATGGACGACATTGCGAACGAAGTGAAAAAGCTCGTGGAATTACGTAAAGAATTGCAGATTTGGAAACAAAAAGAGGACAATGAAGAGAACAGTCAACAGGAAACGAACGAGATGAGACTGGAAGATACGGGAGAGGAGTTGACTAGTGCAGATGAATTCGAGCTGGTACAACGTGCAGCGAGGCTTGAGGGGTTAGTGGCAATGGCACACGAAAAGTTAACGACATTGGAGACGCAAGTTACGCAGTTTCAACGCAGTAAACAGGCTTTGGCGTACTTAGTAGAGCATGAGCAGAGGAAGAATGACGAGACTGTGGTTGTGGACGAGACCTTGACGAAAAAGAAACACGTGATGGAAAAAGTGAGTGGAGAGCAAGTGGTGCAACTGATGCCGGAGCTGGACGTGGAACATGCTAAGGTGAAAAAGACCGACAAGAAGACTGAAAAGTTGCAAAAGGCGGTGGAAGTGCTGACTCAGGAGAAGAATGAGGCTGTTGCCACGTTGACGGCAGAGCTGGAGGACCAGCGGGTCAAGGCTAAAATCGACAGCCACGAGCGTCAGCGAAAGACAGAGCGGGAAGTTTGTGATGTACAGGACAAGTTGAAGCAAACGGTTGCATCGATTACTCAAGAAAAAGACAAGGCGATTACTAAGCTGAAGAAAGAGCTCGAGGAGGAGCGCTCTATTGTAAAGCAGGCGAGCCAGGAAGTAGAGTCTAAGATGGAGAAGTCTGTTGCTACGCTTCAAGAAGAGAACTTGGAGCTGGAGAGCAAGCTGCAGACTGTAGAGGAGATTGCTAAAATCACTCGGGACGAGCTGGACAAGGCTCAGGATCGGCTGGCAGAAATCAAAGACGAGAAGGAGACCAGAGAGACGCACCTTGAAGAGCTGTGGAAAAATACTGAGGACCTTCAGCTTGCAAACAAGATGCTGACAGAGAAAAACGTGTCAATTGAGGCCGATGCAAAGGTGATTCGTGGTGAGGCCGAAAAGACCATTGCAGAGCACATGTCGTACGAGGACAAGACCAGAGTCTTGACTGCCGAAATTGGAGCAGCTCAGGCCAAACTTGACGTGGCTAAGGCGGAGGTGGAAAAGTTGCAAGGTGAAGTTAAGAGGCTGACGAGTGAATTGAATGCTGCCAACTTGAAGTTGTCAAGCTATGAGGAGCGTATTGTGACGCTGGAGCAGGAATTGAAGTCGGCTAACAAGAGAACTCACGAGGTCTTCGCCGAGCTAGAGTCTCTGCGTTCTTCGTCTCAAGAGTTGGAGTTGAAGAGTGTAAGCTCGGAGGAGCGTGTTCAAGCACTTGAAAAGGAGCTGGAGGCAACGATGAAGAGCACTAAGAACACACTTATTGAGCTTGAGGCTCTGCGCACATCTACGAAGGATACGGATGTGAGCTTAAACGAGCGGATCCAGGCTCTGGAGAAGGAGATCGAGGCGGCGGAACTGAAAACCCAAAAAGTATTCATGGAGTGTGGCACCCTCCGTGCGTCGACGCAAGAAGCTGAACGTATGCACAAGGAAGAGATTGAGAGGCTAATGACTCAGATCTCTGAGCTGCAGACTGCAAGAGAAGGGGTTACGGCAGAGCTTGAAAAGGTGAAGAATGCTGCGAAGGCTACGCTTGCAGAGAAGGAGGATACTGCTCGCCAACTGCTTGAGACGAAGGACGAAGCGAACCGACTAAAGCTTGAAAATGACAAAGCTCAAAGCCAGGTGTTAGGAAAGGAAACACAGGTGAAGAGACTTGCGTCGAACTTGGAGTCACGCACGACCGAGGTGAAGAAATTGAAGGTCCAGTACGACGAATTAGTTGCACAGCATTCGAATACTAAGAAGGAGCTGCAGGACTTGCAGGGCATGGCAACGACGAATGAAGAATTACTTAAGAAGGCACGTGTGTCGCTACTGGAAGCAAACGAAGAGCTGAAGAAAACTCGTGCCAGTACGCTCAAGTGGAAGAACTCGGCACAGGCAGCCAAGACGTTAATGAATGCTAAGATTGCGGATGCTGAGAGTGCTAGTAAGCAGCTCAAAAGGGTTCGTGCCGATCTATCTTCTGTCAGTTTGGCTCGTTCGCAACTCTCTGTGAGTCTTGAGGCCAAGGAAAAAAAAATTGCGAAAACGAAACAGGAGCTTGCCAAGGTTCGTGCGGAATCTGCCGAGGCACTTCGGACCATTGAGACCGAACAGAAAAAGTTGAAGCAATTGCATGCTGCTGAGATTGAAAAGCTTTGCGAAGTCTCGGACAAGTCGATGATGCAACTTCAGGACCAGGTCCAGTCGTATCGTGTACTACTTTTGGTTATGGTTTCGATTGTTATCGCGTGGTTGGTTTACGCGAATTTTTTGGACTAAACAATATCGGTTGATAGCCTTGATTTTATCCTGGTGAATAAACGAATAATCACACGATGCTACTCGGCTACTAATGTGTCGCGTCCTATTTTTCTGTCCACATCTGAATACTTTAGATATCTACTACATTGCTAAATTGATAAATTTAGAAGGGAAGGTAAATAGAAACGGCCCAATATATCTATCATTTAATAAAAACTACAAATACATTTCTATAGGTGTAAATAAAAGTTCCAGTTAGTGTCTATCAAATGGGTCATCTCACTCCTAAGAAACAATCCCAAATGTCTTTTTTATCTCTCCAACCCGATTTTCGACCAATCGTAATCCTCTCCGATTTATCCACGCGGCCATTGTCATAAATTATGGCAAAGACGACCGAGGCGTCAGCCACGACGCTCCAGAGCCTCCATGGAAGCGCCACGTCGTTCTCCGAATCCGGTACGTTCTTTTATCTTCACTAGCACTAATTTCTCTTTCTTCTCATGTGTCACACTTCTACAATGACCCTCTCAATTTAGCTCATGCAATGTCGTCCGATTGTCGTCTGATTGTACCACAGGCGAACGCGTGAAAATGGAGACAAAACGTGACCTTTTTAAAAAGTTTAAACTGAAAAAAACCATGAAAAAACACTTTGAGACTGGACCAAGTGACAATGAGACACACGAGCAACAAATTGTGCTTCAAAACGAAGAAAAGGACGACATTCAGGCCAAATTTGACGACGTGAGTGGACAATTTCAAGTTCTAAAGCACGAGCTTGAAGCAAAGGAGAGTGAACTCGAGGTTGCCATGTCTAAGATTGAAGCTTTTGAACTGGAACTTGAATCACAACAAGAGACGGCAAGTGTAAAGCAGCAGAAAGATGCAATAATGATGAGTAAACTCCAAGACGAGTTGAAAAAAACTATTCTTGGACTTTCACAAGAAGAAGCACGTGTGCTGGTATTTCAGGAAGAAAACAATCGATTGACAAATCAAGTGGTAGCAATGTTGGAAGATAATCAGCGTCAGGAAATAGAAATGCAGGGACTAGTGAAGGAAAAGGAGTGTTTACAGATGAAAGTGGATGAGCTGATGCATCAACTTGAAGAAACACGACAACAGCAAGAAGATACAGAGCAAATGTACTTGGAAGTGGCGTCGAAATTGAATCATGCACTTAGAGAGAACGATGAGCTGAAAAAAGCAACAGGACATGAAGATGTGGGTGAGGATACAGACCGTGTACGGGAGTTGGAAACGCAGATGGCGTACTGGCAGACTAATGCTGAGAAATGGGAGCAGGAGAAGCAGCGCCTCACACAACAGATCGAGTTGCTCATGTCTGCGAATGAAAAGGCTAGCGCAGAGCTATCTGATGTGGCACTAATTCGTGAACAGTTACTTGTACACGTTGGCATCGATTTGACTTACGAAAGCATCGAGTCGCTTCTTGATACAAAGAACAACGAGATTCAGATGCTCACAGCGCAACTCTCGACTGTGGATGGTTCTCAGGAGCAAGCCATCTGTGAGGCAATCGAGACTAGCGTTGTTGAAGCAGAAGCCCTACGATCTCAGCTGCAGACGCTTCAGACCCAGTATGATTCTGCAGCTTCTGAAAAGCTTAAGCAAGACAAGACAATAGATGAACTTCGCACAGATTTGAACCGCGTGGCAGCAGAACACTCCTCCTTGCTTTTGGCGAAGGAGCTCGAGTACCGAGGTGCTTGTGAGGCCCTTGCGAAAATCGAGCATTTAACAAAGCAGCTCGAGAATGCTCAGACAGAAAAGCAGCAATCAAGCGACGATTTTTCTGTGATCGAGTCCAAGATCGAATCATTGGTTACTGCATTGCAGATAGAGACAGGAACATCCGCAGGTGCTGGTACCATGTACAGTCACAAATCGCGGGTAGCGGAACTTAATAAGTATTTAGAGCACATCCAAGAGCAACTTCTTAGTGCAGCGAAAACGAATCAAATGCAAGGTGAAGTGGAAATTCTTCAGAACAGGATACACCGGTACGAGGTGGAGAATCAGCTTGTATCAGCAAAGCTGGAAGAGTGTGAGGTTGCACTTAAGGCCTACGCTGATAAATTTGCTGTTAGAGGGCTAGATGCGGGTTTTGTCACTCAAAAATATACATTCTCGGGCGATGATGCTGGCTCTGTGATATCAAACGGCGAAACCGCTGAGAGCAGTAATGGAGACTCTCCTCTTGAGCGCGAACTGGAGTTAACGAGATCTCGCTTACACGCGGTCGAGGCAGAAATGGCTGCCTGTAAAGCTGAGAATTTGCGGATGAGTTTTGAGGTAGCAAAAACAGCCGATGGTGTTTCGAAGCTCAAGCAAGACCACGAAGCATTACTGGAGATGCATCGAGAGAAGTTGTCGGAATTAGAAACGATGAGAGAACAATGTGTATCCTTGGAATCTGCAAACCAAAGGCTTGCGTCCGAACTCTCGAATAAGTCGGATGAACAGCAACGTTGCCTTGAGGCCTTTGCGATACAAAGAGAAGACTTTGAATCCATCATTGCTGATTTGCACACTAAGGCTGCAAGGGACAGTAACAAGATTAAGCGTGACTTGGCAGATATCAAGACCGAAAATGACGTTTTGGAGGAACGAATTAGTGAGTTGCACGCCGTTGCTGACAGCAAGACTGAGCCGGACGAACGGCAAGAAAAGGATCGCGAGGTCGAAGAGTTGCGGTCTTCACTAGTTCAAGCTAAGGTGAACTTTTTCGAACAAAAGCAGCAGCTTTCGGCTCTTGAGAAGAAGCTTGTGGATGTGTCAAAGCTGGGCGGTTCTACCTGCACAATGAATAGTGCACTGGACGCTGAGCGACGAGAATTTGAAGCCGCTTTGATCGAAATGATTGAGATGGAAAAGAAACTTCAAGTTGCCTATGAAGCGAAACAGGGGCTCGAGTCCACGCTGCAAGAACGTATGGAGGCAAAGGCAAAACTCGAAGATCGACTGTCTGTTGCTGAAGACAAGATTGCGGAGCTTGAGCAGCAGCTGGAACAGAAGGTTGCTCTTATTGCCACAATCGAAGAGCAACTGCGATCAGTTGAAGAAGAACGAGAAAAGCTAGCTGATGAGTACTCAAAGACCAAGTCAAAGCTAGAGCGCAGCAGAGGAAAGTTGGAGGAGAAGGCGATCGAATTTGAGGCGTATAAAACAACGACAAACATGTTAAAGGATGAACGCTGTCGGTTGTTCAACGAGATTGCACTATTGAAGGAAAAAATTGCGAAGTCTGAAGCTCAAAAGGCTGCAATGGCTGATTCACAGGAGCTTGCAAATGAAGAGCTAGAAGAACAGCTGAACGAACTTGCAGATAAAATAGCCGAGATAGAGGCAGAAAAGCAGGAACTTCGTGCACGACTTGAGGACACTGTCTGCCAATCCGAGGAAGATATTCACCAGTTGAGGGAACGACTCTATATGCTTGAGGAGGAAAAGTCGGGCATGGATGATGAAAACCTGGATCTAGAGAGGACGGTTGGAGATCTGCAAGCAAAGCTCAACAGTCTTGAAGGGCAAAAGGCAAAACTCGAAGCGGCAAACGAGTCAAGCTGTCATCAGCTAACTCTTTTGGAGGATCAAGTAGAGAAGGCTGCTAATGAAATTGCAACGTTGTCCGTTGAGAAGAATACTCTGATCGACTTGCAGCAGTCGCTTGAGGGAAATTTGTCTGCTCTTCAGGATGAAAAGGTAAGGCTTGAACAAACATTGGAAGAAACTGCTTCACAGTTACGTGACGAATTGGAGAAGATGGCGGTACGCGATGGAGCATTGCAGACACAGCTTGCGCAAAGTGCTGCTGAAAAGGAAGAACTGTTGATGAACCTGTCGGAGCTCCAAGCGCGTTCTCAGACGGAGAAAGCGGCTTACAATGAAGTTGCTGCAAAGCTCGAGTCACAGATCTGTGAAAACAAAACTTTGGAGAACAAAACTCGAGCATTGAAAAATATGGCGGAGAAGGCATTGCAGTCTCTGCAAGCCAACCGCGACGAGTTATCTGAGACTGAATCGCGTGCAGCTATTTTAGTGGAGGAGCGTGATACAATGAGCGTTTTGCTGCGTGAAAAAGAGTCTGCGAATGAGGCGTTGACTACTCAATGTTCAGACTTGCAACAGCGGGTAGACAAGCTCAACAGTAATCTTGAGAGCTTGAGATGCAAACACTTAGAGGAGGCAGGTACAGCTAAGGATACTATTCGTAGTTTGACGGAGGCTGAGACAAAATTAACGGAGTCATTGGAGGTTTTAAGGCGAGAGTTGGCTGAAGCTGAGTCGTGTATTATGGTACTGGATGCAGAACGGGATGAGGTGAGAAGGGATCTCACCGCGAAGGATTTAAAGATTGAGATGATGACAACTCGGCAGGGAGAACTTGGCCTAGCAGCTGAAAAACTGGAGAACGAGCTAAATATGTTGCGAGGCAAAAGCGCAGCAGAAGCAAAAGCAACAAAGGAGATAATTTGTGGTCTCAAGAAGTCAAAAGCTCAAGCGGAAGAAACAGTTGATAACCTGAAGGACTCGCTGCATCGAGCAGAAAAGTCGCTTTACTCGATTCAAGAGCAATTAACCGAATCTGAGTGTCATGTTAAAGCGCTGGAGAAGGATCGTGATGCTATCCGATCTTCTTTGACTGAAAAGGAATCGACACATGAGATGTTAAGCACAGTTCAGGAGGATTTGCAGAAGAAAGTGGATGCCTTAGAGCTGGAATTGAAGGAGTTGCGCGAAACGAGTTCGGCAGAGCTAGCAGCTGCAAACGAAACTATTACTTGTCTACAAACTACACAGGCTGAAGAAGCAGAAAAGCTAGCTTCAGTTCGTCAGGAGCTAGCAGATGCTGAAGGATGCGTATTGGTTCTAGTTGAAGAGCGTGATGCAACCAAGAAAATACTCAGTAAGCGAGAGTTGACTCTTGAAGTTCTAAGCTCTGAGCATGGCGAGCTACAGCTAAAGAGTCAATCAATGACTACTGCATTGGATGCTCTACGGAACAAGGCTGCAGCGGACGCTCGAGCTGCAGAGATAAGTATACAAACCTCGAAGGAGGAAGTAAAATGTGCAACGGAGTCATTGCAATCAGTTCAAAAACAGCTAGTGGAGTCAGAATTGCGCGCGGCTTCCCTAGCTTCCGAGTGTGAGGCTGTTAGCACAATGCTGAGCGCCCTAGACACTGAACACAAGTCTTTGAGTTCTCAAAAACAGGAGCTTGAACATCACATCGAAAATTCCGAGACCAAGATCAAGAACCTGGAAACTCAGCACACTGCTACGTTAGAGTCTTTCGAAGAAAAACTCCGTGTGCTGAAAAAATCCGAAGCTGAGCATAAAGAATGGTTGGAAATAGCTCGAAAAAAACTATTCGCCTCCGAGTCCCGCTCAGAGTCTTTAGCTGACGAGTGTGATTCCACTAAGAATGCCTTAAACAAAACCAAAACAATAATCAGCAACTTCACGACTCAAGCTGAATACCTCCAGGAACGAATTCAGTCGTTGGAGAGCGAGCTACAGGAGCTGCGAAGCCAGCGCGAAAGCGATACGCTATCTGCGGAGGAGACGATCCGTAGCCTGAAGGAGTCGGAGTCGCAGACGGCAGAGACGCTGGAAACGATTCGCCAGGAGCTGGCTGAGACCAAGGTGCGAGCCGTATCCGCCGAGGAAGAACGCGAAGCTGCGCGCAAGGCTTTGAGCGAGATGGAGTCGCACCGTGAAGCTCAAAGTACAGAGGCGGCAAGCCTGCAGGAGCGCATCCAGTCGCTGGAGAGTGAGCTACAGGAGCTGCGAAGCCAGCGCGAAAGCGATACGCTATCTGCGGAGGAGACGATCCGTAGCCTGAAGGAGTCGGAGTCGCAGACGGCGGAGACACTGGAAGCGATTCGCCAGGAGCTGGCTGAGACCAAGGTGCGAGCCGTATCCGCCGAGGAAGAACGCGAAGCTGCGCGCAAGGCTTTGAGCGAGATGGAGTCGCACCGTGAAGCTCAAAGTACAGAGGCGGCAAGCCTGCAGGAGCGCATCCAGTCGCTGGAGAGTGAGCTACAGGAGCTGCGAAGCCAGCGCGAAAGCGATACGCTATCTGCGGAGGAGACGATCCGTAGCCTGAAGGAGTCGGAGTCGCAGACGGCGGAGACGCTGGAAGCGATTCGCCAGGAGCTGGCTGAGACCAAGGTGCGAGCCGTATCCGCCGAGGAAGAACGCGAAGCTGCGCGCAAGGCTTTGAGCGAGATGGAATCGCACCGTGAAGCTCAAAGTACAGAGGCGGCAAGCCTGCAGGAGCGCATCCAGTCGCTGGAGAGTGAGCTACAGGAGCTGCGAAGCCAGCGCGAAAGCGATACGCTATCTGCGGAGGAGACGATTCGTAGCCTGAAGGAGTCGGAGTCGCAGACGGCGGAGACACTGGAAGCGATTCGCCAGGAGCTGGCTGAGACCAAGGTGCGAGCCGTATCCGCCGAGGAAGAACGCGAAGCTGCGCGCAAGGCTTTGAGCGAGATGGAGTCGCACCGCGAAGCTCAAAGTACAGAGGCGGCAAGCCTGCAGGAGCGCATCCAGTCGCTGGAGAGTGAGCTACAGGAGCTGCGAAGCCAGCGCGAAAGCGATACGCTATCTGCGGAGGAGACGATCCGTAGCCTGAAGGAGTCGGAGTCGCAGACGGCAGAGACGCTGGAAACGATTCGCCAGGAGCTGGCTGAGACCAAGGTGCGAGCCGTATCCGCCGAGGAAGAACGCGAAGCTGCGCGCAAGGCTTTGAGCGAGATGGAGTCGCACCGTGAAGCTCAAAGTACAGAGGCGGCAAGCCTGCAGGAGCGCATCCAGTCGCTGGAGAGTGAGCTACAGGAGCTGCGAAGCCAGCGCGAAAGCGATACGCTATCTGCGGAGGAGACGATCCGTAGCCTGAAGGAGTTGGAGTCGCAGACGGCGGAGACACTGGAAGCGATTCGCCAGGAGCTGGCTGAGACCAAGGTGCGAGCCGTATCCGCCGAGGAAGAACGCGAAGCTGCGCGCAAGGCTTTGAGCGAGATGGAGTCGCACCGTGAAGCTCAAAGTACAGAGGCGGCAAGCCTGCAGGAGCGCATCCAGTCGCTGGAGAGTGAGCTACAGGAGCTGCGAAGCCAGCGCGAAAGCGATACGCTATCTGCGGAGGAGACGATCCGTAGCCTGAAGGAGTCGGAGTCGCAGACGGCGGAGACGCTGGAAGCGATTCGCCAGGAGCTGGCTGAGACCAAGGTGCGAGCCGTATCCGCCGAGGAAGAACGCGAAGCTGCGCGCAAGGCTTTGAGCGAGATGGAGTCGCACCGTGAAGCTCAAAGTACAGAGGCGGCAAGCCTGCAGGAGCGCATCCAGTCGCTGGAGAGTGAGCTACAGGAGCTGCGAAGCCAGCGCGAAAGCGATACGCTATCTGCGGAGGAGACGATCCGTAGCCTGAAGGAGTCGGAGTCGCAGACGGCAGAGACGCTGGAAACGATTCGCCAGGAGCTGGCTGAGACCAAGGTGCGAGCCGTATCCGCCGAGGAAGAACGCGAAGCTGCGCGCAAGGCTTTGAGCGAGATGGAGTCGCACCGTGAAGCTCAAAGTACAGAGGCGGCAAGCCTGCAGGAGCGCATCCAGTCGCTGGAGAGTGAGCTACAGGAGCTGCGAAGCCAGCGCGAAAGCGATACGCTATCTGCGGAGGAGACGATTCGTAGCCTGAAGGAGTCGGAGTCGCAGACGGCGGAGACACTGGAAGCGATTCGCCAGGAGCTGGCTGAGACCAAGGTGCGAGCCGTATCCGCCGAGGAAGAACGCGAAGCTGCGCGCAAGGCTTTGAGCGAGATGGAGTCGCACCGCGAAGCTCAAAGTACAGAGGCGGCAAGCCTGCAGGAGCGCATCCAGTCGCTGGAGAGTGAGCTACAGGAGCTGCGAAGCCAGCGCGAAAGCGATACGCTATCTGCGGAGGAGACGATCCGTAGCCTGAAGGAGTCGGAGTCGCAGACGGCAGAGACGCTGGAAACGATTCGCCAGGAGCTGGCTGAGACCAAGGTGCGAGCCGTATCCGCCGAGGAAGAACGCGAAGCTGCGCGCAAGGCTTTGAGCGAGATGGAGTCGCACCGTGAAGCTCAAAGTACAGAGGCGGCAAGCCTGCAGGAGCGCATCCAGTCGCTGGAGAGTGAGCTACAGGAGCTGCGAAGCCAGCGCGAAAGCGATACGCTATCTGCGGAGGAGACGATCCGTAGCCTGAAGGAGTCGGAGTCGCAGACGGCAGAGACGCTGGAAACGATTCGCCAGGAGCTGGCTGAGACCAAGGTGCGAGCCGTATCCGCCGAGGAAGAACGCGAAGCTGCGCGCAAGGCTTTGAGCGAGATGGAGTCGCACCGTGAAGCTCAAAGTACAGAGGCGGCAAGCCTGCAGGAGCGCATCCAGTCGCTGGAGAGTGAGCTACAGGAGCTGCGAAGCCAGCGCGAAAGCGATACGCTATCTGCGGAGGAGACGATCCGTAGCCTGAAGGAGTTGGAGTCGCAGACGGCGGAGACACTGGAAGCGATTCGCCAGGAGCTGGCTGAGACCAAGGTGCGAGCCGTATCCGCCGAGGAAGAACGCGAAGCTGCGCGCAAGGCTTTGAGCGAGATGGAGTCGCACCGTGAAGCTCAAAGTACAGAGGCGGCAAGCCTGCAGGAGCGCATCCAGTCGCTGGAGAGTGAGCTACAGGAGCTGCGAAGCCAGCGCGAAAGCGATACGCTATCTGCGGAGGAGACGATTTGTAGCCTGAAGGAGTTGGAGTCGCAGACGGCGGAGACGCTGGAAACGATTCGCCAGGAGCTGGCTGAGACCAAGGTGCGAGCCGTATCCGCCGAGGAAGAACGCGAAGCTGCGCGCAAGGCTTTGAGCGAGATGGAGTCGCACCGTGAAGCTCAAAGTACAGAGGCGGCAAGCCTGCAGGAGCGCATCCAGTCGCTGGAGAGTGAGCTACAGGAGCTGCGAAGCCAGCGCGAAAGCGATACGCTATCTGCGGAGGAGACGATCCGTAGCCTGAAGGAGTTGGAGTCGCAGACGGCGGAGACACTGGAAGCGATTCGCCAGGAGCTGGCTGAGACCAAGGTGCGAGCCGTATCCGCCGAGGAAGAACGCGAAGCTGCGCGCAAGGCTTTGAGCGAGATGGAGTCGCACCGTGAAGCTCAAAGTACAGAGGCGGCAAGCCTGCAGGAGCGCATCCAGTCGCTGGAGAGTGAGCTACAGGAGCTGCGAAGCCAGCGCGAAAGCGATACGCTATCTGCGGAGGAGACGATCCGTAGCCTGAAGGAGTCGGAGTCGCAGACGGCGGAGACGCTGGAAGCGATTCGCCAGGAGCTGGCTGAGACCAAGGTGCGAGCCGTGTCTGCCGAAGGTGAACATAACTTGTTGCGCGTTGCTTTCGAGCAGAAAGAGGGGCTATTAGTTATTCTGAACGAAGATAAGGCTGCGCTTGTCGAAAAGGTACAAGCTTATGAGGCTCGTATTGGTGAGCTAGACGCTGAGCTCGAAGTGCGAGCGTTGGAGCTGTCTAGTGGAACTCAGCAAATTGATTTGCTTGAAAGTCAACTGGCCCAGACTGAAACCCAGCTTCGCGATCTACTGAATGAAATTAAGGTCTTGAAGGAAGTGATAGCATCGCTGTCTGAGGCGTCCAGCTCGGCCGCAGATGAGGTTAACTCCCTACATAAACAAAGAGCGAGTGAGGAAGAAAGCTATGCTGCCGGAATTGCTCGAAAAGACGAGGTGATTTTAAAGCTGAAATCAAAGCTTGAGGAGGTGGTGGCGGCGTATAAGCGCCTTAAGGGACACCTGCAGGAACAGCAGGACAGACTGGCACAACAGGTTACAACAAGCGACTACCTTAAGACGTCGTATGATGAATTGAATGCTCAGTACTCTGCCTCCACGATGGAGCTAGATGCGCTGAAGCTCGAATTGGCTTCATCTCGTGAACAATCGGCTGCTATGGCAGAAGAAATGCGCCTATCAGGTGAAAAAGTTGCGGAGTCCGAGGCACAACACAAAACCCAGATCGAAAATTTCAAGAAGCGCGTATTAGCCTACGAGGATGAATTTGCTCAGATGCGAAGTCAACACGATGTGGTGTTGCAAGAGCAAAAGGAAAAGCTACTGACGGCATCTGCCGCGCGGGATGAGACTGCACAATTAAAGGTGGCGGAGCTGGAGAAGTTACTTGCGGTGCTGACTGAAACTGTTGAGCAGAAAGAACTCGAGATACAGAGCATGGCCGAGCGTATACGGCATATTGAAGAGAAGCATGCTCAAGCTGAAAGTGCCCGTGAGGAGACAGCCCGAAAACACGAAGCCGAACAGATGGAGCTTGAAGCGCAATTGTCTTCAGCAAACGAGACGATTGAGAAGCTTCGCATAGCAACTGATGCTAACGTCGTTCTACAACACGAAACCATGTTACAGCTCAAGAAACAGATTACTCAACTCCAAGTTGAAGTGAAAGTTGAAACGGAGGGAGCTAATGCTGCACGAGTAGCACTTGAAACGTACAAGAAACGCGCCTATACTGCATTAAAGAAGGCGTCGAGAGAGAACAAACTAAATTTGAAGAAGGCTGCGGAGAGCACGATTAAGTTGGAGGATGAGATACTGTCCGCGAAGGTTCGAATAAGTGTCCTTGAAACAGAGTTGGAGGAAACGCGGAGACGTATGGAGGAGGTTGAGAGTGCTGGAGACGCACTTGCGCAGAGCACATGCAATGCTCTGGAGGCTGACAAACGTTCTCAGGAGGCTGCGCTGCGATTAGAAATCGAGAGCCTAAAGGCGAAAGTGATATGCTTGAAAGAAGCGATGGACAGTGAAAAGGTGCCTCTCGAATCACAGATCAAGCAGCTCGCGGAGCGCAATGAAGCTTTAAATCACGAGATTTCTTTACTCAAAGAGAAAACTCGTACTGAAAATGATGCTGTTGAGCGGGCAGTCCAAGCAAAGGAGGAAGAGATCAACAACTTGTCGAAACAGCTTCATGCTGCACTCGCTGCTGCTGCATCTCTCGCTACAAATGAAGCCGAACGTCGCTCGTATACTCCTTCTTCGTCTCCGACCGAAAAGGAGAGACGCTCTACGGCGTCTTCTTCGCGCTCATTCGATTCTGAAGGAAACAACAGCTATGTGCACCAAACTACACTCGAGGAGCAGCACGAACACATTACTGCTGCTGTTGGGAATTCGTGTCCTATTCCACTTGCGTCGAAGATTATAGTTACCAAAGGTGTGGAGCAGCAGTCAAAGGCCTTGGTGAATAGTGATGATGAAGTTGTAAGGCTGACACTCTTGCTAAATGAGGTGCAGTCCAAGTTCCATGTTTTCCAGAAGAAGGTTCGTCGTGCACTTTTTGTTGTATCATATCGTTCTCAGCTGACAGTAACGTGAACATTGTGTGTGACTTGCAGTACGAAGACGCATCTGCACTGCTGGAAGAGGCCAATCGACAGAAGCAGCATCTTGAGCGTTCAACGCAGGAGCTGAACATTGAGGTAAGAGACGATTGTTACGTATATTTGTAACTTCTGAGTGATTAGTAGGACTCATGATGAACGTATGACTCATTGTTTGTGCACAGTACCTGAAAAATGTCGTGATTAAGTACATTGAGAGCCAAGTCCCACGCGAAAAGGAACAGTTAGTGCCTGTCATTGCCGCATTGCTCAGCTTTACTCCTCAAGAGCATCGTCAGGTAATGGCAGCACACAGTAAGGCAAGCGACGAGGGTGCAGGGTTGTTTGGCGGCGTGTTTTCCCTTTTTGGAGGTGGCGCAACAACCACGTCGTCCCCGACAGTTGTGGCAGCTCCACACACTATCAAGCCTTCGCCTACGACTGCAAGAGGAAACACGACAGGAGCCGCGCTCGGCAGTAAAGGCAGAAATGGCATCCTCTCGTTCGGTAGTGACTCTAGCGACGACGAGGAATTTGAGAGGCCATTGAACCCGTTTGCGTCGTAGTCGTCTCGCTCTTGTCGTCTAGATACATGTTGAATTGTGATGTGGGAAACTACTAGTGTCGCCTCTTGTGCCGTTTAGAGGCATCAAACGAAAGAGTGAGTAGCTATAATGTATAACCTCAGCTAGATAGTTCATCTCCATGTCTTCTCTTTCTTGATACGGTTTCAGTCCTTCCCACAAGTGTCAACCTACAGAGCCATTAGGTCGTATCATTGTTCATCTCTGGATCCCATAGCGCATTATAATCTATCTACATACCAAATAGCAGCAGATTTTTCATATCGGAGACATTGAGCCTCCAAAGCCGTTGAGTATCCATCCTAGCCATCCAAGCATTATGAAATTGTTCTAAAGCTCTGGTCGCGTACGCGTGTAGCAGAGAAAAACCTGTTCGTTTCGAAAACACGCGTGTTTCGCGTCTTTATCACTATTGAATCCTCATCGAATCAATAGATCATGCAAAGCAGCAAAAGTGCCGATTTGGCCAAACCTTGGACCAGGTGAGAAATGGACAGGAGTCCGTTCAATCGACGACTGATTCACACCTGCTCAACCATGACCAGATCACGGCTAAGAGCAGAAGCGCCAGGTGACGTTTGACCTTAGTCAGTGCTTATTGAACATTATCCTTACCAAACGTATCTACTGCGGTACGCCTGTTCCCTGCCCCATCACATCTCCTTGAAGCTACAGTACTGCCATCTTTAACCAATCATACCAACCACAACTTAAAAAAAAACTTCGGGTCCCCCCCTCTAACGGTGAGATCCGTTGAGAAAAAAAGACAAGCGACGTCGTCATTCCGCGCCCAAGTGACAATTCAAGCACATGATTTCATTTGACCGAACTAGGAGCCGGTATTGGCTATAGTCTTAAGACTGGACTGGAAGTAGACAGTCTTAATGCTGCCGTTTTTCTTTCTAAAAACGGATTAACCAGCTGCTTCCTTCTCATCACAATCTTGTATAGTCGTTGGTTGCGTCTGATCAAAGCGTAAGGGCAACATATTGTAAGGGCCGTCGTTGTTGTTTGCGTGTTGCAATTACTGCTGCATCTCGACGCCTACAAGTGTCAAATGTTACTAGCATTTTGTTCATGATGTAGTATTGTTTTACACACGTATAGCAATAGCAATCACTACTAAATGACGATCATTGTGGACGTTATCTATCTACAGTCATAATTGCTACTGTCCTGTGTTTGTTTGACCATACGTACGATATGCTCCATCGGCTGTTTTCCGACAAGAATGAACTACTGTATAGCATCCATACTAACAAGTTCAACGTAGCTCTCCAATCTTATCAGCCAATCACACGACGCTGCATTGTTCCCCCCTGTAATTTGATTGTTTCTTCTCGAAGGGAAATAATCCTACTCAATCGTTTTTGCAAGGGAAAGATGGGATGGATTCCCTTTTTTGGAAACGATGCCTCCAGACTCTTTTCATTTGCGAATTTGCCTCCAACTGCGCATTGCTCCAAGTCTTACAAAACTTTATCGACCATCACTCTGTCATTGAAACAAATGGAATTTGCGCGTCGTTTATCCCCCACGAATGAGATGCTTCCAGGCACATCGTACAAAGACGCACAGGGACAACCTCTTCGTCTACACGTACAGACAAACACGTCACCTCGGGAGCCACAGCCGGACTCGAGTCCAACGACGAGCCCTATGCAAAGCTCGCGTTCTACGCCCTCATCGACTCCTCACGACGATTCTCAACGTCGTCGTCGCAGTAATTCGGAGTGTCTAATGCTGGCAAAGACACGTGGTGGACAGGAACTTCCCGGTCCGTGCCAGGAATATATTAGTAATGTAAAGCAAATTCTGGCACGGAATGATGATCAGTTGATGCATTTACGACGACGACGTAGCATGAATTTGAGTCACCCGACATTATTCAAGTGAATGGGCATTCCTCACGAGCGAGTGAATGAGAAAGAGAAACAAGAAAGAAGAGATGCCGCTTTTTGCAGTGAAGAAGAGAGAAGCTGCACATGTTTGTCGACAAGGTTATTATAGCAAAGAATCGAGCCATTTGTATTAGTACGAGATCAATAAATTCTTTCATTTCATGTCTTGTTATGGTGTTGTCTAATCCCCCCAAATGAAAACAATTCCTTGCCCTAGATCTATTCAGCCGACAGAAGAGGGGGGGGGGGCGGGGGCTTTCCACGACGTCACGATCTTTTTTGCATGCGTGTCGCCCTTATTCGCCTCCATCTCTCCTGCCTCTGCTGCGCTTGAAGCGTCTGCCCGCCGCACAGTGCCTCTTGTTCGCGTGCGCTTCATCGTGGTATAAGACGCCATTCAGTTGGAGTTGAGCAAAAAGCTGACGTGAAACTCATCGAATCGCTTCTAAAGCTTGTTGGGCAACGTTCGGTTCTCGCTCGCGTCGTACTTTTCCCCGTGGCCTACATACTCTCTCTCTTGCAAATGATTTGTCAAGTCTCGAGACTCTTAAGGACTTCAGTCCCTCGCTTACATAGTCATCATGTTTAACCTCTTGACCGTTTTTAAATGGCGACGAAGGATGCTGCCCTAGATAAAAGCAACAAAATGGTGAAAGTCTCGCATTCGCACTAGGAAAAGTAAGTCTAATACTAAAACAAAACTTACTTGATGCGTCGTCTTGAAGGTGCTGTCAAAAGAACACTTGCTAGTCCTGTTTTATGCCTATAAAATGGGACTTTTGACTTGCACGAACCATACAAAACATGAAATAGTTTCGTTATCGCCATTTGATACAAGAAGTGAAGCCCGTCCTTCACTTATCCGATTACGTAATCATTGGCGGCGCTACTTCAAGTTGAAGTTACACTTTGATAAGGCCTGATCTTTTTTTGTTGACATTTGTATACTTAATACGGCTCAGTGTCGACACTCTATTAACAATAGTGCTGAATGTTGCTAGATCAGGGTGTGCCCATATTGTCACTACTGGAAACTCTTGAGGACGTACATGTTAAAGTGTACATAGTAAACACCCTATGGGCAAGGCTTACTTATTAGATAATCAACACTATATCTGTGTCGTCATCAACCTCCATCCAGCGTGACATTGTATTGTTGGATAGCTCACGACCATTTAGCTCTTGACTGTTTTTATAGACCATTACGCTTTTTTTAGCGAAAAGTTTCCGCAGACCATGACATCTCGCAACTCGTCCGTTTCTTCAAGTTGATGCGTGAGGCTCATCACAAGTGCATCGATGGTGCTGCCTTGTGCCTTAATTGATCGTCACTTACAACTAACCGTATTTTTGGTCTTTTTAGAAGCGTCAGATCAGTAGGTGGAAATTCATGTTGAGCAACTACTGCCTTTCAGGAATGAAGTCTCACTCCGTTTCCAAATACCACGCTTTAGTAGTTTCGTTCGCGCTGACTTGCTTCAAAATGCTCCATCACAACATCATAGACTTGTTGTAATGAGTTTGAACCAAGAAGTACTACTATTTCCACCACACTATTTACTATATCCACCACACCATCACTTTTGCACACTTATTCACTATTACCACCGCAACCATCACTTTCATTTCAATAACAGTTAGAACAAAGCACCATAACACACCACCAGACCAGAATGTGGTAGCTTCATTCCCACATCTTTCTTCTTTAATAGTGCAAAACTCACCACACAGACCCATCGTCAATTTGCTGAGCGTTCTGGGCCTCTGCGCTGGAGAAAACGTGACGTGCCGGGTGACGGAAATTGCAAGAACAGCAGGATGCCCTTGCAGATGTTAGGATGGATGTCATCAATTTAACGTTGAATCAGGCGCAAAGATGAAAAATATATCTACAATGCCTGTGTTTGGCCTTAGCAAATGATGCCAATCATATTGGTCATGGGTCAAGATGGTGAGCGGATGTGGCGAAGTTGCATTCACATTAATCAGCCCGTCGCTTGCACTACACAGTTCTTTAAGCGCAATCAAGGAAATTGTGCTGCGCTACACAGCTCAAATGGTCAAACTGTTGTGGCCCACTATCTTCAACCACTTCAAGTAGCTTCTTGCCTGACATGCCAGTTGGTATGATGGACATTTTATGACATGAAATAGTTGAAAGTATCTGACATGCCACAGCTGACAGGTTATGACAGCACGTGACAGTATGAGTTATGACAGCACGTAAGGTTATGTAACGGGCTAAAAGTGACACGGTTCGTTAAGTTTCGAATGCTTAATGGGAAGGCCTAAAAGGGTACGAGTGTACCTTAGGCCTGCCACTTGGGTGCGGCATGTCAATGTGACCCACCCTCGTGGATGTGATATCTATGGATGGATTCACATCCAACAAGGATGACGCCCAGTTGGGACTAGGCATATGGTGACGCTTCAGACAGTCCGAAGTTTGATAAGACTGCCCCACATACGATTGTCCACTGGCTATTAGCAGTTGAGCAATGTGGAGTGGCGCAGCTCATCAAAGACGACACCAGAATGGTGTCGTATGCCATGTCCAACTTGTGTGGCAAAGCGTCAGAGTGGGCATACTCTGCGCTGATGGCAAATGCAAATGCGTTTCCATCATGGGCAATCTTTAAGTCAAAGATTCGTGCCATGTACCATCCGCCTTACAATGCATTGTTACTTCAGGCGCGCTTCTTTGGAGCACGACAGGCGAAAAGATCTCTGCAAAAGTATGTGCAGGAGATGCGTTCGCTGTCTGCGTCCATTAGTGGGAAACTGATACCGGAACGTATCAAGGTTCCTACGTTCATAAACGGACTACGGCACGGCCCATCGCGTCAGGACCTTTTTAGAAAGGTGCCAAAAACGATGGAGAAGGCAATAGAAGTTACCATGGCTGAGGAGCAATCCTACAAATGCCTCGGCGACAGCTTATTATAAGTAGTCGGCCGGAAAGTCGGATGCCACTCCAATGGAGTTAAGCAATGCAGACGTGGTCTGCGACAAGTGCGGCAAGTGCGGCCATATGATGGCTCGCTGCTATGCCAAACTTGCTACTGGTGCTAAAGCAGCCAGCAAAAGGTCTCCCAACCCGAAGGGAGGTGCGAAAAACCAGCGTGCCCGACGCACGGGTTCAGCACCTGCCCAAGAAGGGTCGGGAATGTGGGAGCGCAGTAGGGGCAGGATGCCCTACTGTCGCGGACTGAAGCTACCCCTATGTTCAGAGTTGTCGAACAAATGGGTAGAATAGTCTCTGAGGTACCGAAAGGTCGGACCTCAACCCTTTTGGTCTATAGCGCTCGAGTACGAGGCTATGACCAAGTGATGACCCTTCTTGTGGATTCGGGTGCATCACAGGATTTTGTGAGACTTGCGACTATGAAAAAGAGTCTAGAGGGTTATGAGTCGCTTTGCCAGGATGGCAAGCGAGAAGAGACGACCGTTGTTAGCGAACGGTGCGCTCGTAAGATCGGAGGGAGTTCAAGTTGAACCCCCTTCAGCTTTAGTGACTTCTCTTGTAAAGAGAAGCTCACAGTGCTAGGTATGGAGAGTCCGTATGACCTCACCCTAGGCATACCTTGGTTGGCTAAACACCAACCATGGATAGACTGGCGTACACAACAGTCGCTAACTCTACGTAAGACACCGGAAAGGATGCGCTCCTGCGAGAGGCTTATGTGATTAATGCTGTGTCCAACACAGTCGAGGGTGCGATGACGGTATGTCAATCGTCACCAGGAACTACCCATTTCGGAAGCCGTGAAGTAGTTGGAAGTGCACTGACAGGAAGTCAGGTGACACAAATTTCTACCCAGGTCAAGGAGGCTGGTGTAGTGTATGGGACGATGACAAGTAGTCATGCGTCCAATAGTCCTGCACAGAATCGAGAGCTTGTGGCAGTTGATGGTGGGCTGACGGGAAGTCAAGCGCCACAAGAGCCGGCACAGAGCCATGAGCCTGGTGCGGTTGGAAGGAGTGCGTTAGCTGAAATAGCAACGGCACCTTCTTCCAGGTCAAAGGTCGTGGTGAATTCGAGCAACGAGCACCATACGTATGAAGACGATCAAGGGCGCGTCGAAACGAGTGACCCTTGGATCAGTCTCGGTCCAAGAGGACGGACCTACGAACGAGTTGTTTGAGGCCGTCGACCACAAAATGCCGGAGGCATCCTCAGTTGAGGTGCTCCAACCTGTCTTGGCATCTGCCGAGGAGATAGTAAATCTCTCGGAGATGACGTGGGATCTGTTCCTGTCCGAAGTAAAGGAAGGAAAGATCTACGAGATAGTCGCACCAGTTCCAGAAGAGAACGTGGCGGACTGTTGCTCTTTATCCACAATGGATGAGAGCGTCTTGGAAACCGTCAAGAAGAAAGGTTTCGCTGCTCAAGACTGGGATGCCTTGAAATACAGCCGTTCTATGATGTTCTGTGGAAACAGGTTTTTTACTTATTATTTTTACTACCGTGATGTGTTTCCAGCAGAAGCGCCGAGCCGCCTACCGGCCGATAGGGGCATCAGGCACGAGATTGGCCTGGAGCCTGGCACCAAGTATTGTGTGACCAGGCAATGGCCGTTGCCGAAGGAACAAGTCGATTACATCGATGAGTTCTTCGACAAGCGAGCTAAGGCGGGACATGTACGTGAGAGCAAGTCGCCTCACTGCAGCCCGACCTTCTGTGTGCGTAAAGCAACGGGTGGATGGCGCGTGGTTCATGGTTATAATAAGCTGAACACGGCCACCATTCCGGCTCAATCGCCGATCCCGACGGAAAGATGTTTTGTTGAATTCCATGGGAAAGTCAACTATCTTTTCCGCGTTGGATCTGAAGGATGGCTACTATCAGGTTCTCATGAGAGATACTGATGAAGCCAAAACGGCAGTAAGCACCCCAAGCGGTATGCTGTGGGAGTGGATTGTGATGCCACAAGTTTTGAAAATGCTCCGGCAACATGCAGCCGAGTGGTGGCTCACGTGATGCGTCAGCACCGTGCCTACGCGCCCCATTACTTTGACGATGTATTCGTGCATAGTAGGGAGGAGGAAGGTCTGAGCGCAATAGAGTCGCACAAACGTCATTTAGACGCTGTGTTGAAGACTCTGGGTGACGCACAATTATACGTTAACTTGCAAACGTGCGTAATAGGGGTCCCCGAGATACCTGTACTGAGCTGCATCGTAGGTGCACACGGCGTACGAGCAGACCCAGAAAAGGTAAAGGCTGTAAAGGAATGGCCAGTCCCACGTAATTTGAAGGATCTGCGCCAATTCCTTGGGCTCGCTAATTACTTGCATAAATACAGCAACAATTATGCGGAGCAGACTAAGCCATTGTCTGACCTGAAAAAGGATACAGAATGGACTTGGTCAAAGGAACAAGTAGATGCGTTCACTTCAGTGAAGCAATCTCTTGTAGAGACACCGTTCTTGGCATTGCCAGACGAGGATAAGCCCTTTAGCGTTGTCTGCGATGCAAGCAATTTTGCAATCGGCAGCGCGCTCATGCAAAGGGATGACAACGGCGTTGACCGTGTCATTTCGTATCAGCCTCGACTTTTAAAAGCCGCAGAGCTGAATTACCCTGTGCATGACAAGGAGCTACTTTCCATTAAGTATGCCCTTGTGAAGTTTCGGGTGCACCTCTTGGGCACCAAACCTTTTGTGGTTTATACGGATCACGCATCACTGCGGACCGCTATAAATTCACCGCAACTCTCGCCGAGAATGGCGAGATGGCTAACATTCTTCTCTGAATTTAATTTCAAAGCTGAATATAAGCCGGGTAAGTCAAATGTCTTGGCTGACGCATTATCGCGCAGACCAGACTTCGAGGCAAGACACCAAGAAAGTGTGTATCGTGCGAAAGCACAAGTTGAGTCGTCAACATTGGCAGCCATGAAGGCCTACCATGTGACGAGCTCAATGACCTCCGATATCAAGGAGTGTTACAGTCAGGACGAACATTGTCGCCTGCTGTTGGATCATTTTGGTGGACGAAAGGTTACCCTTCCGTCGCACCTCAAAGCGAAGTTAAATTGCTTTAGTTACAGTGATGGCCTGTTATGGCATCAACTGTCACCCTGTAATCCCTTGAGAATCTATGTCCCTCATGACACAGATCTTAAGCTGATGATACTTCACGAGTGCCATGATGCGCCATCTAGTGGCATCTGGGCCGTGAAAAGACATTCTTACGAGTGTCAGAGGAATTTTGGTGGCCCCACCTATATCGGTGGGTGGCCAACTATATTCGCTCTTGCGAAGAGTGTCAGCGCATAAAGCCTGCACCTTCGAACAGTGCGCCACTGACGCCACTGCCGATTTCAACTGAATGTTGGAAATCGGTCAGTTTGGACTTCATGTTTGGCTTACCGCCTGACCATAAAGGCAGGACGGGGCTCGTTTGTCTTTGTAGACAGACTGAGCAAGATGGTGCATTTGGCACCATGTAGCACCAAGATCTCAGGAAATGAGGCTGCCCTCTTGTTTCTGGATCACGTGTATCGACTACACGGGATGCCCGAGTCCATACTATCGGACCGGGATCCGCGTTTTACGTCGGGTTTTTGGCGACATGTGTTTGAGCTGCTGGGTAGCAAGCTCCACATGTCAACAGCCGATCATCCTCGAGACCGATGGCCAAACGGAACGGGCCAATCGAGTCGTGGCGGATGTGTTGCGTACTGTAGCTGCTCCTAAGGAATGAGAAGCAATTGCCCTTCGTGGAACTTTATGCGGCCATGCTGGTCTGCACATTGTTTTTGCTTGTCCTGCGTGCTTGCCATCGCGTCACAGACTTTACGTGTGATAACTAATCGCTCCTCCGCAGAGCGCTGAGGTTCGCTCACGCTTTTAGCATCTAGCTCGCCCTATGAAGCCTCCAAGAGGTCGTTCATGGTTCAAAGCTGTTGATAAAACTATAGTGTTACAGGAATTTCTTGCCGTGCCTCCTCATTGACACCTATAGTACTCTCCGTTATGGATTGTCAAGACGTCATACGTAGGATTGACAGAGGCGGTCGAAGTCGAATCACCGACCTGCTGTTGAGTCGAGGCTGTTTCTTTCGAAGCAGTGCGCTCAGTTGTGGTCGCTGCGCTTGTTGGCGCAGACGACGAGGCATGACCATCGCTGTCAGGGAGCATCGAAGCTTCCTGAAGGTTTAAGTGCCTCAAATGATGGGAAAAAATGTCCCAACAAAGCACTGTGCTTATCACCACTTTGGGGTGATGGCAATGGCTTGCTCTCATTGGAGTCAAATATGGGGGAGGGGGGAGAGACAAGTCTTCATCCGCACCATAGTGGGATCGAGTAGTGTTCTCTGCTGACAAGCTGACATTAGATACCGGCGTTGTCACTGAGACACTTAACGACGGTGCAAGTTATCGCGGCGCGTGCGCTTTGTATTGGTCTGCATGGGCGCCTTTGCAGGCGACCCATCAGCCATTTCACGTTTCGGTGGCATCTTCTCGTTTTTGATGTTTTACAAAAATGTAAAAATCGTCCTAAGGAGGGGGATGGTGTAACGGGCCATAGTTAAACCAGTCCGTTAGGTATCGACTACTTAACGGGCAGGCCTGAAAGGGTACGAGGTACCTTAAACCTGCCACTTGGTTTGCGGCACATCAATGTGACCCACCCTCGTAAATGTGATATTCATGGATGGATTCGCGCTGCAACGAGGATGACGCCAGTTGGGACTGGGCGTCATGGTGACGCTTCAGACAGACGTCATCAGCAAGCTTACATATATTTGAAGCTCGTACGTAAGGATGGTAATAGTAAAACGTGTGCAAGATATAATAGTGTGGTGGAAATAGCAAAACGTGTGGAGCTATAGCAATTCTCGTCACCAACTGTAGTCAATCTATTAGTTTTACTACTTTGAAAATGCAGTACCATTAGGTTAATGTACAGTTACACCATAACAATAAACTGCATATGTTACTTCAGTCTATTAAGACGCATAAAACTGCTACTTCATGCTTAAGTAAGTAAAACACCTCCTCATCTATCTAGAAAATAGTATCCATTCTACCGTTCTACCATCATGACCTCCAATGGCTCTACATCTTCTCCTGCTCCACCCGTAGAACTCCATAATCTCAACTTTACATTTGCTAAAGTAACAATTGGTGGTACACTCGTGACTCCATGGCAACCTGATGCTTTCAATCCAAATCCCCCTCCCCTTCCTACTGACGATCGTGTCTTACGTGACATTAATTTAACGGTAGAATCTGGTCAGCGGGTGTTAATCGTTGGTGGAAATGGAGCGGGGAAAAGCACGTTATTACGTATTTTAGCTGGGAAACATTTGACACCAGACGAGACAGTTTTAATCTATGGACGAGATGCTTTTCGTGATACTTTACTCAATACCAAACGGACTTTTGTAGCTGCTGAATGGGGTCATCATGCTGTTGCCTTTGCCTCTAATGCAATGGTTTATTCGGCTGATATGGCAATTGAAGAAATGATGATTCAATTGCAGCGTGAACATCCAAAAAGACGACAACAATTGCTGAAAATTCTTCGGATTGATCCGAAATGGCGTCTCCATCGACTTTCAGACGGTCAACGTCGTCGGGTTCAATTGTTTTTGGCCTTATTGAGACCATCGCAGCTTATTGTACTGGATGAAGTATTGGGATTACTTGATGTCATTTCACGAGAAAATGTGCTTACGTTCTTGAAAGAGGAGACGGAGACCCGACAGGCGACGGTGTTACTGGCTACCCACATCTTTGATGGAACGGACACTTGGGCTTCCCATGTGCTCTATATTCGACGTGGCACGATCGCTTTCTATGGTCCCATTGAACAATGCACGGAGAATTATCAAATTCCAATGTACAAGGTCGTGGAGCACTGGCTTCGTCAAGAACTGGCTCAAGATGACCGCATTGAGAGCGAGGCCATTGGAGTAAACGGCGAGTTTGATCTTGCCAATGCCCAGAATCGTGCAGGCGGATATGCGGCTGGTCGCTTGGGTGGGATTGACATTGACGCGTTGTAAAAGTGGCCGACGTTTGAAAGGTGTAGCATACTTGCTTCGCTAGACGAATGACTTGCAACTTTTACTTGACGGGTCACATAAAGAGTCAACAAATATGATGCTTGATGACTTTTGCTTACAACCCCAAGCAGTCGTTCGCCGGCTTTGCTCACGATTCCTATCGTCGTTGCTCTTTTGATACGACAAACGGACTTTGCGTGTAGGCTCTGTGCATATGGATCCATTCTTACATTGCTAGCTATTGACGCAATTGTCGGATGCAATATCAATTCCTTCACGAAGGTTCGTTCCCAATATCGTTTACATCATTTTGATCCCGGTCCCAAGAGTAGTGAGCATCTTTCGGTATGGTCACTTTCTTTCCTTTCGATCACGCAGTAGCCGTTTTGACGCAAAGTAAAACAATTGGAGATAGCCATGATGAATGCAGATGCTCAGCTCGAAGACTTGTTACAGGCAAATGGAGACAGCCATCTTTTCGATCAAATGTTGCAGCTTGGTCATCCACCCGTGATGTTTTGGTGGAAACAGATCGATGAATTCATTCGAGCTATTGAAACTGCTCGAGCCAAAGTGGAGAATGCAGAAGCAAAACCCTTACCACCTGATCCACTTGCACTGCCCACCGTAGTAACGGTGAAAAGATTCAAAGAAGCTGTACTCAACTATATCAAGCCTCAAAAACACGCAGATCGATTAGGGACATCGTGTCTGCTGTGTTCATTGCCAGAATCGGTAACGGTAGGGTACAAATTGCGTGCTCTAGATGATGATCCTTGGATTCAGCGGGTGATGGCTGTTGGAGAGCCAAACATGTTGCCAATTGCATGTGTATTCATGCCTCGTGGGCTTCGCGCAAGTGCACTTGACATAGTGACGCCACGACACAATCGGACTAGTTTGTGGGGCTGAATGGTGCTACAAATTACTTTGTTCCTCAGTTTGTTGGTGAGCAGTGGAAACAATGCACGATAACAAGGAAGAAAAACTACTGACATGTCCTTCAAAAGAAAGTTTGACATATGCATTACTCGTTTGTTATGGTGTCGAACATGTTAGCGTAAGGCAGGGGTCAACCCTCCACTGTCTTTGTTGCATTTGATATCGATGCACAGCACTCTACGATGCACGTAACAGTGATCATTACGCACCAGCGTACATCCCTTCACTTTTGAGCAAATGGCTAATGGCCGTCACCAACTGACTCTGCGCGATATCGACGCTAGGGTCGGCAATTTTCTCCATCAGCAGTCGGTCCAAATGTTGGCGAATGGACTTGATGAGCACGCCGATACGGGCTACAGCGCTAAAACGAATGAAACCGTCTAGTGTGAGCAAGTTCTTTTCGTGAATCACCTCAAGTTGGCCTCCAAATAGCAACAGCGCGTACGGGTTCACCATGGTGCTCTCTCGCACAAAGATTTTGGAAGTTTGTACAAGTTCTGTGTACAGCAGCCAGGGTGAATCGTAATTCGTCTGAGTAAAGTTGCAAGACGACGGATGAAGGAACACACGCTCGCGCTGGCCTGCCTCCGTCGTCGATCGCACAAAATATCGGATCTGCTTTGCGTTGTGATCCTCCTCGACCACGCCGTGAGCAGATTGGAAGTACTTTTGTTCCGGGTACACCACTTGCACCACATTTGCGTACAGACCGGCACAAAGTGCGGCCTTAATTATTCGGGGCGCGTTTGAATTCTCGTTGAGGTTGTCAGCGTTGCACGACTCGTAAAAGCCAATGTTGTCCAGTTGCTGCAAGTACTGCTGCTTCAGATCCAAGATAGACTCCATGGTGTCATAGGAAAGCCCGATGTCGCGACAAAATTCACGCTTCATCTTCTGGCCACGCAACGGCATATAGCGCTCGACTACTTTCCATAGTAGCAAATGGTCACTCTTCCAGCTACCACCCAGCTCCTTTTTTAATGCCTCCTGCTTAGCGCGCATTTCAGGGTCCGACATGCTTACCAGGAACGGGTTGCGACTCGAGATACACGCAGCAATGATAGCCACCGGTTGAATACAGCGCAGAATTGATCCGTACACCAGAAACTTCCCAATCCGAGCATCGAGAGGCAGCATGGCCAAGTGATTGCCAAGGGGCGTCAAGACTACCTCTTCGTCATCAATGCTCTTGATGCCAATGTGAAGATTTTTCTTGGGACTAACGATCCGGAATGCAGCAATATCCACCAGTTCTTGGATAGCTGCGTCAATAGCATCCTCAGCAGGCGGCTCGATAGCTTTCGAGAGAAAACCCTTGATCGAGCCAAATTCCAGCTTCTTAATCTGCAAGCAAAGCTGCTCAAGTGACACGCGATGGATCTCAGCAGACAGCTGCGCATCCATGGCCGCGAATCGCTTGCGCGAGAACAGTCGGTAGCACGTACCGGCCTGTACACGTCCTGCACGACCCTTGCGCTGGTCGCACGCTGCACGAGCTGCCCAGCAGTCCAGTAGCTGAGACCGACGCGCACGGTTGTCATATACCATCTCCTTCACTTTTCCGGAATCAATCACGGCAGTAATATCGTTGATAGTGATGGAAGTTTCGGCAATGTTGGTACTAACGATGACCTTTGTCTTACCGGCGGGAGCAGACTTAAACACCGTCGCCTGGTCACCTCCAGAGAGAGAGCCGTGGAGGGGAAGTGCCCACAATTTAGACGATAACCCGCCATTTCCATGGGTTAGCATCTCAACTAGTCGCTTGATTTCAGCGGTTCCTGGCAAGAACACGAGGATGGCTCCATTGGCAGTACCAGCATTTTGCGCCTTATCTAAAACAAGGAAGCGCACTAAATGTACAATGAGGTCGTAGTCAATCTCGGAATCGTCAACACATGCCGCAATATCCTCTGGCGTCTGCGCGGCAAACGGTTTTTCTTCCGCATCTTCACCATCGCCGCCCTCCTTTTTGGTTTTCTTTCTCTTCAGCAAATACTTTGGCACATCGTAGTGGGTTTGGTCAAGAATATCCTCCAGGAAGTTGCACTCCACTGGAAAGGTAAAGCCAGGAATGTCCAAGACAGGGCACGGCGTCCTGGTAACTGAGGAAAAGTATTTCACAAAAAGTTCGGAGTTCATCGTAGCACTCATTAAAATAACTCGCAGGTCTGGGCGCTGAGGTAACAAGTCTCGGAGAATCGACAGCAAGAAATCGGTATCCACATTACGCTCGTGAACCTCATCGACTATTACATGTGAGACGCCAGATAGTTGCCGATCGTTCAGTAAACGTCGAAGCAAGACACCCGTCGTGCAGAATAGCAATCGCGTGTTGGACGATTTCTTTGCATCCATACGAATCTGGTATCCAACAATGTCGGCAATATCTTCACACCGCTCCTGTGCAACGCGAGTAGCCACACCAATAGCAGCAATTCGCCGTGGCTGAGTACAGATGATGTTACATTCGCCACCAGCGCCGCGGTTAATATACTCGTCCAAAATGAACTGTGGGATTTGAGTAGTCTTGCCACAACCCGTGGCACCACAAATAAGTACCACCTGGTTGTTCTGCACACACTTAATTACTTGGGCGTCTTCCTTGCCTGCAGGAAGTTTTGCGCGAGCGGAAAGCATCTGTCGAAAGTCATGCTGGCCATCCTTCGCTTTCCTTGCCTTCAACAAGTTTTCGCTTATCTGACGCACAGCTTCCACATCAACACGTTTCGGCTGGTAGTGATTCAAGTTCTTGCTGGGATTATCACCCCGACCCTTTTTCTTTTTCCGCGACTTGAGAGTGTCACCTTTTTGTCCCTCAGTTGTGCTGGAAGTCGCTGTGACAGATTCTTCCACCGCAATAAACGTTTTCAAGAGCTGTATTCGAAACGGTCTAGTTGACAGTCGTTTCTTATCCTGTAAATACGTATCAATTGTAACGTAAATATCGTATAACATTGGATCGCCCATAGAGTGCACACAGCTCCTTAGTGCTTCTCCACATGCAGCAAGCAAATGCGGCTGATGTATTGCCTCAGTTGATGTCGAGGCAACTAGCGGTAACTCGAATGGATAGTTGGATGTGCTTGGCAGATAGATGTACAATCGGATGCTATCGGTAACTTCAAACGTCAAAAGCTGGGCGCTTGATCCATTTTTTTCCAGTGTTGTGATCTTCAGCTTCTCATCGTATATAGCCTCTAGAGCAAAGAACTCATCTTGACGCTGGTTCAGCAGCTCCTCCTTGTTACTAGGGACCTCAACGGCACCATCAATCTTTTCTAAGCTAAAGTGCTTTTTAACATGCGGGAATAGCTTCTCTACGAGAGCGAAGAGGGTCGCCATTGATGGAGCCTTCAATTCCGCATCGCTAATACTAGGATTCTCTTGTACAAACTCGTTTGCCATAGATAGAGCATCTTGATGGTCATACCCAAACTTCATGAGTCTCTCAACCAGCACAGCTGTACGTGCTGATTCCGCTGATCCCGACGACGAAGCACTTAAGACCACATCAAGCTGTGTTCCCTCCGGATTAAACTTCCTGGGTAATTCTTTTTCTGGGATGTTCAAACACAACCAATCAAAGATAGTCGACATGTAGGCATCATCACTCCTGCTCAGATCACGTGAACAGTTCTGCAACGCTTCTTGGATCTGTGGCAGTGCAAATCCAAACGCTTTCAATCTCTGTATAATTTTCTTTTGACACTCGACTGCTTGTAATTGTTTCTGCTCGGAAAAATCCAGTTTCTCGTCCACTTGCACCGTTTTCGTTTGCATTTGTCCTACTTTTTTCAATATGTCTTCAATCAATTCTCTACAGGAGGCACTCATCATAACATGACATGGCACATTTGCTCTCTCCCGATTCTCTCTCGATCGTAACTTTTTATTTCTCGCTTGGGTTCGTGCAAGTTTTGCTGCTTCAAATTCTTTAGAAGATGCAAATTTTCTGTCCATTGTCAATTTCATCGGCATCTTCATCTTCTTTTCTTTATCACTTTCATCCAAATCATCCTCAGCCCACAAATTCATTCCCAATTCCTTCAGCTCAATTTTCGTCTCCTTTTCCTCCATTTTAGACTTAATTTTGTCATTTTTAGTTATTTTCTTCCCCTTCCCCTTTGCTTGAACTTCATCCAATTCAGTCCCTAAAAGTAGCCATAACTCCCGATATGGATCGGGTAATTTTCTCTCTAATGGTCGTAAAGGCTCGATATGTTTTAACGCCAATAAAGCAGCACAATGTTTTGCTTCATCTTGAGTAGCAAATTCCTGTGCAGGACAGAAATTTAAATCTTTGTCTCGATTTTTAACGTCTGGTACGACACATCGCAGGCGAAAATTAGCGACATTTTGGACCTTTGCATGGACGTAATAAGCATTTGGTCGGTTCTTGGCGTGACAGAATTCATGCAATAATTGCATTGGTGTACGTTGCCATTCTTTACATAAAACCCCTTGACGAAGGGTATCTCCTTTAGACACACTAACAGTACCAGCACCACGAGCTCGATGTCCTGGCTCACGCTGTCGACCCATTTTTAATACTGTAATTAAGATGATTTTAAGGAAGAAGTGGTTCAAATACGTGCTAAAATGGAGCAGCAGGCTACAATTAAACGGAGTGTAACTACAGGGTTACTTCGTATCGGTACGACACCGGTATTCGTAGTTTTCGACACTTTTTCTTCATTTTAAGACTTTTTCTCGATTTTTGACATTTTTGTTCTCTACCAATGGTGTTCACGTCACCACGAGGCGCCGTCTTGTTACCGGAGATAGCGGTCGTGAGTGCCGAAAACTCGCGTCAGCTTGAAAAACGCTTTACGTTTCTTTGGAATACGGCACATCGGTTGCTCTCTACGAATGGCGTGCTCGCGAATCATATGATGTACGTGTCAAAAAGGTAGATCCAATAGTTGTCAAAAATGAAAAGTCTAAGTTTTCTTTCTTTTGACAGCGCGTCCATGATGCAATTAGCAAGAGTCAATCGTGCGCAGCTGCCACAAACAGTATTGGACTTTATCTGTGACAGATGCGGTGGATTACTAGTGCCCAGTGTATCGGCAGACGTACGTGTGGTGTCCCAGTCCCGCAAATCTTTAGCCAATCGTCGACTAGCTCGGCAACAACGACGTGCTCAGCTACAAAGTGACATAAGCGGGACACGTCTTAGCCGTGAGACGCTGTCTACTATTGTGGTAGGTTGTTCTAGCCGCGAAAAAGAGAGAAATCTGATTCCTGACAGTATATTTTTGACGTTTGTGTCAAAAATGCTGTAGAGAGTGACATGCCATCGATGTCAATATAGTATTGACCGACCGGGTACATCAGTGGTCCACAAGGCCAAGACAAAGAAACGAGAGAGAGAAGAGCAGCAGACGGTGACTGTGGCTTCTGATACGAAGAAAAGGAAAATGTTCACTGAAGAAGCCGGTGAAAATGACAAATTAGAAGTTGCAAGAAGCTCGGCTGCTTTTAGTGAGCTGAAAATGGCGCCTACAGGTTTATTTACACCAGTATTATCAAGTTCACCGAGGAAACTGTTGGATGGACCGAAGAAACGAAAGAAAAAGAAGAATACACAACCGGATGCAGCTATAATCGCTGTCAAGAACAATTTGAGTTCGTTTTTGCAAGGACTCAATTCACGCAAGTGAGCAGAAAGGTTATGTAAATATGTTTTGTAGGTTTCTGCTATGGTAAACACGTTTCGTTGTGTGTGTGTGCATTTGTTACATGTGTGTGATAAAGTCAGCGAGAAGAAAGCAGATAGGAAGTCATACTCGGTAAGCTACGTGCAGAAATTGTCAGTGCTGCTCTATGTGTATCGAGGTTGTATCGTTTATGGATGTGGTCTACTTGACGGTCTGAAGTATCTTTTGCAAAGCGAAATTTGGTTGTGTCTTGACCACTATATCGTAAAAAGCGCTTGTATTGCAGCCGCAGCAATGTCTGTGTTGCCCACGCTGACTCCTTAAGAAGTTTAGCGAAGACTTCTGCAGCTCATTTATTATCTGTCAAGTCTATCATGCAATCCCATCCGCGATCGAAGATAGGAATGTGCAGAAGTGTTTGTGATGGCCGTCGGCGCGATGTACTGCTACTCATTCCAGCGGGTTGAGTGCTATTTGTGCTACAATCTCGTTTTTAGGAAAGCTGTTAGATGTCAAAAGATTGGGAGTCACCTTGGTGGCGTGTGCATTGCAATAAGGTGCAAGAGTCTTACTGAAAGTTCTCTTGTGCTTTAGAAAACGCAACCAAAACACCCAAATCGTCAAGATCCTTGGTCGAAAAGCGCACAACGGAAAAGACAAGTGACGAAGCGGATCACGTGTTGTGACTTGCAGCATTGAGCTTGCCGTTTTGTTTAAAGTAGATATATCGGAGTTTCGGCAAACACGACGAAGATGATCCACAAGACGACCAGAAGATGCTGGTCGAGAGATCTCGATTGGATGCAGCAACTACAACAGGCTTACGTAGACTTGCAAATTTACACGGTTGCTGCAAACAGAAGCTATAAATTAACGCGTGTTTGTGCCTGTAGCGCACGTACGTTTCGAGTAGCAACGTATGCCAGTAATAACAGCGAAGCAGGTGCGGCTGCTTGTGGCTCGGTCTTCCCATACTTTGGAAAACATGGAGACACCTGGGGTATTGAAGAAGTCTCCTCCAGCTCAGTCAGCGAAGTGATAGAAGGCGTCCAATTCAATTCCAGACCGACCGTCGTTTTGCTTCCAGCATACTTGTGGGGTTTGTAATGACTTCCTCGTGTCAGCACTTTCTTGTTCTCTTCGGGAATCGTCTTCGAGTTGGCAATGCCGTGACAAAGCCGATGGAAGTTTGCTTTCGTCGCAAACTTCTTTTTGAAAAACCAAGCCGAAAAATTCTCGAGATTGCGGCCATGCGTACGTTTGAGAGTCTTGAGACGCTGTCGCAATGCCTCCTTGGACTTCTTTGTGCCTTTCATCTGCTGGGTAAGTCTGTCCCATAGAATCTGCCGTCGATTGCGTGAGAACATCAGCGCTAACTGAACAAGCTGTCGATCTTCGTCGTCCGTGAAATCGGACATATTGCCTCACGCTTGTGGTGGTGGTGCAGCCGCCGAGATGAACATGAAGAAAACGATGTTTGAGAGACTGACTGACAGGACTTGACCAGACGTTGTCGATCTCCATCAACTCGAACAAAGCAGAGAAATGGACGTAGTGACCGTCCAGAATTGCTGTGCTCGGCGTTTCGCTTCGATACGCGTCATTGGAGCGGTTTGCTGAAGTTGAAGTCGTTGTCCTATCCCATGTCAAATTTGACCGGTCGCAGGAAAGTGTCTTTACAAACAGAGCCACCTCTCAGTGTGACAGGAAGTGAGACCATCGCATCATCCAGAAAAATGACAACACGCTGCTTTAAGCCGTGAAGTATCCACAGTTAGTTTAAGAATGAGTTCGGCACCATTTTCTATGCATTACTACAACATAAACCTTCCGAAGCATAGTTTGCATCCGGTAAAAACTTATGTGAACAGCGTCTGCCAAATAGAGGGTTTGACCCAGTTGTACTCGTCTCGGTGGACAGCCTAGCAATGTAATCAGCGTTAGATATCGAGCCGCACATAATGCAAACAACTAGTCTAATTACAAAAGCGTACCTCTTCAGCCTGGGAAAGCAGCTTCTGCAGCACAGCACGGTGGCGATCGGAAAGCGGGGGAGGCTCCGTGTTTATAGTCGTGTCTGATATACGTTCTTTCTGCTCTCGGATCTTCTTTTGTGCACGCTCAACATCGAACAGGGACTCGAAATACTTAAGCTGGGTGTATAAGGCGCTATCAGGATATTCAAGCGTGGTTGTTGCTCTACACCCTGCTGCGGAGCAGATGTTGCCGTTTCCACGAAGCGATTGTTTTTGTGTCCGTGTCTTGCACGTCACATCAGAGCAAATTGTCCACGCCTCGTAGTATCTCTTCGCTGCTAGGCGCGTTGCGATGTGGAGGCGGTTCGAAAGCACCGCCTGTAGATCATCGCCTACGTTTCCATATATACCCTCTTGGTCAAAACCCCAGAAGTCCGCTTTACATACGGGGCAAAGCAGTCCGCTAGAAAGTGAGCTGTCCTTCTCAGTCGTAGCATATACGCCAGAGAAATTACTAGCCATCTTGCATTGGTCGCAAGTGATCTCCAGAGGAACACAATCCTTGAACCGGTCCGCATCGTTTTGGAGAACGCTTGGGATTGCGTCACTGCCATCTTTCTCTTCGCCAAAATGATTGGCAGAATGCGAGAACTTAGCAGTATCGAGGCCCAAACAGTGTGCCAGCTGCGGACTCGATGTTCCTTCAATGTGAGCGCACAGTCGGTTTACTGGTGGATGAATTTGTGACTCAAGGTACCACTCAATGTCAATATTTAGCTTTCCAGTAGCCCGCTTCACCTCGTCTGGATGATAGGCACGACGGCCACTTCCAGGTTCTTCCTCCTTGCAAAGCACGTACGGAATGTGCATACCCACACCAACCGGCTTTCCAAGAGTACGCAATGCGATCGCTACTTGCACGTGGTATTGCTTCGCACGATCTGGGTATTGCTCAGGTTGCTTGTTCAAGCTCTTCGTGATGACGTACTGCTCAATCGGTTCCTTTCCGGAACGCATGCGTTCCGCTACCTGCTCCAGATGCTCGTGGATACTCTCCACCACATCGTCACGAGAATTTCCGGACAAGATAAAGTCAAGTATCTCATTACCCACCGTCTTCGAGATCACGCACCAATCACGACGCACCATATCGAGACCTTTAACCTCTTTGTCAAAAGTGGGCTCGCAGTTAGGCCGCTCATTAAGTACCAACGCCGCGTATTTCTTCTTGTTTAAAAGCAGAATCCGCTTGAAAATGTAGTCCACCTCAAGTTCCAGCAGTCTGAAATGCTTGTTACATTGAGTTTGAATTTCACGACCTATGCGCTTGGCCTCGTCAAGGCTTTCAGTGCGCGAATCTACCATGATAGAATCCGTATCTCCGTAAACCACATCATAGCCACACTCTTGCTCTGCCACCTCCTTCGCTCGCTGCAGCGTATGGCGACCTGTCGATGTAATCAATGCAGCAATAGGCTTTGCGTAAAATCGCGAGAAACGGAAACCCAAGCAACCATACATCGAGTTTGCCGTCAACTTAATAGCCTTTTGACGAACATCAAGCAGGACGGATTTCTCGATATTGCCTGCCTTCTGTTCAATTTTCAGCTGCTGCTTCACCTGCTTACGCGACTCTAGCAAGCGCTTGATCACAGTTGGCAAGATACCAGGCTCACTTGCGCTACTCGGTAAAGCCGGGATGTCTGAATCGGCACTAGCATCAGCGTGGTCAAGGTTTTGATCCACGTCTTTGTCGTCCACAACGTCATCATTCTCAGGTTGCGGCATCGGCTTGGATTTCTTCTTTTTCTTAGAAGACGAAGGCGCTCCAGGCACGTCCTCGTTAAGTTGTCGCTCTACAGTGGTGAAACAGATATTGTATTCCTACAGTTCATCATAGCATCGGTTAGCTTTAGATACGATCCATCTCATATTTATGCCCAAAAACACGTACACGAATGATGGACGGATACAAACTCATGAAATCCAGCAACACAACGAAATTGTCATAGAGACCCTTCTTTGGTGCAAAGACCATACCACCTGCATACGATGCCTCTCGTCTCTTGTTCGACTTGTCAGCCTCAGTTCTTGTTTTAAACTTCTCCGGCACAATGAATTTATTTTTTGACCTGCTAAATTCGTGAAGCAGCAAATATTCAATTCGCTCGGCACGTTTGTTCGCCTCCAGCGTACGAGTCCACAAGTATCCACACAAGTTGGCGAGCTGCTTTGACAACGGTAAAATTTCAAGCTTGTGCATAAGATGTAGCACAAACATGGCATCGTCCAGCGTGTGACGCAGGAATTTTACAAAGTTATTAGGGCCACCAAGAAGAATTTGAGGAATCTCGGTCATCTCAACATCCAGTCGTTGCTTGTGCAAGAGTCGCTCAACCAAATATGAAAGCGTGTAGTTATTCTGAGAAGGTAACAATTCCTTCGACGACACGTATGTGTCACAGAAAAGTCGCCCATTGGCCATGTCGTCCATCCTGTACTCGTTCCAGCCTTCTCCTACATTCATCGGATTTAGGCGACCACGACGAAGTCGCGTCAGCTTCGACCACAATCCACCAAGTTTAAAGTTGTCGATTCGCGAGATCAGCAACTCCAATGCATACTTATGTAAATTGTGACCAACAATGACGTCCGGGTCTTCGAGCTGGACGCGTGTGAGAAAATAGCTTAACATAACGCGCTCGTTGATTTCCACGCTTAAACGATCACTGTTAATGCCCAACGCGCCATTTTTCAATTTGATCCCGAAGCGATCATCTTTTTGAACTGCCTCAGCGTATGACTGGGGGAAACCGTTATTTCCATCCAGTGGTCGAATTGCTGTAAAGTGCGATAATGTGTGACGCACGCCATTCGTACCCTTACCAGCTCCCTCGGCGCTAACACCAGACTCTGTGATTGCAGAGAGAGCAACTACCTCGTGCTTGCCAGTATTGGGGTTGCAAACACTCTTGAGACTAAGACTCATCACTGTAAGAGGGGGTGGGGTCATACCATCAGCGATGGGACATACGTTCTTCGGGTCAAATGTCTCGAACTCCAATTTGCAGAAACTGACACCCTCGCTACATTTGCGGACGTTCTTAATCTCAACCCACCCTGGCCCCAATAGCCGGCGAGTAAGCAGGAAATTTTCCAGTGGTCTAGTCAACGCTCCACAAATACGAGAAAACGTCTTTCCACCACGTGAGCAAAAGTCCGATGGCGGTGCAGGGTATCGCGCAGGATACTTCACCTTTAGGAATAAATTCTTGCCACGTGGAATATTCGCTTCCTCGAAAGCGTAGTTGCGTTCTACAAGTTTGGTCCTAAACAACTCTTGGTCACATTTACTCGTGATACAGGAAGGAACCAAAATGTTGCGAATTTCCTCGTGCATCTTTATCCAAGCCTCCTGCTGCTCATTCTTACTCCGTTCGATCAGTGGATTGCCTTTTGGAACAAGATACATGTACCGTTGCAGGTTGTTCACTACCACACAGCAGCTCCTAAACATAGACTGCTGGTTCGATCCTTCGGGGCTCGGGATTTTCATTTTTCCGATAAGATAGATCTTACTCGGACGCTCGCGCACTTCAACCGCGTCCATCCAGTACATTCGAATTACATCTGCTGCGGTGGGTGGTGCTTCAGTTTCCGTGCCATCAGCTGCAGAAGCGTTCGTCATCGTAACATTCAAATCGTTTTCAGCTACTTGCCACCATTCAGCAACTTCATTTGACGGGACATTATTCATTGTCACATTTTCCCGCTGAAGTTGTTGCCCCACAGAAGTAGCCAATGTTTTCGTAGCAGGTGCTGACGTCTGCAGTCGCGCTTCCCGAGCTTTTCGAAGCATCATCTCTCTTTTACTCGTAATAGGCTTCACAACTTCAGTCGGCTCCTTCTCCTGCTCTATACTATCTCCATTTTCTTCTACATAACGTTCCAATTTTTCATCCTTATCCACACTCGCCTCCTCCATCAGCTCGTCCTCAGGTTCGTACGAGTTCTCTTCAACCTCCATCGTTTCCTCTTTATGCATCATCATCACGTTTCCTGCAGCAGATAAAGGTCTCGTCGCACTAAATCCCGACACTTCACTCGAGAACGTCGAAGCTCCCGTCGAGTACGACATCGGTCGGACATAACTTTGTCGTGACTCTGTCGGGTTGCTCGTCAGATCCTCCAACATACTATCGAGATCAATATCTCTCTTCGTACTAGCACTACTATTTCTCCCTCTCCCTCCTCCCTCTATTCCTGTCACTTTCTTCCCTGTAGAAAAAAACATGTTGGTTATCTTTTGTCCTTCACCTCCTCCAAGCTTCGCTCTCTGCATCTTCTTTGCTCGTCGTACATACGATGAAGATAGCGCTCCAGCACTTCGTTTCTTGCCTGTGACGTCGTCCTCGTCATCATCTCTTGCTCTTGTGTCATCTTCCGCGTCTGATTCAAAGAACTGTTCCTCGCCGTCGTCATAATAGCCCATCTCCCCATCGTCATTTTCGACAAATGGCAATCCCTGACGTCGTTGCCGCACTAGATCTTCGTACTCTTGCTCCGTTACTGCCTTGTATATACTCTCTTCCTTTGGCTTGTACTGCGCCAAGCGAGAGCTCACAGGAACGTCTTCAGCTGGTTCACCCTCACGCATACGCTTGATCTCCTCGAGTGCCTGTTTGCGACCAGTGACGCAGCGGCGAGAGCCTCCGCTTGTACGCCGTGAACTCATCTTGACGTCTTACAATGCGGAATGGTAGGCGCACAAGGGAAACCTTCTGATATAATCAATACCTGTATAAATATGATAGTATCTGTTTAAGCGGGAGTGATAAAATGATTTCGTACAGATGTCTATCAAACGTTATAGTTTATATTAATGTGTTGTTTTATTTTTTGTCAGATATTAGCCAATCATGTTGATTGGCGGGTGCATTTCCCGCCAGAATGGCGTCGGCAATGGCGACCACCGCCACTTAAGTGAGGAATATCTGGCGCTTTAGAGGAACCCGGTGGAAAATATCTGTGTTGCATCGTTATAGAAGGACGTCCTCGAGTGTATAAGCGATTACTGGGACAAAAGGCACGCCATACGGAGGAGATGACAAGCTCTACTTCCCACGTGAGAATCTCCGTCTGTGATCATGTGCATACCCAACGGCCGGGTGAAAATTAATATGTCTGAGTATGTCGGACGTTCACGCCGAGACGTGGAATCCGCTCTTGCTCTATTTTCTTGGGGCTTAAGGGAGTTGCAATGCTCGAAGGAGAAAGCAGATGATGGTGAAGTCGCCGCTGAAGTTGCCACTATCACGCTGGAATAAATGACTGTTGAAGTGCAGCCTCTTCTTCACGAGGTATACGATGTAGCTATTGCCCGTGTGGGTTGTTTTTTCGTATTTTATGATGCTACTTCTTTTCAAGGCTCGAATGCACTTCGTATTGGAACATGCAATCTTGCGCCGATTTCGATCCACAACACCCCAAAGCTTTTCAGAAGATCATCGTTTATAACGAGACAAACGTTTATGCCAGGAAGGTGGTGAAGGATTGTCTATCGCCTAAGACGCCGATTTGGTTTATCACGATCATGTGGCTCCTTCAGGCAAACCTCTACGCAAGCATTGGACGAGAAACACCCGTGGTGATCAGGGTCAACTGCAACTTTATTTCTGATACTGCGGACTAGTTTTTTAGCCTCGAATGGTCAATATTCCTCCCATAGCAACAACAGCGACGACGAGTTGGCATCATTGACGCAAACTTCATACCGTTGCCACAAAGCTACCATACAAGATTCAAGATGTTTGAACGACATGCATGCAAACAAATCATTAGAGACGACAAAAGAAACTTAAGCGTTTTTGCACGCAGTGGAAGTAGAACTGCTGCAGATCCAAAGCCAAGCGACGAGTACCTGGCAAAAATACAAGCAGCCATCCTCGTATTTCACTCCGGACAGATAGAAACTGGAGAAGAACGTCACTGCGCTACAACCGTGTTCGTGTTCGAGGGTGGTCAGTTTATTTGGCCAGGTCTTCGTATTGCCACAAAAGTTAGTACACGCTGAGCTTGTGCAAGCAAACGACTGGACTGTTTTGATGGCGATGTTGTAGCGCTCGTAGGAATCTCATATTGGACGTGGCGATCTGGTACTCGAGACGATCAACATGCGCCACTCGTGTTCGGCGCCAAGAAATTCCTCCGGGACGACGATATCATTTAGACTTATCCACACCGCGCCTAGTGCCGTCCGGCGTCGCGTCGCTGGATGGCCACGAATAGACTGGCCACGGATCGGCGCACGAGCACGACGTACTGGTTAGACTCATGTCATTCAGTGGTGCAAGACATCGACAAGCGCACAGCCGACCTTGTCAAAGTGTCTGTAAGCTATCAAGAGGCCGTTCAGTTCTGCGCTAGAGCGCACACAGCACTACGACTGACTTTTCTCGTGAACTCTATTGCAGTCTCCAGACATTCTGACGTCACTGCCACGGCTACAAGAACCGCATGATCACGGTGTTAAGGTACATGTCGGACGTAGCCAAAACCGGACACACCAACTTTGCCCGTTCTGGTGGTCTAACCCATCTTCCAACTATCACGGGTTGTCTCCAAGGCATGAACGCTGCTTCGAATAAGCGTAAGGTGATCGTGTTTGACGGCACTGCTGCCAAATGGTGAAGGCAACCCAATGAGTCTGCACGCAGGCTGTTCTGTCGAAGAGATTATCAAGCTATTGAACAACAAGTGGATCTGGAACAAGCCGCGTAGGACGACGCTTGTGATACTTGTGTAGCTTCAAAGTTGTGTCGCCAGACATACACAGACCTCTTCCACAGTTGTCTAGCGCGAATTAAATGTGCAGTTCCTGGCCACGGAACTGTGGCAGGTCGTTGGACAGTCTTTTTAGCTCGTGCAGTAGCGGCGTCTGCTCGTCGGACTTTGTAATGCCCCACGCCAGAGGAGTAGATTGGTGTTGTCTCTTGACGTTCATCATATAGATGACCAACGCCCCTGGAATGAGCTCTGGAATGGCGTAGAATAACCACGGGTTTGACACGTGATGATCGAAGACATTAATTGCTGGCATGGAAAAAAGCAGCAACAAGCTGCGATAGAAGAAAAGAAGTGAAGATACGGCACCAATGAGTGACAATCTTGTCGCAATCGTCGCGGCCAAGGAGGAGAACTCGATCTTGAGCAGCACCGCACGCAATTGCAGTGCACACCTGGCCAACACGACGGCCAGTAGGAAAAAGCACAAGGCCATAAAGCCGTACTCCATCTGAAAAAGTACCATTTTCTCCCGCGGGAAGAGTGTCTTGAGCACGAGCAGAGCACACTCTACGAGATAAATCCAGACATTGGCCACAAGAAAGAGCTTGCGTGATCGACCAGAGCGTTGCGCTCCTGCCCCACGCGTATACTCTGCAATAACTGACTGGTTTGCAGCTACTCTAGCCAGTGGCTTCTCTGCTCGTCGTGCTTGAGCCCTTACATCTTCCCAGAATCGAAGCAATAGTGTAAAGGCCGAGAAATAAAGCAGCGTCGCTAATTTTCCAAAGGATGTGACGCCAAGGACGTAAATGTCAATGTCTGTGGGCAACAACGGCGTAACAAACACCATGTGCTCATAGTGAAACTGAGATTCAGATCCTTCAACCCATTGAAACATGTGCATATTGTTCAATACGAGCCACGTGATGCGTGAAAAGTACGCAAAACTAAGAAAAGTTGGGAACCAGCGCATGCGCTTGACCGGCAGTAAATGCGTTGCATGACCGTGCTCACCCAGTCGAGCACGTTGAATACTCACTGATAGTGTATAAGCTAGTACAGCCGCATAGCAATACGCCGCTCCGGCCGCTGCTGATTGCGTGTAGAAGCAATGACGCGCGCCAAAGAGACAGATCTTGTTGAGAAGCTCCATGGAAGCGACGACGGCTGATGGACGATATTCTTGGTTTTACTATGATTTTATCGGTTTTTACATGTATACGCTGACTTTTTATTAATTTAAAGAGGAGAACGGGTATAAGAGCGAGCAACCTGCGGGCAACTTGCGGGCAACTCTAATGTACCGGCGAGTACATATGAAGGGCGTTTGTTCCTACCGGTATGTCTGTCAACATACCGGTAACAGCGTTTATGCACCATTAATGTAGCCATTGCAATTCGTAATGGTTGGTCACGACAGAGTCAAACGTAGCAACTTTATTGATGGCATCGACGTCATCGTCCTCGGAACTGCGCAAGGCGTTATCGAAATACGCATTGCCTAGTGTCAATGAATTAAGTCACTTACGTGCTGCTGATCCGACGACGTCCTACCGCTCGTCCTTTTTCCGTCTGCAGATTGATGAACTGTTGACTACCGTAGACCATAAACCCAGTGCTAAAGCCTCGTTAGGTCTGCAAAAGCTCCTTTTCCAAGTAAAAGAAATCTTGCAAAACCTAGAGGATCAACAGGTTACACAAGATGCATTGGAAGCTCGTGGCCTTTTGGTGCGTAGCCATGTCAAACGCAAAGAGATTGTCCTACCATTTCAACGTCCTAGTCGTCTGGATGTTATAGGCAGCTACATCCTACAGACTATGGCTTATTGTCCTAAAGACAGGACCGACTATGGAGTTCTAAGTATTGATCTAGCAGTTGAAATGCCCGCAGCCTGTTTCCTACCAAAAGACTTTGGGAATTATCGATACTTTGATAAACGGAACTTATACCTTGGTGTCCTAGTGTCCGAGTTGCAATCTCATCAAGAATTATTTCAGAATGTCATGCTACAGACGTGGCACGGTGAGTATGAAAAACCTGTAGCCATCTTAAAGATCAATTCTGCGTTTTTACGTGACAATGGCTTGAAAGGAGCTAAAGTTTATGTACGGGTCATTCCAGTGATCACGACAGACTTGTTCAAATTGGCCAAGTTAACTCCATCGAGGAATAATATCAAGCATGAACCTGATATGACGGAACAGGAGATGAAAGAATGCAGTACACCCATGTACAATAACTCGATTCTGGAAGATATGATGATGCGACAACATACAAGAGAGCTACATACGGTGTTGAAGGAAGCTCCGACGTTTGCTGAAGCATGCATTTTGTCCAAGGTGTGGCTGAGACAGAGAGGATTTCACAAAGCTGTGGACTCGATCAACGACTTTTTAGTGTCAATGCTGCTGCTATATCTGTATCAGATTAAGCGGATCAATGCTCAGACACCGTCGGATCAAATGTTCAAAGTGCTGGTGCAGTTTATTGCTGTACACAAACTTGAGGATGATCCTTTGCAGTTTCCGCCAGTGGAAGGCGGCGTGGTGCTCACGACTGAAGGGATGGAGATATTCCGCAAGTTGTACGATCTGGTGTTTCTGGACTCGTCTGGTCGATTGAACTTGCTCGGTCGTGTAACGCGGAGTGGATGGAAGGAAATCCAGAACGCTGCTGCAGAGTCAGTGAAGCTAGTGCAACACTGCACGATGGATGACTTTCGATCGCTCTTTATCAAGAAGAACGAGTTTTGGACGCGATACGATCAGTACTATTGGTTCCCTGCACCTGCTCCCGTAGACAGCGCCGATGAAGACACGTACACGGTGCAGGAGAAGCGCATTATCAATGATATGGGTCTTGAACAATTCTGGTTACGTAAGCTTGGATCAGTGCTGTCGAAAGCGTTGACGGATCGTGTGAGTCTTGTTCGCCCCATTGCTGAGGATAGTGTCGAGTGGGGCATGCGAGATGACGCACTTCCGACGCAGCGCAAAGTAGCACTTGGATTGCGGATAAACCCAGTCAACGCGTGGCGGATCGTTGATAAGGGTCCATCAGTAGACGACAAGGTGGCCAGCTCTCAATTCCGTCAGTTCTGGCGTGGCAAGTCGGAATTGCGTCGGTTTAAAGATGGTGCCATCATTGAAGCTGTGGTGTGGGAAGGCATCAGCACTGAAAATCGCCACCGTGTGCTGGATGCCATTGTGAAATTCATTGTACCTGTACACTTCCCCCAGCTCTCCTCTTCGCAGATCAAAACTTCTAATGCTGCGTTGTATTCAGCACTTAACGTTGAGGAGCCGGCAGGATTGAAAATGGCGAAGGCATCCAATGCGTTGTTTGAATCTACGATGAACTCGGTGTCGAAGCTATGGGTCATTTTCAACAACCTTGTAAAGACACTGCGTGACTTGGACTCGCTGCCGTTGAAGGTTTCGGATGTACTTCCGGTGCACCCTGCTTTCCGTTACACAAGTTTGTTCCCTGTTGAGCCACACCCGTTGGCGTACTCCAAGGGTGAGAAGGTAAATGCTGCGCCGATGGCTCATGTGAACACTGTGCTGGAACCTTTGGTGGTGCACGTGAAGTTCGAGCGCTCATTGGCTTGGCCGAACGAGAAGAAAGCCTTACTGCATGCGAAGACTGGCTTTTACGTGCACATTGGTCATGAACTCCAGTCTCGCCTCAATCTACGTTGCGAGGTAGCCAAAGACTGTGTGGATGTTTTCATCAGTGGCTACGTCTTTCGTCTGATTATTCGCAGCGAAAAGGAGTTGAGTGTCCTCACTGGTGCTGCCGGAGTGAAGAAGCTTGCTCTCGTACATTCGCCTGAATATGTGACGGTGAAGCGTGAGACTGACTACCTGTCGAAGCACGCGAGTACAGTGCATGCACTGCACACGAAGAACACATCATACGGCCCTACGGTTCGGCTTGTCCAGCGGTGGGTGGCCGACAAGGCATTGAGCAACGTGCTGCCTATTGAAGCAGTTGAACTCATTGTCGCTGACGTGTTCCTGACTACTGTATCCACGTGCACCCCTCATTCGGTTCTTTCTGGCTTCGTCCGATTCTTGAAACGAGTTGCAAGCTTTGACTGGCAAAACGTGCCATTCATTGTAGATTTAAACAGCTCTTTAGACGATGACAAGCGCCGTGAGATTCTGAAAAGGTTTGAAGCGTCTACTTCGAGCCCATCTGTTCATCCCGCGATGTTCATTGCCGCTGATTATGAGGACATGGACTGCTTGTCAAGTTGGACACGATTTACTCCGGACAAGGTGGTGGTGCAACGATTAGTTTGTCTAGCTCAGGCTTCGTATGACGTCCTGGTATCTTGGTTAGCTTCGGGTGCGTCGTCCTCTGGCTGGAAGACGGCCTTCTCCTCGTCAAGAATGGAATTCGATGCCATGCTCCAGCTTGCGACGGAAAATCTCCCGACCAAAAGGATTCGTGTCAATGGGGACAAGAAGCATCCTTTTGTGGCGCCTGTATACAAGAACATGGACCTCACCGCAGTTCCGGTCATGATTGGATTTGATCCAGTGCGTGAATTGCTGGAGGACCTGCAACGGATGTTTGGCCACCTCGCTTTCTTCTTCATAAATGGTGTGGATACGAAAGAGATCCTGGTGACATGGAAACCACAGGCTTTCCTGCCTGCCAAGTTCCGCGCCATTACTGCTAAGTACCAGATCCCACTACCGAACGACGATGCGGCTGAGGACGAGGAATCAACCCGCTGCTTTGCCGTACCCAACATTTTTGAGATCCTGTCGGACATGCAGAGCCTCAGCCATGGCATGGTCATCGGTGTCGCACTACAGCCTTTCGAAAGCTCATAGGGCCGATGCTGCATACAGCCAACAATTTAGATCATATTGATAGTCTTGCCTCCTCGTCATTTTGAATCGTTGGGCTGCAGACAATTTAGACTTTGCTAAGACTTTGCATTGAAGACGGCAGAGATAGAAGATCATGGACCTGTTGCTAGCTGCATTCGATGAGGTCGTGGAGGTTGTCAAGTTTGTAATGGATGGATAGCAGAAGGCACCTGGATGAACATTCACCGCTGAATGACGAGATAAGATTAGCGACGGAATACAACAAGCTCGAGTACGAGCAGCACCACTATAGTCAAATCTGGATGTCGGTGCAGATGTGCGTAAGACAGTAGCGAAAATCAATACGCTGATTGATAACGATAATGTTCTGGTCTAAGGACGCCGAAAAGCGAAGAAACTGCACCAAAGCCTGTTTTACGAAGATTACGCAGTGCATATCATGTCGAAGAAAGAACCGATAGTCGGGGTATGTCGCTCCGTGGTGACTCACAGCCGTCTGCTTGCACTGATGTGCCAATCAAGAGCTGACGACGACATTGCTCTGAGAACCATGACCCGCTTCCATCGGATTCAGAAGATGACGAGAAAAGATGACACCGCTGCCGACACCCTCGAGGGACTGGATAATCCATAGATCTATTCATCTACACATTTCTTGGCTGCAAGAGACCGGAGATATTCTATATCGTATTGATTGCGGTCGAACTTGCATTTGTCCGTCTCCTTGACAATCATAGTGAGCATCTTCTCGTGTTGCTCTTTGGTCTGCCCAGACACGATAGTAGGAACCATAACTCTTGCGATTTCGTAGCATTCGAGAGCCTTCTTGTAATTGTGCAGTGCACGGTATAGCTGACCCGTGCGAAAGTATGCGATCGCACATTTGCTATCTAACCGAAGCACGTGCTGACAATGGGTTAGTCCCATCGCATAGTTCCGTTGCATCTCGAGACAACCGCTCGCGATATTCAAGTGGCACGACATCTCGAGCTACAGAAATGCAAACTCTCATGAGATTAGAGCTCACAGTGTACATGCCATTGACCAGCATTGAGACTCACCTCTCGAAGAACAGGCAAAACGACATTTTCGGTTGCAAAGCTAATCTCTGGCCGTGCTCGCAGAGCCTCAAGACATCCTAAAACAACTTGAAATTGTGTCGTCGAGTAGTGAAAAAAGCTCTCAACAGCTAACACATTGGCCTCTTCAAACGCCCACTGAATTCGTTCAAGCACTTCCTTGATCGTCCGTCCTTCAGTGTATGCAGATATCGCCCTCTTGATCTTGTCATTTTCTGCTAAACACCAAACAACGCACGTGACAAGATCAATATTCGGATCTTCATTCCCAGACCAACTGCAATCAACAAACTTACCAGCATCACCTTCATCAAGCAGCTTCATCTTCACTCGTTTCAGAGCCTCATTACCCATTTCATGTGCTGTATTCTGATCAGAATACAGGATTATACACAGCAAAAAAACAACCTGCACATACTAAACAAGCAAAGACGTACCAAGTTCGTGATTTGGTTATAATGCAGCATAGCCAGCAAAGAAGCGTCCATTTTTTCAAAAGCTTCGCCACGTTTAAGCCACGCCGTCACATGTTTCTCATCTCTCAGTAGCACTTGTTTAAACGCCTCCGTAGCTGCAGCCAATCTTCCTTCCTCAAAAGCACACGTGCCAATTCCCATGTAAATATCCTTGTAAAACATGTTGATCATAGCCAGGAGATCATTTGCTTTTGGCAGCACCTCATCAGATTTCTTCTTCTCTTGCTTGGCATCATGACTACAGCTCTTCTGCTGTCCACAAGCTGTATCCTCTTTACAAACTCGACTCGTATCCTCTAGATTCCGCTTCACCACGTGCTCTTCCTCCACTTGTAGCAATACTGGCGCTAGTTCTTCCAGCTTTTTTGTAGCAGCTAGTGCTGTTTTATACAACTTTTGTGCCTCGTGCGAGTTTTCCATGCCAATCTTGTCTCCTAATCGACGATTCTCCAGAATCTCTTGCAACAGTTCGTGCTTTTCAGTATAAAGCCTCGCCTGAGTCTGCAGCTTCACAATCTTCTCGCTCTCAGCATCAGTTGCTCCAGCTACAACCTCCTCTTTCGAGGCTCTTCCTTCGCACGTCTTTTTCTTCCTTTTCTTGGCCTTTAAAGCCGCTACCGCAGCTTGAGCCGTCAAGATATCGGCCGACTGCTGTGCCGTTTGCGTCGCGAAACTCTCGATATTTTCCTTGGCCTGAATCTGTTTCTGCTGCTGTTTCTGCTGCGTCTCTCGTTCCTCCACCTTATCCACACGCTCCAGCTCCTTCTCAACGTCAAATGTAGCCCATGTCGCGTACATATTGCGGCTCATGACGCGTCGGAAGAAATGACGCAATTATTCAAAGACACACAAAAGAATAATGTAGCCATCATCTCATCAGTTTGAGCTTCCGCATGCAACGTAAGACTGTACCAAGACTCCACCTAGCAATCACTTGATTCATTAACGCTAACTTATGAGTAATAAGGAGCTACAAAAACTAAAGCTTAAAGCTATAAGCAGCACATTCTCCATCAGCTACTAACCCAATGGAGCTCAGCTATACTATGAAAAACTGCTACAAAACACCACTCTTCCTTTCCCCGTTCTCCCTCTCTCCCCCTCTCTCTCTTAATCTTCTTCACCATCTACTGGGCAGCATTGTCGACAATCCTGCGAGCAACAGCCTTGCTAACGTCTCTTCCAATGTCCTGTGCCACGCCGCTGATGTCTGCAATAACACTACCACTGTTGTTAACAGCTTCCATCATAGCACGATCAATACGAGACTCTTGTGACTTGAGAAAAGGTGCAAGAAAGTGCATGTAGAGGAAAGAAGCACCCAGTGTCGATGGCATAAACAACCACAAGAGAAATCCGAGCTTGAAAGCATAGTAGAATGGAATCCAGTACAGCAAAAAGTCGGCAAAGATCTCCACAATGTTAAAACACGCGTACACGACCCAATATGTAAGCCATTGGACGTCGTCCTTCTTATCATCCGACTCAATCGCCTTGAACGAGCAGAAAGCAGGGTATACAAAGCCCACAACATTGCAGATAAGACCAGCACCAAAACCTACGAGAAGCAGAAGCAATAGTAATGCCCCACCACTGGCAGCAAGATATAGTTTATCGACACCTGTAGCATCCTGTGCTGACTGTAGCACTGGAAACTTATCCAAATCCTTGGCCCATTTGTCCATATAAACCTGCACTTTTTCCATAATTGAGCTTTTCGTTTTTCTTTTACCAGGATTGAAAATGGATGGACCTACGAGAACCTCTCAAACTCGATGCTGTCGGCGTTGGAAAGCGTCATGAAATTCCAAAGGTAAGCTCGAACCCGGATTTACTACCTGCGGAAAGGACAGAGTAAGGCAAAAAAACATGTCTTCCGCGGGGAACATCTGGCATAATAAACAGCACGACACGACCTTCAACGAATTATACCAGAGCCGGGCCATACTAACGATGACTCGCTACGCGTCATTCGTTTGATCTAAAAGTAAGGGGCTCTTACCCTACAAAGTAGAATTCTACTAAACGGTACAGTCCAATTGAACGAAAATGACACAAGATGTAGAATATATAATAATGAGATGTTTATTCCCTTTCAATCTCGCTCTTCCGTTCTACAAACGGTAGCTTAAAAGTCCGAGCATCGGCCCTTACGCTCCCAATCTCCATATCTCGTGGGCTCTTTGAGTTTTCCACCACGCGTAGGTCCACCGTACTCTGTCCCTGATGGTCCAATTGCCACTGTATCCTCTTCGTCGTCGTCGTCCAAGTCGTCGCTTACGGCAACCACAGGAGTATGAACAATGTGAGGCTTGCCGCTCGGATGAAGCGTAACAAAATCTTCCTCCTTTGAGCTGCTTGAATAGAAGCGAGACTGTGCAGGTCGTCCTGCCGTCTTGACGAAGGATGTCGAGCTTTGTAACAACATTCGTCGCAGCGCCATCTTCCCTTTGACAAATCTGATTCTTAATGATTGGATCAGAACATGATGCTCCTAGTCAACAACCTAAACCTTGTCTCTTCAACTTGGTGGGTGACACTCCACGTTGTCGAGGTTATGCAAACAATTTTACAGTACAATACTATGAAGACGCCTATGTTCTATGAATTTATAGCGTTTATTAGCTACGACAAGTATATAATAAATAGTAGTTGCCAACTGCCCAATTAAATTATGAAGGTTGATATTTACGGAAGATTTGTATCGACAGGCTCTGTCATCAGAACAAAACCCCAGTTTCTGATCAATATCTGCATTGATGTGCCGTTGTGAAGCTTGCTCTATTTCTAGTAATTTCTGCGTAGGATGTTCTATTTGACAAGCTGAAATTTGGCCTCAAAATGGACTTAATGACCTTGCTGGCATTTGTTTTTACCCTTGCGTTGGGTTTCACCATCCCGCTCATGGGTGTATGGTTTGCCAAACGTACCGACGCTCGAAGCAGTTGGTGAGAAGGAACGCAACCAAGAGATACTCGTGCTGATTGAATGTGCAGCCTGCAGGTTTAATGCACCAAAGGTATTGACTGTGGTGGTGCTCTGCTCTCAGTTTCCTAGCTGCAACTATCCTTGCGCCGGGGTATCTACAATGATTCTGGCGGATCCATTACCTCTACACAAAATGCCAAGTGGACTGTGTACAGTTGCTGACTGCACACTCGTGCATCTGCTTGGCTAACGTACACTACGATCTCTGGAGTGTTGGCCAACACGTCATCAATGCAATACTTCGAAGAACTTTAGACAGTCATAATGCCAAAGATGTTAGCAACAACAAAAAAACAATGCAGCTAGGCCGCTCGCTGTGTGGCTCTACCACGTGAAATGCAAAGGACCTCCAAGCGAAATCGACACATTGAGTAGTTTAGCCATCAGGCCACAGTACGCACAGCAACACTTTCATCTCCTTCGTTTGTCGCACACAAACCATCTGCAATTCCGAGTCTGCCACCTCCAGGACAATCGACACGTCCATTCAAAATCTCCGTTTATTGTCCACCTTCTCCTACTCTACGTCTTACATTGGCTTGCCTTACGACAGCCAATAAGCCACCAACATAGCCACCACGAGCACAATGCCCATCAGGTATATAATCGTGGACCATTCGCTCTCCAAAGCTGCATCATCTTTAGTACTATTACAAGACGTCGTCGTTCCTTCTCCTGTTGGTGCAAGTTGTCGTAGCAATGCTCGAGCTTTCTCTCGTTCCTCATGCAATGCTACCAAGTCTGGGAATAGTTTCCGGAATGTAGCATTGCTACAATTCGTCTCCAACGACGCTGCCGCATACTTCTTTTTCTGTGCATCCGTAGTACTAATACTTCCTAACGTAGCTTGATTCTCCAGCTAATATTATTATAACATATAAAAAAAGTACTAAATCGTTAGTACAAATCAAAATTCATATACTACCAAACAAACAAATAGTACTGTATCACTCATACCATAAATGAATATAATCCCGTAAGGATGGAACTGACGGACCACATAGGGTTCCACGTCTCCGGGTGAAAGTCCGACATACTAAGACACAGTCTCTGATTTGTCTTAAAGCGGCCATTGGGCGTCATCATCAGCACCGAAGGAGGTTTCATAGGGTATTCAGGAGGGAACTTAAGTTTGCCATGATAGTAACCATCTTCATAAGGTGTGTCCTTGGTGCCCGTGATTACGTAATGCCACTCAAGAATGTTGGTCTCTAACGGCACTGCTTGGATGTAGTCTACAGGCTTCCGCTGCATGGCCAGATACTCCTTGCGCAAACGCTTGGTCGCCATCGCAGACGCCATGGAGTTGGATTTACTTAATTAATGATATACACGTGGTCAAGCTAATAATATTAATACCGTAAGGATATTGTCAAAATGAATATTTCATGTGATGGAAAGATTGCAACGTTTTGAGTAGCCATGTAACTAATGGATACATTTTGTCCTCATCGACGACATCAGACACTAACTGCCATACATCCTGCAAATCCTAAACGGATATATAGACTCGTCTGCCTCTGATCAAGATATTCTCTAAATATACCTGTGATCAGTCCATTCAGTTCAGCTACGTTTGTATGCCTTTCGAAAAACTCATCACCGAGGAAGTGTAGTTGGAAGAATTCTCCTGCAATCGCTGTCTTTGATTGCATCATGTAGGACGCTCGATTAAATATTGCAGAGGATATTAAGTTTATAGTCTTTTGCTGGTACAAGCCCAAAAGAGAGTTATGCAATGGTTATAGAACCCTTTGTTCTCCCAACTACACATCCTCGGTCACGAAATGTTGCTTTCGATGTGATAACTACAACGCTCTTATCAATCACTATCGCTATCGAAAGCCCAACGTTTATTCTACATTGACAAGGACTTCTACGTTCTCGGTACTACTCACGTCGTAACAGCTCAATTCGATATACTACTCTTTGTTACTGTTTACTACATATTGCACGCACTACTAAGTCTATTGGTTGCTATAGTTTGTCTAGGTCGCATTTACCTTCACATGAACCTCCAAGTGTCCGCCTTCGGAAGCGTGGGGCACCCACAAGAGCAGTGTGCCACCTCTTGTGGTGGGCAACCCCAGGAACCCTGGTCGCCACCGATCGAGGTACAGTGTCTTGCCGGCTAATGCTGTGACGGTGGTCTTCCACTGGACATGTCCCCCAGCTTTAAGTTCTACCTCGTCGATCTTGTTACCACCGGACATGATGTTGACAGTCACGTCGACCGTGTCAGTGCTGCTAAAGTGAACAATGACTTCGCCGTCGCCTTTGCGAGTCCAGGAAATGGTGCTTTGGCTAAAAGCTTTCTGGTTTATTGTCAGACCCAGTGTCTTGGGGTCCGTGCCGTCGTCGATCTCGCCCATAAACTTTGTTGGACCGCAGATTCTCTGCATGTAGGTTACGATCAAACCCATAGCACCAATCATATCGAAACCGGTAACGGCAATCGAAATTAGAGTCTTGCCCACAGCAGCGTACATGAACTGGCGAGCGTCCTCACTCGTACCATTATCACTCCTGCCCTTCGAGACAAGCTCATTAATCATGCCACTAAAAGCTGTCCGAATTTTCTCCCGCGTCTTGTATGCTGTAGCTTCATCAGACTCTTCAATCAGCTGCTCCATGCAATTGTTGGTGGCGATGGCAATATCTGATGTCACGATCTGGGTGTTCTGCACTTTCAGGCGTAACTCATTCTTCGAGATGCCGGGGTTTTCTAATCGTAGCTGATTCACTGTGTTCCATGTGCGATCCGTAACTGCACGTAGCTCATACCCACAAGTAGATTTCGACTTGAGAGCGTCACTGATCGTTCCGATATCCGTCTCGTTAATCTTGTTGGCAGCTTCCGTGAAGTTGGCACCAATCATAAACGCCTTAAATTTGCTCCAACTAAAGAAAATGTCATCTTTGTAAGCAATGGCGTTCAAGAGAATCCAGTTCATTGTCGAAAGCAAACGACCACCCAAATCAAGAGTTCTCGGTATCGGCCAACCCATACATAAGTAGATGGCCATCGGCAGATCCGTCACGACGTTGTGTGACTGATACATTATGTTCAGAATCTTGTCTGTCGAGATAGTCGGTTCGCTGTTCCTGATATTACGCACATAACGCAGAATGCTACGCATCGTGCCAATCATCATATTAACGCAGTCGAGTGCTTGAGGCACACGTTTCGCAACTTTCCACAATTTCTCTCCAGCACCTATAGTAGCAATGGCCAGAGCTGAGTTTCCGATTGCGCCAATTTTGTTTAGCGCGTCCATGATACATAAATCATTCTGACGGATGCATTCAAGGCCGCACTCTACCGGGTAGGCGAGGGGGCATTCAGCCCAACAAGTGTTTGTACGTTCATGACGATCAAAATTACTCGGGCACGTATCCATAATATGCGCCTCACGGTAGCACCCAATGTCAGGAGATATAGCGCGAGGGCCTACCCAGTTGCGGTAGGTCGACTTGATGTCACTAATTGCATTTGTCGGCTTGGCAAATGTAGCATGCAAATTGATTAAGGACCCATCAATGAAGCCTCCTGCTCCATTTGCATCCAAGCCTGAAGCTGTGGTAGATGCTACCAAGTCGTCGAGTGAAGATGTAGATGTAGTAGGAGTGTCGTATGTCGGTTCGACCGAAGGTTGTGCTGAAGTACTAGAAGATACGCGAGCAGCCGTAGTCGATACTCTTTCTTCAATAGTGTCTGCTTCCGATGCCCGGGTGACATCGGTATCCTCAATCCAATCGGAAGCGGTCGCTCTGACCAGGCTCACGACGACGATCAAAAGGCCAAGAACTAATCTCATTAACCCGTTCATTGTACTAAATCGATTTGATTAGAAGACTGCAAAAGGAATAATGAGCAAAACTCAGCCAGTGGCCGGTGCCGTTTCTGTGGAGGGGATCGGGTGCTTGGGTCTCAATCATAATGATGGTGAGTCAAATGCTGGCAGACGGCACCAAAGTTGGTTGCACTCGATATCGATTGGTCGTTGACACCGTCTCCACTTGCCGGATTCCGAGTGTTGGCCTGGCTAGATGGCAAGAATAGTACTATAAGGGCCTTGTTATGACTCCATATCAACTTGAAGTACTGATACTAATTCAGAAACGCCGCACAGCAGCAGGGCGTCACAAGATCTACGCTTCAGAGAATGGGGTTGGCACTCGAATTCCAAGCTGGACGGTTGTTCCAAAAGCAATATACCTGCCTATGTGATGTTAAAATTAGAAGAGGGAAGCTTAAAGCTGTCGGAACGAGCGAGTCATGGCTGTGACAGTGATGCGCCTCTGTTTCTCTTTCTCGAAGCATCCTGTTTGAAAGAAGGACTACTTTTGTCTTGCAGAATTGAAGAAGAAGAATAGCTCGTATACATGTGCTCCGTCCTTGAGGAGTCGATGTTGTTGTCGCAGAAGGGATACGAGGCAAAAAGATCCAGCGAGATGGGCTTACTACTGTAGTCAATTTGTCGTGACCCTCGCCTCCTGTTAGAAACAATGCTGGTACCGCCCAGTGGCACCTTGAACCAGCGTCCGACCAGACTGATTGATAGTGCCGTCGTACAAATTTTGCACACGTCACGGCAACGCGACAACCTTTCTGGCCTTGGTGGCTCTCGTGGTTGTCCGGTTCGCCGACCTTTCCGAGCCGACGAAACGGTTGTTTCTTCAGGGCAAGTAGTACGTGTTTGTTCGCGATAGTGTCGGGCACGCTCCATGGGAACCCGTGAATGAGCGGATTCGCATAGAAAAATACGATGCCTCTTGCATTCTGGCCCTTTCGGAGCCTTTGGCAGTTCGGCAATCGTCCACTGATCCTCGATGCTGTTCGCGGCAAATTCCCGATGACTTCCATTGTTGTCTGTCTCCAGGGTAATGACACCCTGTATCTCCACGCTGGTACCCTGGTTTCCCGTGAAGATCATCCGTATTGCTTATGCCATACTGAAAAATGTAAAATTTGACAGCGAACGCTTTGCCGGCTTTGAAATATTGGCTAGTGCGCCTGTTTGTTGCTGTATGCAAAGGTAGCAAAGGGGTTACACTAGCTTTATCACCGCACGAACATGTTACAATCACTACATGTCCACGAAGGGTCGACAGTGCCAATATTGATCAGCAAAACTGATGAAACCTCATCGTGCAGGAAGATCGCATTGATCCGTCAAGTCTTTCTCTGTTTATTTGCAAGATCCATGTGAGCAAGTGACCTGTATCGATATGTATTAATAATGCATGCAGATAAAATCAACACTGCCAAGCCAGTGAAAGGGTCGCATGTGTACGTAGTAGATGTAGTTGAGCTGAGCACTAATTTAAAGGTTCTCTGCAGTGAAAATTTACATATCCAGAGCATGGGTCGTTTGCTACACTGTTCTTGCAGGTAGATTTGCAAGAGATAACTGCATTTGTCGATCGTGGGCTTTGTAAGCTATCCTCGAGGCGACGGTGACCTGTTAGTTAAGCTCAATGATGGCCAAACAAGATACCATCGCGCTAGCAGTGTGAAGAATGACAAGATGAAAGAATAGCCCCAACTATTGTTCGTGTTGGTCAAGATCTATCCGAGACTTTCAGCACTGTACATGTAGTCATGTCGACATAACACGGTCGACCCTGCAGTCGACTAGTAAAGAAATCTCTCCCACTGATGTTGCTACCTCTTTCCACTTGACCAATTTGTGTTACTGAGTATACCAAATATGAGATCCTGATATCGCACGCACCGGCGAAGTTGATGCTTAGCAATCCATGCTGTCGCGTCGGCCTATACTGGCAAAATGAATTTCATGAGAATACTCATCTTGTGAATGATAAACCTCGGCTTTTGATTATGCTGCATGCCTTGAGGCTTCATCTGTACGTGAAGATTATATCCAAAAAAATGGATCGTGTTCCCACCTGATCCGAAATCGAGTGCACCTTTGCTACGGCAATGTTTAATCTAGAACATCTCCGTGTATGGAAACCTGCTCTATTTTCAGATCAGTTCAGCTTGAACTACAAGCAGCTTTCAGGTAATATACCTGCAGTTCGAATTTATCCATCTAAATACTATACCAGGTTGAACTACAAGCAGCTTGCATATAATATACCTACAGCTGCTTTAGGTTGGCGATACAAGAAGCTCAGATGTAGACACTTTCCCCGCAATAGAAGGTATTGGTGTTCTTGTACATTATTGTTTCTGGTGCGAATGATCAGTTCCATCGATGGTCCATTTCTGTGTGACAAGTATGTCTATTTCTTAGGCTTCTGAGATAGATTGATTAACAAACGTACGCTGGACTTGAAGTGAGCAATAACATTCTGTCATCGTTTCTTTGGTACAGCACAGACGTTTTGGGGACGTGTGCTCCAATGATTTGTTTGTAGCAGATTCCTTGAATCAAATCTCTCTGGATCGACACCATTAACTCCTGCCAACCCCACCGTTGTGCAAATGTGCGACTGAACTAGCATATTTGTCCTGGTTTTCTTGAGTTCTTGTTCTGCAGTGTGCTTCGTTTGCTCATCGCTAACAAGATGACTCATATTTCGTAAAATCTTGAGCTTCAGTATAGCAAGTAAAGAATTGTTTCGCTGTTGCTGAGACTGCGCCAGCAACTGCTATTAAATCTGTAGACTGGCAATGTTGTCTATTCGCATAGCCAAACTTTTGCAAAGACAACGCCAATTAGCGAACACACCTTGGATAAATCCTGGAAAAAGATGAACAGCATGACGCTCAAGTCCGTTCACAAGCCAGCTCCTACATTGTTCTCGTATTGCACTCATTTACCAGCAGCTTCAGACGACTATATATGCGAATCTTCAAAGCACCACAGGAACGCATCCAATTTTTCCAGCCAAGGTCTTGGAGACCGTATGAGAGCTTGCCCTGTTCATTATCTTTCTGCCCAACGCAAAGCAGAATTACCAGACATCAAAGCGCTACTAAAAGCGTGATACATCGTCCGACGTAAGAGCATGCCGAAGTTACCCGAAGGGTGGCACACACGGACATCTATTCGCGCGCTTCAACCTTGGCCTGCTCAAGTTTTGTTAGAACTCGCATCCGGTATTTGTCCACATCCTTGTCGCGTTTCATCGTCGCACCAACAAACGCAGTGATAATCTGGGAACTGAAGATCTGGTACACCAACGTCTGGTTGTAAAAGAAGTTTGCATTGCCAGAGGCCGGAAACAACCACAGAAACCACATCACAGGCAACATGCATGTCGCCGCACCCAGACCAATTACGTAGACAAATCGATTCTCGATTGCTGTGTAACATAAATACATTTTGAACGAGACACGCGTAAGTATTCGATGACACGCACAATCTCAAGCTTCTCGCACGTACTCATGATCGTTTTCGGGTGCAGCGCCAGCATCGAAAGGAAAAATCCAAAGTCACCAAAGGAGGGGTACGCCTGGAAAAGAGAGAAAGTTCCGATCAACGCACATGCGTAGGCTTGTGGTCGATGTCTGAGAAATCACAAGCGTTAGCACATTCGATCATAGAAGCTATCATACTGACACAGAAGACATACGCTAAGCGGAGATAGATCGGGACAACGTAGATGACGGGATGGAGGTGCATCACGAAAAGGAAGTACGGGATGAAGCGATCAAAGACCTCCATGAAAAAGTACCAGAATATACCAATATTCGGGGTCAAATCCGAGAACTTTGCGACCCAAACGTAGGTTTCCTGTATTGGCACAAAGCACAAGGACAGCCGAATTAGCGGCAACTATAATCTGCACACAGGAACAACATACAGCGACTCTAACCTCCAAGAATGTCCAGTCTCCAGTAAAACTCCAAGACAAGTAGAACAGCAGACCCAGCCAGAGACCAAAAGAAACAAGACACTTTAAACCAAGCGTTGCTGTCACTCCACTTGCTTTGTTGTCAGTAGTCTTCATACAAAGTATTAAAATCCTCATAAGAATATCTTTCATGTTCCGGTACAACCACGAGATTTCGTGCACTCACCGTGTCAGTCTTAGCACTACACAGTAGCAGCATAATTGGCAGCATCAAGAAGAACGGATAGACCGACAGATACGAGCCTACAGCCACACACATCATGGATGCAGCAACAGCTCCTAAAAATACACAGAAAAAAATCATCAGTTCCACTTGAATTATCCTTCTTATAAGAAACTATTCATACCTTCTGAAGCAAAGACCAAGCTATAAAGCACTGCCAAATGGGTAAATGATACCGTAGACATGGCAACACTCGAGGCCAAGGAAAATGGGTTCATCAAAGCAATAAAAGCTGCAGTAGTAGGTAAGGTCTTAGGTTGAAAGAGAGGCGAAACGGGCACTTGGCTGAGCCAAATCTCCCGTCCATGGATCTTAAAGTGGCGTCCTTCTTCCAGCTTCAAATTCCTTGCACAGAGACGAGCAAAGCCCATGACCAGTAGCAAATCTACAGAAATGAATACGGCACATCTAATAAAGTATTGAAGGGCCAACGGGACAAACTGGAGCACAGGATACAGTAGAGCGAAGAGTAGTGGGGGTTGATGATATACGTCCCCGGAATAAGGCGAATCGGTTGTATGGTAGAGAAAAACGCCTTCTTCGAGACGATAAAAGGATGAAACGGGCGTCACTAGCTCGGGTCGAGACGAAAGAGTTTCATGGAGGGAAGGAATAGCAAATAGAAAACCACGGACACATGTCCCTAGTAGCAGTACAAGAGACAGCGTCATCTTATGAATGCTCCCAAGTCGTTTGAATCGTCTTGTCGATTGGCTGAAAACGAAATAAACTGAAGAAATTGAAAGTAGTTTGTCAACATTGTTCTAGTAATCGATATCATGGTAACTGCAACAATGTCCTTGGTCTCTACTTGCAATCATGGCCTCGGTGTTACAGTAATATTGACCGGCTAGGTCGTAATAGCGTACCTAATGACATCGGCTCTCGTATCGAGGATTCTATCGACCATGGGGATGATACCATCCCAAGTGCTTCAAAAAATACGGTATCTTCAGTGAGACGGCAGCGTCACCAAATGGCTGCTGCGAGACGTAAGGCGTTAAATTTGTCACGTGGTGATGTCAGCAAACAGCTCTGTACCTTTGTCAATGGATTAACAGGTGATGTTGATGGCGAGGTTGGCGTTGAGTCCCTCCCATCGTTAAACGCTCTGTTAAAGCTAAACGTATTGTCTGTGGATGAGTTTCATCAAGCCTTAAAGGCTCGTGAACAATCCGATATGGTGGTCAGCCGATCGGACCTAGATTGAACTCATCCTCGCTTGTAGATGAGGCAGTCTTCTAGATAAAAGGCGGCAATTAGTGCACGTAGTGGATCATCTATCTCGAAGAATTCTCCAGATCTGTACTATCCTTTAGAAATGACACGCAAAGACGTAGAGGTGTACGTCACAAAATTGTCTCGGTTCCTGGAACCAGCTACTGCGTAACACGGTAGTGACCTCTGCCAAGAGAACAGTGCGACGTGCTTTCGTGCAGAGCACGCGGCGGTAATGGTGCGGGAGAGCAAATCTCCGCTGTAACAGGGCAACTAGTTACACGTAAACATTAAGTAATATACTTAACGTTTGGTCTAAAAGTATCCATGATTACTTTTGACCTGTCACTTGGGTGCGATACACAAATGTGATCCACCCTCGTGAATGTGATATCCATTGATGGATTCCCATGAGAAGGGATGACGCTAGTTGAAGCTAGGCATCGCGACGTCTCAGAAAGACGTCAGTTGCGATCTTAAATCTAGATTTAAGATCATGCGACAGGATACGCTTCTAAAGAGTCGCGTATCCGATCTATATATATATACATATATATATATAGCCAATCAGTAGTTAAGTATATATTTAGTTATAATTAATTCAATATAGCTCAGTCTTGAATTTGCTAACACCGAAGCACCACGCACGAGAAGTTGAAAAGCTTCTGCGTGACGTCGGTGCCTTCTTGTTAAGAAGTTCGTTGCACTCTCGCTTAAGCGAGAGGCAACTGGTGGTACGACTGCTTAGGCAGTCGACCAACCTCCCAACCACCCTCGCACGCGAAGGTAAGACGGTATAACCGCTTCCTCGCTTGTGCATAAGGTGTGTGCTCGTAGTACGAGGCAACTTTGTAGAAGTGCCCGTCTACACTTGGTAGCACTAGTATTCCTTCCCACGACCCGTCTCTCTGAGCGTGCGTGTGGTTGACATGGTCCTTAATATGGACTGGAGTGACTTCTCTCACCTCTCCCAACATCATAGGGAGTTGGCAGAACATATGGCGCAGGGACTTGGTGAACAAGCCCTGTTCAACCTCTTGCATTGTCCTCCTGAGCAACATGTTGCTCAGTTGGAGCAATTTGAGGCGATTGTGCTCGGACAGCGTAGAAACGCGTCCGAGGTAAACAGCCAAGCCACCGCTGAGTCCATCACTAAGACTCAGGATGAGCTTAGGCTTGAGCAGGCACGTAATGAGGCGCTCAACAGGACTGTTGAGACGCTCTCTGCCCGGCCTGCTCAACCGAGGCCCATTCGGATGGACCCTCCGAAGTTCGATGGAACTAGCCCTCACACGATTGTTCACTGGCTATTAGCAGTGGAGCAATGTGGAGTGGCGCAGCTCATCGAAGACGACACCAGAATGGTGTTGTATGCCATGTCCAACTTGCGTGGCAAAGCGTCAGAGTGGGCATACTCTGCGCTTATGGCAAATGCTGATGCATTTCCATCATGGGCGATCTTTAAGGCAAAGATTCGCGCCATATATCAGCCGCCTAACAACGAAGTGTTGCTTATGGCGAGCTTCTTTGGAGCACGACAGGCGAAACGCTCTCTGAAAGAATATGTACAGGAGATGCGTTCGCTGTCGGCGTCCATTAATGGGGAACCGATACCGGAACGTATCAAGGTGGCCACGTTCATGAATGGACTTAGGCACGGCCCATCGCGTCAGGCCCTTTTCAGAAAGGTGCCAGCGACGATGGAAGAGGCAATTGACATTGCCTTAGTTGAGGAGCAATCCTACAACAGTGCCTCGGTGACAGCCTATTACAGGCCGACGTCCGAGAAGTCTGATGCCACTCCTATGGAGTTAGGCAATTCAGACGTGGTCTGCTAAAAGTGCGACAAGCGCGGCCATATGATGGCTCGCTGCTATGACAAACTTGCTGCTGGTGCTAAGGCAGCCAGCAAAAGGTCTCCCAACCCGAAGGGAGGTGCAAAAAGCCAGCGTGCACGACGCACGGGTTCAGCACCTGCCCAAGATGGGTCGGGAAATGCGGGAGCTCAGTAGGGGCGGGATGCCCTACTGTCGCGGACTCTGAAGCTACCCCTAAGTTCAGAGTGATCGAACAAATACGTAGCATAGTCTCTGAGGTTCCGAAAGGTCGGACCTCAACTCGTTTTGGTCTATAGCGCTCGAGTACGAGGCTATGACCAAGTGATGACCCTTCTCGTGGATTCGGGTGCATCACAAAACTTCATGAAACTCGCGGCTTTGAAAAAGAGACCGGCGAGTTATGAGTCGCTTTGACAGGATGGCAAGCGAGAAGAGGCGATCGTTCGTTTAGCTAACGGCGCGCTCATTAAATCGGAGGGAGTTCAAGTTGAACTCGCCTTCCGTTTCAGTGACTTCTCTTGTAATGAGAAGTTCATAGTGCTAGTTATGGAGAGTCGGTATGACCTCATCCTAGGCATGCCTTGGTTGGCTAAACACCAACCATGGATAGACTGGCGTACACGCACAGTCGCTAGCTCTACGCAAGACACCGGAAAGGATGTGCTCTTGCGAGAGGCTTATGTGGCTGATGCTGTGTCCAACACAGTCGAGGGTGCGATGACGGTATGTCAATCGACACCAGGTACTACTCATCTTGTTGAACCTGGAGTAGTTGGAAGTGCACTGGCGGAAAGCCAGGTGACACATATTCCTACCCAGGTCGAAAAGACTGGTGTAGTGAATGGGTCGATGACAAGTAGTCATTCGTCCAATAGTCCTGCACAGAGTCGAGAGCCTGTGGCAGTTGATGGTGGGCTAACAGGAAGTCAAGCGCCACAAGAACCGGCACAGAGCCAAGAGCCTGGTGCGGTTGGAAGGAGTGCGTTAGCTGAGATAGCAACGACACCTTCTTCCAGGTCAAAGGTCGTGGTGACTCGAAGAACGAGCACCAGACTTATTAAGAAAATCAAGGGCACGTCGAAACAAGTGACCCTTAGATCAGTCTCGGTCCAAGAGTACGGACCTACGAACGAGTTTTTCGAGGTAGTCGAAGACAAGATACCGGAGGCATCCTCAGTTGAGGTGCTCCAATTTGTCTTGGCATCTGCCGAGGAGATAGTAAATCTCTCGGAGATGACGTGGGATCTGTTCCTGTCTGAACGAAAAGGAAGGAAAGATTTACGAGATAGTCGCACCAGTTCCAGACGAGAACGTGTTGGACTGTTGCTCTTCATCCACAATGGATGAGAGCGTCTTGGAGACCGACAAGAAGAAACGTTTGCTTCTCAAGGCTGGGATGCCTTGAAGGACAGCCCGTTCTATGATGTTCTGTGGAAACACCGTGATGTGTTTCCAGCAGAAGTGCCGAGCCGCCTACCGGCCGATAGGGGCATAAGGCACGAAATTGACTTGGAGCCTGGCATGTGACCAGGCAATGGCCGTTGCCGAAGTAACAAGTCGATTACATCGATGAGTTCTTCGACAAGCGAGCCAAGGCGGGACATGTACGTGAGAGCAAGTCGCCTCATTGCAGCCCGACCTTCTGTGTGCGTAAAGCAACAGGTGGATGGCGCGTGGTTCATGCTTACAATAAGCTGAACACGACCACCATTCCGGCTCAAACGCCGATCCCGCGGAAAGAGGTCTTGTTGAGCTCCATGGGAAATTCAACTATCTTTTCCGCGCTGGATCTGAAGGATGGCTACTATCAGGTTCTCATGAGAGATATAGATGTAACCAAAACGGCAGTAAGCACCCCAAGCAGTATGCTGTGGGAGTGGCTTGTGATGCCACAAGGATTGAAAAATGCTCCAGCAACATTCAATCGATTGGTGGCTCACGTGATGCGTCAGCATCGTGACTATGCGCTGCATTACTTTGACGATGTATTCGTGCATAGTAGGGCGGAGGACGGTCTGAGCGCGATAGAGTCGCACAAGCGTCATTTAGACGCTGTGTTGCAGACTCTGGGTGACGCCCAATTATACGTGAACTTGCAAAAGTGCGTAATAGGGGTCCCCGAGATACCTGTGCTGGGCTGCATCGTAGGTGCACATGGTGTACGAGCAGACCCAGAAAAGGTAAAGGCTATCAAGGAATGGCCAGTACCACGACACTGCGCCAATTTCTTGAGCTCACTAATTACTTGCATATGTACAGCAAGAATTATGCGGAACGGACTAAGCCATTTTCTGACCTTTTGAAAAAGGGTACAGAATGGACTTGGTCAAAGGAACAAGTAGATGCGTTCACACCAGTAAAGCAATCTCTCGTAGGTGCACCGGTCTTGGCATTGCCAGAAGCGGATAAGCTCTTTAGCGTCGTCTGCGATGCAAGCAATTTTGCAATCGGCAGCGCGCTCATGCAGAAGGATGACAGCGACGTTTAACGTGTCATTTCGTATCAGTCTCGGCTTTTGAAAGCCGCAGAGCTGAATTACCCTGTGCATGACAAGGAGCTACTTTCAATCAAGTATGATCTTGTTAAGTTTCGGGTGCACCTCTTGGGCACCGAAC